TTTTATTTCATTCTCTTGTATGGGAGCTATCCGATATAGTCGCCCGATCCGGCTCGTTCCGACATATATACTGCGTGCAACAACTACACAACTTTTGGGAAAGTTTCAGCGAGATAGCTTTAAAACTGAGAGACTAGTTTACATAGAAACCGACAGGAGGACAGGCAGACAGACGGACAGACGGACAGACGGACAGACGGACAGACGGACAGACGGACAGACGTACATACATATTTCGATTCAGATGGTGATGCTGATCAAGAATATATATACTTTATGGGGTCTGAGGTGTCTCCTTCACTGCGTTGCAAACTTCTGACTGAAATTATAATACCCTTTGCTCTGCAAGGGTATAAAAACAAATAACTCATCATTTTTATGCGCTCGTCGAAGTTGGCGAACTCCGAGGAATGTGTGTGCGGGTGTGTGAATGGTTGTGGGAATGGGTGTGGCTTGCATTGCGGGTGACACTTGCCCCATAAATACACTCGTGCAAAAATGTTGCTCGACAAAGTCGTAAAACAGGGCGAGCGAAAACTTTGAGACAAGCAATAAAATCCTTGCCCCAAGGATAGCGAACTTTAAGTGCCGGCAACTCCTCCTCACAAGGTCGCAGCGACAACTAAACGTTTCGTAATTGAAAACTGTAATTTCGAGTACTTACAGTTGGCAGACAAGCCCAAGCAGCCCCAAAAAAGTGGGTGTCTGTCCTCCAAGAACATCTCTCCAATTTCCCTGTAACCTGTTAAACATATGGCTGAAGCAGAACTGGAGAATCTTTCAACTTTTTATTACTACAGCCGGAAACTTGATACGTCGCTAGTTCGCAAACTTTGACATTTACAGATTTCGTACTTACAATTTTCTTGCTGAATTTTCATTTGGCTATCAAGTGCCACAAAAGCTTTTGTAAGGTGTAAATTACAGGTTGAAAGTGCAGGATTTATAAGTTTATTTTTTAAAATTCAAAGTTGAAGTACGAAAATTCTTACAATATACATAGATATTTTATGAAATAATATTAAATGCAATTTGTACATAATAATAAATCTTTGATAAATCTATGTTAATACCACCGTACGTATGCGAGGCAGCATTTTTGTAAATAAAAGATGAGAGTCTTTCTGCGAGTAATTTTAATTTATTACCCATTCTGGCAAACGAATATTTTGTCTTGGATGTAAGAGGCGATAATCGGGCTGCGAATAATAAATGTATGTGTTCGCATGTAGATCTTGGCCGCTTTGCTTTACATATCTGGGCATTAATATAAGCACACTCGAACACATATCTTGGGGCGGCCATTTAGCAGTATTTAAAATTTATGACTTGACTATTAAGTGCGTATTAACTGAATGCTTTGTGCATGCCATAAACTTCGGCCCCCGCCGAATAATGCCGACGGGGGAGTGGCATTTTCCACATGACAAAGAGCTTAAAGGGCAACTTTTTTCGCTTTTATAAAAATTGTTACCACTCTCGTACAGTCACTCATTTCCTTCCCGCCTCTCTCCCTCGGATTTCATCGTGTATGTGGCAAAAAGTTTCCGTAAAGTTTCACAAAAGTTGGTTGGTCGAAAAAAAGTGGAGTTGAGTGGAACTTGCTTTCTTTGTTACCTGTATGGCAATTGAGGAGATTTTTTCGCAATGAATGAGTGTCGGGGTTGCGAAGGATGCAACTGGAGCGGAATTGCATTAGCTAATCAAACGCTGTCCACTTGTCAACGTGGCCAGGACGCTCGAATGAGCCGGGTGTCGCTTTGCTGCCTTGCTAATTACTCCCCTGAATCCTTTTAATACGATTACGGCCCTGCTTTCCCCCGCTTTTCCTCCGCTTTTTCCCGGGAGTGCGGTCAGCTCTGTGTAATGAACCGCACATTAGGGCCATTGCCTCTCGGCCATCGGGAAACGGGCAACGGGAATCGGGAATCGGGATCTGGGATCCGGGCATCGGCAATCGACAGTCGACTGTCGACAGTCGCCGTCCGATAGACGACGGCTATCGGAAGTCTCGGCTGACTTACTGACCTTTCCTTCCAACGCGCTTAAAGTGCACCGCAGGCTCCTTTACACTGCAGAGAAAACAATTTGTGTCGATTGAAAAGTTACTTATTCAATTTTAAATCAACAGAAGTGCTACTTTTTAAAATCTTCTTAGAAATTACAAACATTACATTAGAAATTACAACATGAAACACAACTTACTTTTTAATTTAAATATTTCTAAATTATATGTTTAATCAGATGTTTATGTTATGAAGACAATATACGACAAATATTTATACACAAGGGGGTTTTTTTTGAGTGTTGCCATTGAACAAGGAGTTGCATGATGACTGCAGCTCTGTCGGCGTGCAGTTCAATTGAATTTCAGTACGAAACTTGCAGCCTCCTTCCGCCCACCTTGCACCCACCCACCCACACACACACACATACACACACCCACTTACTTGCCGCACACCGACGGATATTCATTTCTTTTATTTGGTGCAAAACTTTTCACCCAGCCCCCTTTTTGCCGTGGCCCGTGGCTTGTTGTGCCGCTCCATCGATTGCGTTTGGTAATTTGCTTTATGTTCGTTTGCTTTGGCCCTTTTACTTAAAATAAATTAGAAATTATTGGAGCATTTGGATGCTCTGGCTTCGGCTTCGGCCTCGGGCTGCAAGGAGTTTTCGATTGATTTCGAATTTCGGTCATAAATATATAATCGGCTTGCGAGCGATTGGTTGGCGAGTGAAACTTGCCTCGTAAATAAACTTAGAACAGTTGGGAGTGGTGAAAGTCTCTTATGTCGTTTAGTTTACTTCGTTTTTCGAATAAATATTTAATACTTAAATACTTATAAATTTCATCATTTTAATTGTCCGTATCAGTAAACGATTGCAGAAATTCTCGAAAAATGTGGTAACAATTGGTTCAAGCAAGGATGTGTTAAAGTATATGAAAACTCAAGGATCTTAAAGTAAAGCGCTGCAGGGAAGGAATTCTGTGAACTTACCAAGTAAAGTATCTTTGTGGCAATCCCATGGTTTTGTTCCTATTTTCCCTTGTCCATTTGAAGTTTTCATTCAAGCTGGTGGATTCAGATATATTCAAGGAAAACCAAGGGAGGTTCAATTAAATTTGGGAGATGCTGCACAACTTTTTGCAGCACAATTAAGCAGGAGGAGGAACATCCACAAGTGCAAGCTCGTATTGTTTTTAGCAGAACTGGAGCAGAAATTACTACACGCTTATGACTGGTCCTCCTCAGTCTGCAGATGTGTGGAGTATCTGTATCTGTGCGCAATCAATAGCCATTGTTGGGCTTGTGTTGCTAACTGGCATCATGAATGTCGTCAGTTTCTGGACCAAAGTAGCGCACGACCGTTCGAATGGCCGAAAATTTGCGAATTCAAAATCAGGGTGCATGCATGGGGCCATTTGTATTTGCGTAATTAAGAGGATGGCCACGCCCCCTAACCCTTTCTCCCTCCCTCCCCGCTGTTCATCTAATTGCCCCCGCTGCCTGCGATCCTAATTAAAACAATATACACTCGGTGCACGTTGGGAATTTCAGGCAGTGCCAATGATTCCAATCGGGCAATTTAAGCGCATCTTATTAAGCGACAACTCCTAAGCCAAAGACCTCTCCCCTCCCAGAACCCTTGTAAAGTTTCGGGGAAAACTTTTCCCTACTTTTATGCTCTTTTATGGATGCCCACTGAAGCATTTGTGCCATTGCGACCGCAATAACAGTGAAAAAATAGGAGTAGTTAGCTTAATTTCTTTGCTCGAGTAGTTTTTCTTGTCGGTCAACGCAAAAAAAAAAAACCAAAACTAAAACTAAAACAGAAAATGAGACTGTGAAAACACACCGCAATGAGTTTGATAATAGTTTCAAGTTATTAACATTCATTTTTTCCTCTTTTATTCTTCGGCTTCCCAACTTTCCCGATGCGCAAAACCGTTTCTATCAGCGAAAATGTTTGCTAAAGTTCTGAAATAAATTATTTTTGTGATAATGGCTGCATTAATGAGGCTCTGAGCTAATTAGAACCCCTCCGCCAATGCTAAAAATAATTTCTTCTGTGCACTTTTGGCATATGATAATTATATTTCAAAGCTAATCAACCTGATTTTGGGGTTTTAAGTATGTTTTTAAAAGCTTCTTTTTAAATGGATTTTAGTGAAAGGAAAAACCGAAATTTCGGTTGCAAAATGGGGGTTGGATCCTAAGCTTTCGAATGGATTCTAAAAGGATATGAAAGCTTTGGGGCGGTTCTCCAAAAGTTTTGAAGCTTTAGGAAAAAGACTATTATGGCAAAAATAGGGAAACATAGACTGTGAAAGTTCCAATAGCTTTATGGGAGGATGTGATAGGAAAAAGCTTGAACAAACATATTTACTCATAAAACCATTTTATAAATGGCCCTAAACAGAGTTTTGTGATAAATGTATACATCTTACCAAGCTTTTACCTACAGATGTAAAACTTTATTTTACACTGCTTGTAAAATAGACTTTCTACAACGGCTATAGATTTGCACTTAAAAAAAAAGAAAGTAAGTTATGAAAAAACAAGTCCTTTATAAATATTTCCTTAAATGGATATTATATTGCTCGGCACTCGGCAACTGATTTTCACCCTCTTCTTACAGATATTAACCCATACAACCAATAATCCGAAATAAAGGTATGAACCCAATTGAAGGCTAAATATGTGCCCAATTTAATGCGCTTATCTCAGCCGGAAGCAGCTGGAGGAGTTATGCATAGAGAAGCCAAAACGAGGGCTTTAATACCCCGATTGACATACGAACTTGGCACACAATAAACTTGGCAATCAGGTTACCGGATTACGGTAGAGAACCGATACCAAACGACCAATTGAATTAAGCGCATTAAGGCTGTGCCAGTCATGTCAGAGGAAAAACCACGCAGTCATCGGGCGGAGTTGGAAAATCAAAGATGGCAAGTGAGGGAAAACGCAAATCCACCAGAAAGAGACCACCTTCGGTTAATTTGTCACATCAAGTTTATTGTTTATTGAAATATCGGATATCCTTTTATGCTTAAGATGTATAACTACACATATAATACATACAGGTATATATAGTCTCGGTAACATTAAGTTAAAACATTTAAAAACGTTTATTAGGTTCCCAATTGGATAATTCCGCTTACGTTATGGCTAAAACATGTATCCGTCTAAACACATATAAAACCTATGCACTTATTTCATAGGATGCTTACATCAAAGATAGAATGAAGCTCAAGTCTTTATAGTTTTTGGGGAGCAAATATACACATACCACATATTCTATATACACTCAGGATATATGGGGATGTCGGAAATTTACACAGCTTACAGTTGATTATTTTTTAGACAACTAACCAACACGGAATCAAGACAGAGAACTGAGAAGGCAACTGCCTCTTTTCCCTCGCTTGGAATCACAAATTACTTTATCCAAATGCTCGAGGGCTCACTTTTGAAGTGGAACCCCGTCCATTCGATATATGTAGCACACGATTGTCGATTATCTTAGGTAATAATCTAGGATACCTCACATCCCAGTGACTAGAGTGAATGTACAGCTTAAATGTCTACAAATCTGTTGAATCCCCGATCCTGTCATTGAGCTTGCCTAACTATGCTTAAAATCCAGATCTTAACTAACTCTCTGTTCCTTCCTGCTTTTAAATCTCGATAAAGGCTTCTGACTACCCAGAACTGAAGACCTTGCCCCATTCCGCACTATTATCCCACAGAACCTCAGGCTGATTCAACTTAATTAACGTTTCACCAATTTGTTAAGTGTCAATGATATTTTGTTACTCCGTTGCCAGGCAAGATACTCTTCTGTATCTTTTATCGGAGGCATCCGAGCTTTGTACTTCCGCTGACATATGTTTTGTGTATTCTGAGTGGGTACATCCTTGCTGATTTGTTAGGAAAATATACATTTATCTCACTACAGCAGCTGAGCCGTACAGAAATACTCCTCGGCTCGTTTGATTTCTGCGACTGCTCTGATATGCTCTTCAATATGTGTGGGTGTCTTCGATTAATCTACGGGGCAACAGATGAACAACCAAACTCACGTGTGCGTGTGTGTGTGTGTGTGTGTATCTTAGAGATATTAAATGTACAAGCGTCTTTGTGTTTCAGTATTAATTAGGACATAAATCACGCACGGCGGTTAGCATGTAAGCGACTCCCGGGCTCCCTACTTGCCACTCGGATCGCGGAGGGAGCGGGTGGAGGGCAGTCCGCGCATCCCCTTCTCCAGCTTGTCGGCGTCCCCGGCCGAGAAGCGGAAATTCATGGCCTGTCCCTGACCCTGGATCGGGTTCACCCCCCAGCAGGACGGGCCTCGAGTTCCTCCGCGGTCCCAGCAGCTCCACGCTCTCCTCCTCGTCGCCGCCGTAGGTGACTCCTGCCACAGGGAGCGGCGTCTTCGCCGGGGGCGAGTACTCGGCGGTGGCCTCGGAGAGCCTGCGGTACTCGCCGCTCCGCGAGTGCTGCAGCTTCCAGGAGGCCCGCCGCGTCGTGGCCACACTGGCCACGCTCTGGCTGCTGCTGCTGCAGTGCACCGAGGCGTTGGTGGTGGTCAGGTTCCCGGTGCTCTGCGACACCAAGCAGTTGTTCGAGCTGGAGCTGCTGCTCGACAGGCTGGAGTTGCTGCCACTCGTGCTCTTGCGGATGCTCCGCTTCGAGGATCTCGCTTCCTGAGCAGCAGGTGCCACCTCCGCCGGGAGCATGGATGCCTGTGGATGCTCCTCGGGACTCAACAGGGCATCCGTACTCTTGCAGCAGCTGTGGTGACTGGCGGAGTGCTTCATCGTCCAGCGGAAGTCGTTGGAGTTCTCGTCGTCGAGCGGCGGGTAAATGCGACCAGGAGTTTGGGCCGCCGAGGAGGTGATCAGGCGCTCCTTGGAGCTGGCCAGGTTGGGATCCGCCGGGGAGACGCACTCGTCTATCGTGTTCAAGGGGGAGATCTGCAGGGTCTGCTTCTGCTGCAGTAGATCCATTTCGTTCTTGATGGCCGGCTCGATGCCCAGGAGTCCCAGAACCAGGCGGGGATTGGCCAGGACGAAGCGTTCAAAGGTGGGGAAGTCGATGCGGTAGAAGTCCGTCTGACAGCTCCTGCTGGTCGTGCTCTTCTTGGGCTCCACGGGGGAAGCCGCCTTCGAGCTGGCCGCATTGCTCGTGGGCAGCTGGACATCCCTGCCCCAAACCTCCGGAGGATGCGAGGAGCAGCGTTGAATGGCCGCCATCTCGGCTGCCCCCAGAACTCCGCCCATGATCCCGTGATCCACTGAATCCCCCGCCCTCGTGGCTGCCACTCCACTGATGTTGGGAATGGATCTCGCCGGGGGAAACTTCAGGGAAGTGTGGGAAGCCATCGCATTCGAGGTGAAGGTCATCTCCTGGAGAGCGCTGATGGCGTTGCGCACCTCGGCGCTCAGCTGGGCCACATCCTGGTGCAGAGTGGAGACCTGGGAGTCTAGTCGCTCCAGCGAGGGCCTCTTGCCCGCCGACTGCTGCTCCTCCTCCAGGGGCTCCGGTTCCTCGAAGGATCCGCGATCCAGGCTGCAGGCAGCATTCAGAGGAGTCCTGTGCCGCTTGTTGGTTTCCCTCAGGGTGATCAGGGATCTTCCTCGCTGGTGCAACCGCTGGTTCCTCGGACTTCCCATCCCCAAGAGCGGAGAACGTGCCGCGTGCAGGGGGAGTTACTCAGGTTGTGCAGTGGGGAGGCGCCACTCGGTGGTCCTCCGCCGTTTTCCTTCTCCGCCTTTTCCTCGGCCTCCTCGCGGTTTTCATCGTCCTCGCTGATGCTGGGCAGGGGGAAGGAGGGTCCGATGTCCGAGTCCTGGTTCTCGTAGCCCTCCCTCAGGTTGCAGGTGAGATCGTGCTGGATGTCGTTGGCAAACTGCTGCTGGTACTCCGGATAGAGACGCAGCACCTCCACCAGGCCGCCCATGTGGATGCACTTGAGATCGCAGTAGGTGAGCGCCTGGAAAGAGGGGGAGTCGAGTGGAAGAAAAGGAAAGCACATATGAGAAATCAAAAGACGTGGCAAGTGAGTCAGAGGTCGTTTTGGCGCTAAGCGATTATGCACTTTAGGCGGGGGCGTGGCAGCAGGCGTTTGCGCCCCATAAACAACATGGAAAAGCTTAAACATCCTGTAAGCGGAGCCACGGTAGCTTAGGATAGACTAGAGTTGTGTAAACCCTTCTTGGTAAAATAATAGCTTCATTTCCTTTTCAGACATGGATTTATTCGTAACCCAACTCAACCAATTCACAGGATTATTCCAAAAAAAAAATAAAAAACTTAAGTGGGAAAAAATACCTCGAATAAACGAATTAAACTTTAATATTTGAAATTTTCTAACTTATCCCCTTAAATACAGGATAGCCCTTCGTCGATTTCTGGACCTTTGGACTGGCACTCCTGGCAATGTTGACGCCTTGGCGTCTTCCTTACATACTCGAGTGCGCCATCTTGGCGTTTACACACTCCGCACACCCACGACGGCAAACACAAACACACACACGCACACACACACACCGACAAACAGCGGAGGGGCAACGCCTTAAGTATCACTCATACGACCCGTTTGCCGCGTTGTTTACCGAAGTGGCGCTGCAAGGAGGCAGCGCGCGAGGCGGCAGCTGCTCGCAATGTCTGCACTTTATTCCGCCACGGCAGACATGCAAATAAACACGAGATAAAAGCAAAAGCAAAAGGTAAAGGCAAACACAGGCCCTAAAACACCAACAACACCAACGAAGGCGCCTGACAAAGGAGGACCTTAAACAAGATTTTCGCAGGGAAAAACTATGCATAAATTAAGCGCATTCCTCAACTAATTAAGCGACAATAAAATTGGAAATTCCCAGCTTAATTATTGCCACCCGCAGGCGCGCAGGGGGAGTGGCCTCCAATTGCCAGACAAGAGTTTATGGCAATTAATTAGGCGTGAAGCTTTTGAAACCTGAACCGCCCCGAGATTATTGCCATAATTAGTAAGAGTAAACGAGTAATCGCAGACTCCGAGTGTACGAAAACCCTTAGACACTCAAGCCCCATTGACTTTCTGCTAAAAGAAAAACAAAAAAGAACGCCCCGCATTTCGGGGGAAATTCAAACTGCTGTGCACTCATCTTGAAAACCTTGGGTCCTTCCCCTCGAAACCACTGGCCCTGCGAGGAATGAGATAAAGTTTACGACAAACCGCCTGAAATTGCAACCTGCTTAATCCTTAAAGAGCCCCAGACTATGATAAAAATACAATTAAAGCGGCGGAAGGAGGAAGAGAGTGGGTCCCCACATGTCCTTGGCTCAAGCGGCAATTAAGCTGTTTTATTTGAGCATTTACCCCGAGTTGGGGAGAATCAAATGCAACACAGCCACAGGTTTCCTTGAAATGGATGGTATTTAAAAGTGGAAAATCTGTTCTGCTCTAGGTGTATTTTCCGTACAAAATAATACTCAGGAAATGAGGAGGCAAAAAAATAATTATTTTTAAAATTTTTCCCAATTAAATTAAATCCCATTTCATCACCATTTCACTGTTTAAGGCATAAATCTACATTTAACAACCAAAAATCAAATTAAGCCTTTGAGAGGAGCTCGCATTCACTACTCAAAGGTGGTATTTATCTGCATCTCATTGAAAATTGGAATCCTCTTGGCCAGAGTCCACTCAGAGCTCCCCCCCGCTGACTGCCCAACAGCCTCTGAATGCATTCCATTCACGTTCACCCTCGAGCACCGGAGACCAGAGGCTGGTGTAAAAATAAATTCTATTTAATTACTGCACACCCCACTCTATGAGCTCGATGGGGAAGTGGATTTAAATGGGCGGAGGGGAGAGGAGGAAGGGGGGGCGTGGGCCTTACCTTAATGTCGCTGCTGCTGCGGACGACAACATCCTGGCCAGCACTGTTGGTGGTGGCGGTCATCTGGCCGTTGCTGGTGGCCACCAGGTGCACGTTGATGTCGGAGCCCACGAGGTCGCCCTTACCTGTTGAGAACACCAGAGTCGAGAATGAGAATGAGGCACGAGATGCGAGTGGAAAGTGGAAAGTGGCAAGTGGTAAGCGAAAAGTAGCAATTGGCGGGAAAAGGTCAGCACTACACAGAATCAATGAGCATAAAAATAGAGCCTGGCATTTGTCTGGGCCAAGTAGTAGACTTGATGGCCCTGCTCAAGTTGATGACACTGCCTGCCATGAATGAATAAACAAGCAGCGGACTCACTGCCTTACTGTCTTGGCCAGAGTGTAAATGGAATCCAGGAGCGAATGAACTGAGTTCGGCGGGTTCAATACTCGCTACAAGTCGGAACATAAACAAAATGAAAATTTGACAGTCGATAAATGAAAATCAACAGCAATTCACAATACAAGCACGCGCACAAAAATGTATTTATAATTTGCAAAAAACTCTACACAGAAACAAGAAAATATTGATACAATTTGACAGTCAAAACAAAGAGACAATAAAAATTTATTGAGTTTGATTAAAACGTTTTTAATAACGACGTATAGTAAATCTCCCGATTTGACTCACCCAAAATGGCGACCACCATGTCGTCCTTGATCACCTCCATGGATCCGTTGCACAGATAGTAAATGTAGTTGAGGGCGTCGCCTTTGTGGATCAGATACTCCCCGGGTGCACAGAAGTTGGTCTTTATGTGCAGGGACAAAAGTTTCAGGCAGCCCTGCAACAGAAAAACAGAAAAACGTGTAACAAATCGAGGTTCAAGCAAATGCGATTCTGGTTTAGTCAGGAATTGTTCTTCTCGGTCAGAGGCATTTAGCATTTAGCTCGGTCGCGTTTTATTTGCGCAATGAAACAAAACGGCAACAGCTGGAGCTGCGTGTCCTTGCCCCGGAATGTGTCCTGCGGTTCAGGACCCCCCCACCCCCCTGCCACCCCATTTGCACCCCCTTTGGGACTGAACACCCACGCCATCGGCCACGAAAAGTGGCTTAAAGCGCGCTTATAACTGTTGAGTGGTTTTTGTTTGCGTTACTTTGCCTTTCTGAATAAGCTTTATTAATGTTTGCAGTCCGCCTTTGTCATTCAGCCTCAGTATTTCTCTTTTTTTCGAGTTCTGCCCGGTCATTCGGTCGTTCAATTCGTTTTGTTTGTTTGCCAACTTAGCTCGAGTTGCATTTTATTAGGTGGGATCTCCTCGAGGTCCTTTCGCCAAATTCGACCGCAATCGCATTACCACATTGTGTGCCCATCATTGAAATATGGGTTCGTAAAAATCAGCAAAACGATATTTATTGGTTGATTTACATGCAGTAATTTGCTCATTCTTTTGCTAATAATGGAATGAAGTATAACCTTTGTTTTCTTTTGTTTAGGAGAGTTACAATCCTATTATTTTTCTTGTGTTTCTTTGTTTCGATAATAAAGTACAATAATTCCTGCATCGGCAGAATAATAACAGTGTTTAACAAACATTGTTTGTTTTTTCCATTGTGTGTAATAAAAACAGGGATTGTTATGTTTGCGTTGCTAAGTTTTTATTTAAATTCCTTTTTCTATTTTCAGTTGAAGCGGTTTCCATATAAACGTTTGGAATTTTCAGCTTTGATCTGAAGGGGTAACATTCCTTCTTTTCGTGTATGCTAACAGTTTGATTGAAAATATCTCCGTTCAGACAATTTTCGTTTTTCCACCAATACCGCAAAAAAAAATCCAAACATCTTTATCAGCTGTTGTATCAATTGTTTTCATTTATTTTGATGCACTGGGTCATGGAACTTTGGAGCCCAAAAGCAGTTGAACCGTAGATGAGAAATCAATTACTGCACAATCTCTAGTTTAAGCCAGGCGGCTTTTACCCAAATGATTTCCATCGGAGACCCGCACAAGTACAGTGGGCCCCCATTAAAGCTCTTGGCGGCTGACAAGGGTATTGACATTGGGCATCGAAAACTACTCGACCACACACACACTTTGCCACTGCATTCGGGGGGATCTTTGCGTACAACTTTGCTGTTGGCCAAAAACCTTTTTCATGCTCCACTTCAGTCGAACGAATGGAACTTGGCCCACAGCGCAGAGTCAAAGAACCTGCCACAGTTAGATGGCTCGGAAACTTTACCTGTGGAAATGGTTTTATTCAGGGGGAAAAAACTAGTGTATCTGCATATCTTACAGATAAAAGTTTGGTCAAAGGCATGTTAAAATGTAAAAATTATACTAAATGTACATTTTCTAGATCAGCGTTGTCATCTCAAGCTGCATCTTTATATAAATATATTCAAAATATTTAGAAAATTCCACAAAAATAAGACTTAAACAATACTTGTGATTGGATGATTAAAACTCCAAAAATCTTTGGTATTTAGTTAAAGTATTTGAATGGAATAAATTTAAATTAATGCGAAAACTTTTCACAATTTCTTTCAGTTCACCCCTCCTAAGAATCCTAGGCTAAGCCCTCGTCTGTACAACAAAGCTCTCCTAAACATCGTGTGTGTGCTTCTGTGTGTTCGTATGCGGTTGTTTGGTTGTGTTTGGGCTTCTGTGCGACAAAGGACAAACCGAACGAAGCCCAAAAAACGTTTCAGTTAAGCCCGCAGTTAACTTTTGACTGCTCGCCTGGCCTTCATCTTCTCTTTTTACCTGACCCCCACCTGTTGACCCACCTTTTACCCCACCTCAAAGGATTCCCTGTCGCATTGCTGCTGATTATTTTGCCATCGCAGCCATTTCGTTCCATTTGTCTGAAGCTGAATCGCTTTCAAAGCGACATACACTTCGACCCCTGAAAAAGACCATTCAAAGGGGTACACTTGGAAAAATTTAGCAAAGTAAAACTTTAGGTACAACTAAGGGGATATTAAATAACCATAAAAATGTATCCCCATTTTACTAAATACCTCTGTCTTAGAACCAATCAAATTACATATAATTATAAATAAAAGGATCCGTGAAGGCTAGTAGTTATTGCACTTTTAAGGTAAACTTTTGGCTGAGTGTAGGATCAAACTCACCTGGGAGGCCGCTTCAAATATCGGCAGCTGTAATATTTCACGATGTAGATGCATGGAAACGTCGCCACGCAGCTCCTCGGGAAATTCGCGTAGCGTCTGAAAGTAGAAGGAAAGCCGGGAAAAAGGTAAGTCAAAGATGAGTGGAGCGACAAGCATAAGCACCCACACACACGCACACGCACACGCACACGCATCCACGCATACACGCGTAAGTGAGAAGAGAAAGTGGAATATACACGTGGAAATTGAATCGCCTGAAAATTGTGAGGCATTATTTTACTCGAGCACAGGAAAAATGTTTCAGCTTATCTGGTCTTGCTTGTTTTCCAACAGCAATGTAAAATACAAAGTGGAAAAGGGGCAGCAGGTGGGAAACAAACAGGAGATATCCTGTAAATATGGGACCATTACTATTTTATTTTTTTCATTTTAAAGCAGGGAGTAACTCTTCCTCTTCGACTTATCATATATTAACCAGACAATAAAAATCGATGAGATATGCGAATCCTTTAATGTAAATGCCTGCTGAGAGGATCTTTCTTGACGTCCTCTTACCTCCTGCCAGGGTATAATTATATTTTTGTTTTACCCCCCGCATTTTCAATTCTATTTGCTTTTTTCTTGGGCTCGTTTCAAGTGTATTGGATGGGAATTGTCGGTGTTTCGGGATTAACATGGAAATTGAGGGGGAATTTGCATGTAGCTTGTTTACATCCCCGCCCACTCATTGTTCAGACGTTCGCCTCTATAGTTATCCACGTGTATATATTTTCCAGGGGTTTCGAGGGCTGATTACACTCGAGTGCTGTTCATATGCTCGAAAAACGCGGAAATTCATTTGCCAACTGGACCGCAAGTGATACTGCGAAATCTGAATTCGTGGTTGTAGGTAAATATTTCGTGAATCTGCTTATAGTGAAATCAACTTAATTGCTTAAATAGTTGGTCAACTTTGTTTGAATGTTTGTGTATGCACATTAATGAAGGCCAACAGCAACTAAATCAAATTCAGGCCGGCCAGGGCTTAATTAAAAATTCACAACAAATGCCAGCGCAAAGTTCAAATATTTTTGGCCAAAAGAGATGTCAGCCAAACCCAATTCCATTTCAGCACTATTCGTGTGGTCGGAAAACAAACAACTGTGTTCATAACAATAGTTTCTGAAACTATGAAAAAATAGTTCCAATTATTTACGTTTTTTTTTTTGAAGAAGTATTTTTTTTGCTAAAATAAATGCTTATAACTCAATTTATACTTCTAGTTTGGAAAGTATCAACTACTACTAATATACTTTACTATGCTGTAAACATTTATTATTGGATAACAAAGGGTGCTTTGCTAACCAAGCGGAACTAAACATGGAAATATGTTGAAAGTTTTCCTGGGTTTTGTATGACTCTTGTTGCTCTTTTTGTATTCCTTTTTTCATGCTTCCCAAAGGGCAATTCCCAAAGAATTGTTATTTATTTCCATTCTGTCTCTGCTTTCCGTTCGCTGTGCACTGAAGTGTAAAATATTTTACATTAATTGCGCACACACTGGCCAGAAGTCCAAGTTAAAGTGGGTGGTGTTTTTTTTTTTTTGTCGGTCCGGACTGAACTTGAAATTTTCTCTGGCGAGGCCAACATCGTTTGGCTTTTAGAGGGAAACTTCGACATTTTGCCAGTTAATTTTCATGCGCAATAAATTAACAATTTAATTTAGTGCCAGCACGTCAGTGCCCCGTTATTCCACCCAATTTCGGTGCTATAATTTGTGTGGCATCGACAGGTTGTGTGCGTATGGGTGTGTATGTGCCTGTCTATACTTCATGTTCGGTCTGTAATTTAATTAAATTCCATTAAAGTGTTGTCGAAATTCCCGAGCACCGTCACTCGAAATTTAAGGAGAGACAACAGGTTTGCGATTGCAATTTAAATTCTACAACCATTTGCTTGGTTTTCATAGAACTGAAGCGAAACTGGGCTTCCATCTTTGAAACGATTCCAAGATGGCAAACCCTTTAAACTTTGTAATTGCATCTTTGCTATAACTGCATTTAAAATTTTAAATTTCCCGATGGTCGAATGCCCATATATTTGTCATTTAATTCTAGAGGCTTCTTTGAGCTGTGTAGAATTCCAGTGGGCCGACTAGACCTAAAGGCCATTTAATTAAAGTCCACAACGCGAAAGCCATTTAACAACATCCTGCTCGCGGAGATAAAAGTTGCTTTTTATTTGAAGAGGTTTTAATTAACACTATTAAAGGAGAGCGCGGGGCGGAAAGTTGTTTGCCTGGCTTTTTGCTAATAGCAATTAGCGGGTGGAATCGCTGCTCTTTCGACTGGCCTGCACTTCCATGCATTTTATTGTGCTGCAAGTTGGGAAAACAAAGTGTACCTCGCCCACCTGACCGGCAGGGAAAAGTTTGAACGAGTTAAAGTTCAAGCTGCAGAGTATCCCCAATGATTGATTTCCCTGTACCAACAATCGGCTATTTCCATGCAGTTGCAGAAAAGTTTCCCCATCAAGTTCGGAATTATAGTGCTACACTTTCAAAGCCGATAAAAATAAACAAGAAACAAAGGCTCCGGTGTGCGATGAAACCCGCAAAAGACAACTCACAGCAAAATTAGCAACAGAGCCAACCAGGAAAAGCTGGGAAACTTAATGCAGTTGACAGCTCCGACCCAGAAGAAGAAAAGGTACACAACTGGCATGTCTTGCTCTCTGCTCGACTTAATATAATTGTGAAAAATTTTAATTAAAATTTAGATTCCGCCCGGGGCCACACACAGAAGGAAAAACAATGAAAGGCAAGAGGAAAATTCAGTCATCCAGCCACCCGCTCTCACATATAATTTCGATATTTAATTTTAACTTTTGTACGAGTGGCAGTGCGGTTGAAATACCAGAACACGGATGACCAATCAAAGGTGGGCCACACATTTGGCATTTGACCCGCAGCAAATCAATAAGTCACCTGTCCATGTAAAGTGCAGCATGTCAACCCCACGGACATTTGCTTAATTAAGGGCTCAGACGTTTATCGGAGAGGAAAAGCCGCAGGCACTAACGATTTCGATTCTGATTTTGATTCGTAAGTGAAGTTTGACTGTTTGACTGAAGTCAGTCAAGTCGAATCCAGCGATAGACTGCTGCGTCGACAACTTTTCCAATCACTTTTGTGGGAGAGATGGCCAAAAATGTACAGAGAAATGAATAGTTTCACAAAAAAAAATAATTAGTTTGCTCGACACTAAGAATATTACCAAAAAGTTATTTTTCTGTTTGATACTTACAAAGTTTCACTCAGAGTAAAGTTAAGTTATAAACTACAGACTGATAGATTTTCCCCAGTGTATTACACCCTAAATGATTTATGACACACACTCAATCAAAAAGTGATGCCCCAAGGGGCACAGCTCCCACTCGATGCTCACCTCGTATATGTCGATGCCATGGCTGAGTGACCAGGACGTCTGGAAGTAGTCCTCGATGCGCTGCTTCAGCTCCTTGGGCATCTGTAATGAGGAGATCATAAATTATAATTGCATTCGCTCTGGCCCAGCTTGTTCGCTTTTCCCTTTTGCCATCTTAGCGTTTAATGAGCTGCGATGTGCGCCGCTTTCGCTTCGTTTGCATGCATTTCGCGGTTGAGAGCCGCACAAATGCGCTTAATTGTGCAGTGCATTGCGCATTGCGTATGCGACGTGGGTGCAGCTCATTGCGTATACGCCGCGTGCCCTGCCTAATGGAGCGACCCTAAGGTTTGCCCCATCAACAGGTTGCCAACTGCCAACAGGGCGACCGGGATGCTTCGGACTTTGCTGGAATCAGCATTCCACAACCTTGGGCCACCGCTTCCGTTCCATTTTCCATTTTCCATTTCCTGCCCAGCGTGGCGTGGCATATGGAAAGTGTGCGCTGCATTCTAATAAAAACCATCGAGTGGCACTTCTCGGGGTCCCTTTTGCAAGGGGTTCATTTATTTCCCGCAAATCTCAATCGCATCCCCCATCGAACCATACTCACATTGTGCAGGGCCACGAAGTCCTTTAGATCGCGCCATTTGCTCTCGTAAAGCGAGCGACGCGAATACATCCTCTGGATGATGGCAGTCACGTTACCGAAGACCACGGCGTGCATAAGAGCTGGGTAATGAAATGGATACGATATATCATTAAGCCTCGAATGGGTTGCCCAAAAACGTAATAACAGTTATGAAGGCAGTTCGTGCGGTTATTGCCTAGGCAGAAGTTTTTCCGCTGCTGAGTAAGCCCATAATTCAAAGCTCATTTCCTGCTTTTGATGTCGTAATTTTATAAGAAACGGGGGGGTTTTCAATGGTTAATTGAATTGAAAACATAATGGATAGATTTTTCTATTAGGCATTCTTATGGTTTTAAATCAACTTCTTGAATTGTAGCATTGAAAACTTTCCATTAAAATCTCTACAACTTATGCACATATTTTAAAGATTAAATTATGATTTAGCGTAAATCCCTATCTACTTAGGAAAAATCTTGATTAAACTTTTTTCTTTGTGTTATAGGAATGCCTTCCCCGAATACTTAGCAGTTTTGGCATTGAACTTGTTTAAGTATACTTGCCCTATTTTGTAACGTTATTTAGGACTTAAAACACTTGGGTACCCACCGCCAATGAGCATCATGATGATGGTGAAGACCTTTTCGGCCGTGGTATTCGCCGAAACGTTGCCAAATCCCACGGAAGTGAGACTGGTGAAGGTGAAGTAGAGGGCCGTGGAATACGTTTCCGCCGTGGTCAAAATGGCCACCGAAGCGTTTTTCCTCTCCGCCAGAAGCTGCAACCAACCTGTGAAGAATACTTGAGGCATTTAATACGACGGGAAGACAGAGAGAGCAGAGAGCAGAGAACAGAGAACAGAGAAGAAAACTTGTTTAGTACGGCGTTTAATTACAATTTGCGGGCCAAACAAATTGGGCTTATCAAATTGACAATGACTGGGCCTAACTTTCTCGTTTGTTAAATTCCAGTTTGTCAGTCTGTCAGTTGGCAGCTCGTACCAAAATCCGGCAAAAACAGTTTTCCCCGGACCGGAAACGTCAGGCGAAACTTTTCGTGTCAGTCAAGCTTGGAAGATTTTCCCAGCCCTTGATTAAGTGCCAGAAAATATCATAACTGGCGAAACTTTTTCGCCACGGAAATATACTGTATATATGTATTTATTTTCCACTGATGATTTGATTCGATTTGATGCAATGTGCGCTAATCCGTAACCAAACTTTAAACCTTGGTTAACACAATATTCATTAACCACACGTGTATTGGGTGGTTGAGGTGGTTTGGGTGGTTTTGGGTAGCTTGGTTTGTTCGGGTGCCTGATTTCGGTGGTCCAAGTGGTGTAGATTCGCAGGACTGCGGCCCAAGGGAGGCGAAATATTCTGTTAGCATTCGACGATGGCCTGCCCTTCACTGTTGACTAACCAACTAACCAAATTACCTTTGGCACACACCCTCGAAACTCAGTCAGATGCACACAGTTGTGGTCGAAATAATAGCGGTAAACGTCATAAATTTACGGTCGACTAATTGAGTGTCCGTATAAAATTTATTAGTTCTCGAATATAATTAAGCACTGTTTTTGAAGCTTTGTTGAAAGGGTAGCTCTTTGCAACAATTAAAACCATTTGTTGTTCCATTTAAGAAACAAGTAAATAAAAAAAATATATGAATTTATTTATTAAAAGTATAGTATATAATTTAAACGGGTTTTATTGAACTATATATGTAGATATAACTATACCCCATTTAGCAGATTTGATTGACCTATTGTTTTGACTCCATTTGTGGCTGTAACTGTAGCCATGCAGGAGTTGCGGCAGAGGGGACACATACTCACCGATGTTGCTCTCGGGGAACCACTCGTACTCCTTGACCGCTATCACATACCAGATGCAGGCCAGCCAATGGGCGGCCAGCGTGAAGGAGAACATCAGGAGCGTCAGAATCATGGCCGTGTGCTGCGAGTATCGATCAATTTTTTGCAACAGGCGAGCGAGCCGCAGCAGACGCGTCAATTTCACAAGATGGATGTGTGATTCCTGGGCGGGAATAAATGATAAAAAAATATACATATTGCCAAACGACCCACTCAAGGTTGTTAAAATTCGAGCGAAAAGTGGCGAGGTGCCACGCCCATTTCGCGTTTCGCACTGCCCATTAGTTTGCTTTCTGTTTCCGTATCCGCTTTTCCCTCGGTTCGCCATTTTGAATTTTTTCCCCACCCAGTTTTCAGGGCATTCAAAAGTACGATTTTGTTGCCTACTTTCCAGGGCATCTCAATTTTTGTTATGTGCATTGTTCCCGGCCAAGGAAACACACTAAAAAATCACAAAATTGACAACTTCCCAGAGCCCGCATGGTCGCGTTAAAAAAAAGGGACGAAATCAGGAGAAAGGATGTCATCAAAAAATAAAAAGATGAAGTGGAGGATAAACAGGAGGTGGGTAAAAAGTCTAATGCAAACATAAACAAGCTTATCGAAGAGCCTGACCCCTGACCCCTGGCCCGGGTGAGGAGCTTAAGTAAATTGAAGGCTAATGCCGTCGTTTAACCTCAGATGAACATTTTTTTTAGATGAACATTTTTGTTTCCCTTTTGTGATTGCCGCTGACGAAGCGTCGTCTTAAAAACGGCCTCAAGGTGCACAGAAAAATAAGAATGAGCGGAAATTACAGTTGTGGTTGGCTAGATGGGATAAAAATAAAATATTAAAACAGATTTAAGACCGAAAATAAGTATTTCAAATCTGATTAGAATATCTATACAATTGTATAAGCCAACAAACAAAAAGATCTTTCATATGGTTACAGTTTTTGGGAATTCTGGAAAACTCAATAGGAGCTGCATCGGAAAAAAAATCTTGATGAAAAGACAACAGAGTATTGAAAAAAGAGGTGAGCAGGATTCGCAAACAGTTTAGCTTAGGCATTTACGCAGCGCTTCAATAGACAGACAGCAACGGCCTCGCTTTTTCTCTTTCATTTGCAGTCTATACGCAACAACAGCGCGCCTACAGTGCGTTTCGAAATTGTAAGTAAACCAAACCATAGTAAATTGAAAAAAATATATATAGAAAATAATATACAGAATTAAAAGCATATTAATTCTGTGGTGTTTTATTTTCCAGTGCAACGCTTCAGCAACAATTTGTTCAACACGAAAACCATTTCAAACTTAATTAATTTTTAATTACACCGAACTACTGTTAAGGAACGCACTGTGTAAATGCGTGGGTTTTATGTCTGCGTGGGAGACAAAGGCTGAATGAAACAACATCAAGGCGAATTGTAATTCACGTTGCAATTTGTGCTGCGCTTTCACTTTCATACTCGGCTTTCCACTTCCATGCTCTCCCAGCCACGCCCCCACTTCCGCCGCCTAAACACCGCCCCTTCCTTTGCTAAAGTTTCGCGCTGCCTCACGCTCCCATTGTTTACTTTTCACTTTGTGTGAGCAGCAACAGCGGCATCATCATCGAGGCAGCAACAACATCCTTGCAACAGCTTGGCGCCAAGGAGGCAACTTCCTCAGCCAACTCCCCTGGATTTTTTTCCAGTGACTAACTGCCTTTTTGGGGTCTCAAAGATAATTAAAACTTTGAAATAAACTAAATACGCAAAAGTTTCAAGTGCATTAGCACAAATTGTATGCAAAGCAAGCGAGCGAGCACAAAACAAATATCAAAGTGTATAAAAATGTAAAAGTTTAAGCCCCAAATACATTCATAAATGACTTCTGGCCAACTTTGCGTTGCTCTGGTGAGTGTCACAAATTTTTACAATTAGAGAACATTAAAGTTTTATCGAAACTTTTTGTGTCAGCAGCTTAGCACACGCCTCTGATTTGGCAAAAAAAAAAAGAAACTTTTTATGCCTGCCCGTGAACGTGGCTATATTTCCTGGAGCGGAAGTCACGGAAAGTGGGGGTGAAAAGGCGCTTTTATTTGATCAGTGTATCCAGCGGAAGTTGGCCAAGAAACAGCAAAGAATAAGCCGCAGTATGATGACGGAGCGCTAAAAGAAAATCAATGAAACATGCGTTCGAGCGAAATTCAGCTCAAATGATAATCCCACAGGGGAATGTCGGTAAATTATATCACCAGTAGCTATGAAAAATGTTGCTCATGCAAACATCAAGAAACCAATAAAATATCGGTTATTGTTTGTCAGGTAATTCCACAATAAATAAGACATTAAATTTATGCTTGTTTAACAAATGTTGAAAATGTATGTGAAGGAGTAAGAATTACTAATACAAGAAGCATAACAAGAAGCTTGAATATTATTGTGAAGTAAAATTAAAGTGATACATGGAAGAGTTTCCATAAATATATTTAATAATTGACAACATTGAGCTGCTTCATTTTCACACAGCCAACCTTGAGTTTAGTGAGCGGCAATCAAGAAAATGTTATTGCAAAATGCTTTTATGAATCTCGCTTAGTAAAGCCCTACTGTAATGGCATTTGATAGTGCGCCCAGGAGGAAATCCTTGGACTGTCAATAAAGGCGGCGACAGCGTTCTCCACTTGGCGCAATCAGTGCGCTGACCACTTTACAGGAGGAGGAAGTTGGCCGGAGGGAGAGCCCGGCGAGCCGAGTGAAAGCTGAATGCTGGAGAGCCGCTCGAAAGCAGCGTCTTTGTCCTGCGAAGACCGCTCGAGGGTCCTCTTGGCTCAGAACCACCGGACGGTGGCCAATGTCATCATAACTGCACTTGAGGCTTTAAGCTCCAGTCTCCGGACACACTTTTTGGGCTTTAAAAATGCTGCTGAATGCCGCTCTAGCTGCACATTTGGGTCACAGCCTTGCTGACGGACGCCTGCTTAGCTCATAATTAAAACGCGGACCAGCCGGAACACTCTGCCGGGTGTTCTTTGGCCAATGTAATCGGCTTAATGAGCGTCAACTGCTCTCCAAAGGGGTCAAGTGCTGGGCGGCTTCTTTGTGCCAAAGCTGTCTGAAACTGCCAGCTTAAAGGGAATTCACATGAAATTTCGGCTTGCAGACTGACAGATTTACTAAGCAAAGTACTACTTATTCGAAATAATTTGTTTGCGCAAACAAGATACAGAAGTGGCCTCACTAAAAAAAAAATTATCTCAAGTAAACAATTTTAATGATGCTTTTCTCCTAATGGTTATAAAAACAATATATATTTTTCCCTTCCAAAAGCAATCTTCTTTCAAAGCGCAGCTTAAAATTTCGCACATTACAAACCTTAAAACCCAACCAAAGTAAATTTAATTGTGAATTTTCAGCCCCAACAGCACATTTATATATATAATCCGATTAAGTGGCCCGACGCAAAACTGTGAACTTTGAATATGCATTATGCATGCGGCCAAAATAGTTTTATGCAAATCTCTTAAGGCCATTTACCACTTGAAATTCTGGTCCATGAATGATTAATGCCAAGCCCCAGAGAATAAGCGTATGGGGACTTAACAAATTGGACCGGCAATTTGCTGGAAATTTTACACAAATCAGTTTGGACTAATGGTAATGTAGCTATTCACGGGGCAAAGGTAATACATCATTCCTTCTTTTCCGCAAATGAAGACGAACCGAGGGCGGAATGCAAATCTGGGCTTAATAATTCAGGGCTTGTTGGGTAAATTTATGCAATCGTCGGCTGCGGATAACGATTACTCACCTCGCCGTCGTACAAGTCGGAGGCGTACAGGTGATCAAAGGGCAGGGCGGCCAGAAGGTCCAGGGCGAACCATCCTCGGAAGTAATTGATGGCAATCTGCTTCGAATTGGAGACGACCTCGCCCTTCCGCGACACAAAGGTGGTGCGGAAGTTGAGCAGAATATCTGCAATAAAACGGCAATAAAGGCAAGCGGTGAAACAATGTTTACAATGCCCGCAACGAGACAAATTCAATTCCCATCCTCCATCTTCATGACCCATCCCCAATCCCCTATCCCCAACCCCCTATCCCCATCCCTTCCAACCGAAGACAATGATGATGATTGTGGCAACGACTCCCACAGGTGGCCCATAAAGGGGACGCCAATTGATGACCTTCTTGCGGAGGGATGGGGTTTCAGCTCGTGCTGTGGTCAAGTTATTATAAATAACTTTGGTTTTAAAGAGGGTATATATCATATTTTAAAACGGTACGTTCGATACATAGAACTCTATTGAAAGTATTAAATTATTTTATAAATAATTATTTTTAGCTTTTTTAATAGTTACAAAATGGAATTTTATTATTTATTAGGTGTTTTTTGAAACCGAGGTATTACTTTTGTTCGAACCCAAAATAATTTATTCATTTCAGCAAACCCATTTTATTAATGGCTTTGTAACGGTCTCTGCTATTAGTTTTTATATTGAATGAATGTAACTTTTAGCCTAGAAAAAAACGATTGCTTTTTCATTGCTGGAGCAACCCACTCACCCACAATGAAGAGCGCCTCCACAATCACATCCGACACCATTGTCTGGCGATCCGCCTTGGCGAACGCGGCGTTGTAGGGCACCATTAGGGCCACGTAGAAGGTGGCCACCAGAATCACCCAGTCCCAGATGCCCTTGAACACCCCGTAATGGGGCAGAATCAAGCGTGACTTTTTTATCGACTGTGTTTTGTACTCCGGAAACGGCGCCTCCGTTGAATGCATAAAATTCTACAAAAAGAGATTAAGGGGAAATAGCGTTAAATGAAATCCTGCGCAAACATGAAAAGTGAATTAAATGAATTGAACCTTTTCAGCGATTAGTTGCCACCCGTTTTTAATCACATTAGTTTTTGTTTTGGAAATTCACCTGAAGTTTCAGGAATAGGCACGACATTTACACAGACTAATTGATTTCTGCTGTTTCGAAACTATTTTACTGTCAAGAATAATTAAAATACTGTATAAAATAAAAAAATTGCACAATATTTTGAATTAAAATTTGTGTTCTATTTTTACTGCTATGCATTTACTCTGCGAGGGTAAACGCAGAGCACTTTAAAATCTCGGGTAAAATTTTTAATTCAACTTGACGTGGGGCAACGTGTTTGTAACCTGCGTTGGTGGAGCGGCTGATGGACGTTGGCGGCTTCTCCCACTCAAATTGTGGCCAGCAGCGCCCACTCGCATTTCGGGACCTCCGGCTGTCATACTCACATTTCCCAGCTTCAACTTGGTTTTGACGCCACCCTTTTCCGGCTTGTAGTGGCCGGAGAGCTGGTAGAGGACCGCTCGACTGCGCCGGCGGCCCATGTTGCAGCCGGCGGGGACGTCCAGGTTGTTGCCCTCCCCCGCTTCCGCGTCGCCCTCGCTGGCCGCCGGTCCGCCCAGGCCTGGCAGTCCGCCCAGGCCCAGCATTCCGGCATTCGAGCCAGCCCGGAACCGCGCCCCCAGAAGGGCAGCTGTAAGGGCAAAAACTTACAGAGTCGCAACAAAAAAAGCGCAAACAAAATCAGGCATTTTGGGCGGGAAATTACGGAATGGGTGGGGTTTTTTCGTTTTTTTTTTCGGTTCGTAATTACAATGATTTACCGGAACGGTGGTTTTTTTTTTTGAGTAGAAAGAGCACAAAGAGAAAGAACACATAGAATTTTACACATAAGACATTGTGAATTAATTGGCATGGTTATTTTATACGAATTGGTTTTTTAGTTCAAGCTTTTCTTATTTAAAACGAGTTCATTTTGCTTTTAAATTTGTTTTTTAAAGCGTCACTAAATTGTGGGGTGCGTGTGTATGTGTGTGCACTCCCTCAGTGGCCACCTCTCCTCGGTAAAATTGTTCCTGAAATTTTGTCGACTTTCCGACAAGTTAAATAAAGCTTTCCCTCTTAAACGCTTGGCTCCATGTATTATTTTTGCTGAGTTTTGTACGAGCAGCTTAGTTTGGGGAAAGATGAAAACTCAACTTGTACAGATGGTGTTGGCTTTCGTGTATTAGTAAGACAAAGTTTCCTTTTTAAACGCTTGCTTTTCTTTATTATTTGAGATGAGATTTGAGAAAGTTTTAAATGGCAATGACACATTTTCAGTGACTAAATTTTCTTGTGTCTGAATTTATTTTATTACTGCTCATAAAAAATTTAAACCAATCAGGAAAACTATGAAATCTTACAGAAAAAGGACTTTTGCTTCCCACCAGAATTTATTTATAACTCACCGATATTAAAACCTGACTCCCGCAAACAATTAATAATCCCCCTCGATGACTGACAAATATTGGCCAAGCCTAGGCCAAGCCAACAAATCAGGGGAATAAACATCATATTTCACAGGCGCACAAACAGAACTCGATAAGATTTCCCACCCACGAAATTCACCGAATTTGGCACCGAAAAAAGCCTATTAAATCGAGCTTAATTCTATTTGTGTGTGGTGTCTCAAAAGGACGAGCATGCTATAAATAACAATTAGCTGGATGGTGAAAAATGGACCCAAAATGAATCTGATACGTTTCCCAACCCAGCGTGTACTAATTATGAGGAAAAAAGGAACGCAAAATTATGCAAATAGCCGCCAAGAAAGTGAAAGAGGGGAAGTCCCCACTCTAATTTGTCTGTTTTTCCTGTTTTCATTTCATTTAATTTCTTTTATGCGGCACAACCAATTTTTTGACCGAAATATGATTTCAATTTTAAGACCCGCCACAACCCACGTTAAGTCCGGTCTGACTTCGGTGCTGTCATACCAAAATGCCAATTAAGCCGGGCCGTCACCTCACTATATATACGATACGTATATATCCGTAACCGAGCAACAGCCGTCGAATCGAAAAAAAGGTCTGTGGAAAAAATTAAAGATAAAAAAGCGTCTCAGTTTACGCTCCATGCATACACAAATGTTTTTTATGCGAGAGTTTGGAGCTCGAGTCAAAAAAAGGTGGAATTCTTTAACAAAATATGCACAACTCTCTCGGATCCGAAGGGAAAACTCACCGACGGCAGGGAAATCTCACTGACAGGCCTAATGATGTGTGAAACGATGGTCATCATCGCATAACTGTCACAATGCGATAACGATAACGATTATGAGCAGATGATGGCGAGGATAATTTCGTTTCGAGTCCGCCTCATCAAAATGCGCTCTATCACAAATTTTGAACAGCGCTCGCCTAATTACCTTGCCCCCCACACAACTTTCCCCCTCCCTCCCCCTCCGCATTTTCCTTGCGGCCTTTGTCACGGCATTAATTTCCCATTGACGTGGATCGGCACTCGAATTTTCCAGCCAGCTTGATTCGAGCTGGAAATTGGGTTAGCCAAGGTTGGTTGGCTCCAACTCGAACTTAATTTCATTTGCATAAATTAACAAAAATTGAATCAGGCCGGGCTACTGCTTTGGTTTTAGTGTGGATTAATTCGATATAAGCTGCATTTCATCCGCCTGGTTTCTGGCATCGTTTCCTTGTCTCGCACTCAATGGCCAAGTTAATGAAATTCATTACCGAATGTCGCCCGTCACGCAAATGTGGGTCTATCTAACACAATTACTTCATGTAAGCCCTCAGCAGCAGCAGGCGAGAAGCACTTGTTGCAAGTACAATCGGTATTTGTTGCACTTGCAATCTCAGCATGTAACGTGCAACATCTGTCGACAGTTGGTGTGAATTTCAATTCCCTGTCAAGGGTTTCTGTTTTGGGTATGCTGAGTGGAAGCTACTTTTCTAAAATATATTTAAGTCATTTATAAACATTTATTACTTATTTTAAATCCCGAAATATTAATTTAAAAATGTTGTAGTGTTTAAAACAATATTTTTATCCTGGCACATAGTTTTGCAATTTCTGTAACATTTTAATAACTTTAAAAAATGCAAAATAACTTTTTCAAATACCAAATACCGTTTAAAGCTCGTAACATTCGATCACCTAATTCTCAAGTGAGTCATGATTTAAGGTCCCATCAATACCATCAGCACTAAATAATTTACAGCTTCACCGCCAGGTTGTCCTAAGGGCAGCAGGACCTTGGCATCCTGACACTCGAAGAGCAGACAGTGCAGCAAATCCTCTTAGGATTCTGCTGGTCGAACTTCAAGTGGCTTCTGCCTGGTTTGCATGGCTCGTAAATCTGCAGGCCAACATACGGCGAACATACTAGTAGAGACAGACGGCAACAACAGATGAATAACGATGGTAATAAAGCTGCAAATGAAAAGGTCAGGGGGCGGGGCTGCTGTTTTTTATCCCTGCATTAGCAGAATTCCTCGGCGACACATGCGATGCGATCCGAGTGAAAGCAGGCAGAGTGAAAGTGCCTGGATAAGTTGTGCTGCTGTCAGAACTCTTTGAGTGGTGCATCAATATTTCAGCATCCTTTGGGATTGCGGAGAGCACACGTGTGCCGGTGTGTCCAACTTTTTGTCTGATTAATCCGGTGAATTAGACAGAGAGCATACTTGATGCGGCTCAACTGGAAAAGAACTCCAAACAACTGCCAACGAGGACAATAAGGCCATTTGCCACGGGTTAATTAAGGTAAATGCGTTGAATGAACTCCGGTGAACACTCGAGGCCAATAGAAAAGTTTAACTCATCCCAACGAAAATACAAATATAGTAATAATTATCCTTACGACTTCACTCGCTCTTTTAAGTACGATTTCAGCCGCTCATCGACCAGATTATCGCCACAAATCAGCGCTGCCGTGGCGAAAACTGCGCTTGAAAGACGAGATTTAAATTAACGTTGAAATATGGTACGCATACATCCAGTTGTCAGGGACACACAACCCCCTCCCCCGGCAGAAAAGGGGGTAACGGGTGGGGAGTCGACAAAGGACTCAAAGGAGCGACCGCAGCCAGCCGGAGAACCTTCCTTCCTTCCCGGGAACTTAACCCAAAACTCTCTTGCTGCCAGGGACAAGCAAAACCAAAAGTTCCACAGAACTTTATAGGAATATTTCTGGGCCAGAGTTGAGGTGACATGCTGACGCAGCTCGAAAAAAAGGTAGCCGTAACTTTTTAACGGCTGCTGGCTGCAGAATACTCTGCCCTACGATTTATCGCCTTAAACAAAGATCTTAAGCCGCTAAAAAGCTGAATAGCAAAGACTTGGAAGATATAAAAACATCTTAGTTGGCAAAAGGGAATGAAGGAGGTCTCTTTAAAAATAGTTTTACAAAAATATTATCCTTTAAGTTCATAGGCTTTAACAGCCATAAATAATTAAGTTGCTTTTTTAATTATAGAAAAATTTTCTTGGGTGGTAATTATTATATTATTATTCTTCAGTTAATATTAGCAAAAATTAAACTAAATAATTCTTAGCTGTTGTTTACCAAATATCAATCTTTGTTTTTGCACAAACCAACAAATACCCTGAATATATTCCGCATATCCTATCCCTAGTTTTTCTTGACCCTCTCATTTTCACAGGGTATATTAGGGAATGTTTACCCAAGGATCTGCCGCCAGTGGCGGATACAGGGGGGGGGCGATAGGGGCGATCGCCCCCCCTCAGCTTCTGAAAAAAGGTGCTTCACTGGCGTGAACTTCGGAAACCTGCGTGTTACAGCGTGTCGCCAGTCCTTCCTTGCCCTACTTCTTCCCTTGTCTATCGCTCCTCCTAAGACTAACTAGCCTAGCATTGCTACATACGCATTCCGAAATCAGTATTCACATCGAGAGAGTTATAGAAAAGTTTTTAAAAAGAGGGAAAAGAATAATGGAATTCGCCATTTACATTAAAATTAATTAATTTATTTGTACAGAGTGTTTTGAATAAAACTGCGTATAATTTTTGATTATTTGCCACCTGCTACTTGCATTGTTTAAAAAAAAATTTTGATCGCCCCCCCCCAGGCAGATACCTGTATCCGCCCCTGTCTGCCGCAGACACATTTGGGTTATGTCACAATATTTCAGCAGTTTTTAGGGTGCGGTGGCTAGCCAATTCCCAATATTTGGCAATCTCACCTGATCTGAGGGAATGCATCAGTGTGTGTGTGTGTGTGGGCGTGCTTGTGTGTAAGTGCTTATTAATTCATTATTTAGGGGACTCAGCGGTTTTTGAGTGAGTGTGTATATCAGTGGGCGATTGTGGTTATTTTGTGCACGCTTGGATTTTGGCGGTCGGTTGTTAGCTAGTGCATTATTTATGCCAGTTGCTTATTTATGGCGGGCACTGTGGGAGCGGGTGTATACTTACCGCTATCACATTCCTCGTTCACATTCATCTCCAGCATTTTGGTGTGCGTGATGTCCTTGTGGGAGGCCAAAAAGAGCACCACATCCCGCTTCTCGTTCTTGATGGGCACGATGTCGAACAAGCACCAAAACGGGGCACCTGCAACGAGATTTCTCTTTAAGGGGTTATATACCTTTTTTATTTTCAAAAAATCGAAAATTTTTTTATTGTTTTATCTTAAAGAACAACTCTTTGAGAATATTTTCCCAAATTTTCATAGAGATTCGAGCAGTAGAAAAAAAGTTACAGCGCTCCTAACCGCGCGCCTCGTAGCGGCTAGAACCGGAACTTGAAACTTTAAACGCGAATATCTCGAAATGGTGTTTCTTGAAAAATGACTTTGCGGTGATAACGATTGCCGGAAAACTACTAAGCCGATTTACTTCAAATTTTTTTTTAAATGTTCGTAATGAAATTGTCTTGTGCTTGAACGATCGACTTTTCACGCAAAAATTTTTTTTTCGCCGAAATTAATTTTTTAGTGAAATTTCTAGAGACCAAAAAGCTCATTTTTAGCATAAAACGTTCCCGTATGCATAAAAAAATAAAAAAATTTTAAATCGTTCGTTCAAGCACAAGATATTACTCTAAACTAATGAAATTTTTTTACTTTTATGGTTTCAATTGACCGGTTCGACCAGGAGCGTTATCACCGCAAGGCTCTAAAAAAAAAAAAGCCTCTAAGGGAAACAGCCACCCCTTAAAAACTATTTGATATTTTTCCTCGAAATTTTGCACAAACATAGTTAATAAAGGGTACTATCAAAAAATTAAAACACCCGTGTAATTAAATAATTGCTACATACCTAAAAAAAAATCCGAACTTTCCTCTTTTTTTCGACAAAGAAGGTATATAACCCCTTAATCAGCGGCATCGACAACGACTTTCCACGACATCGCGCATACGCCATGTGGATCGCGGTCGCTTGGCTCAATATTCGGCATGGCACAAATTTTAATTTGCGGCTGCATAATTGAAACCTCATCAAAGAAACCTCGAGCATCGATAGCAGCGGGAAAATAGAGTCTAGCTGAGCTGCGACTCAGTATTTAATAGCTTGTTAAACGCTCAAAAAACGCGGCAATTTATATGGCTAGAAATTGATAAATAAATTGCATGGCAATTCAATTAGACCGCAATTATTGTCCTGGCCTGCATTTTAATTATCTCCCGCTAATTACAAAGCCTGCCCGAGGTCAACCGGATCCAGTTCACCCCAAGTATGCCGCAGCCAGTGCATAATTAATAAAACATAGACCGGCACACACGAGAACAGAAGGCCTAAAGGCAGGAAAACGGGTGGCATACACTCGGAAAAAGTAAACTATCATCAAACTCAAATTACCCCCATATTAAACAATTTAATATAATGTGAATTTAAGAGCTCCTTATTAAATGTAACCACAAATCAGATCTCCTTTTTGTTCTTTCCAGTCTAACAGATGTATTTTCCCCAGTGTACGCACATTATCTTCGGCGTGTCTGCCAGTGGGTTAAAACTTTTAAACGCTTCGCTAATTAGAAAACTTGCACTCACAGCTGATGGATCTATCCATCTTGGCCTTATCTCTGCGCCGGCTTTGTCTTGATTAATCGTGACCTCATTAGGGCTACAAAATACCGCGGCCTGGACGTGCGAAAATGTTAAGAGCACAATTTATTGTACGCCCAGCATGTCAACGAGCCGTGGCAAAATGTGGGTGTATCGATGGGTGGGGATGTGGGGGATGTCCTTGCGGGACTCGAACATGAACATGAACCCCCCGAGGACCTCAGGAAACTAGTTCAAGTCTGTCGCGTTTAACTCAATCAAGAGAGTGCCCCACCACCACGAAAACAAGGCGACAGCCACTGACTTCAATTATAAGTCAATGGTGGTTACTCTCGGTTTCTGTGGCTCTCGGCTCTCGGAAAACTCTGCAGGTGCGACCGCAATTGATTGGCAACTTTTCACTCTTGTTATGGTAGTTTTCACGACTTTTGTCATCCGACGAGCAGCCGTAGAAAAGCAATAATACACCCGCATGTGAACAAGGGAAGCTCAACTTGGAATTGAATGACAATAGAGAAGTTATGCTGAGTAAATCATTGTGTGATAGGGGCTTTGGGAAAATTTTCCAATATTGTTGTTCTTGGGCTCAGAAGCAAGGATTACCAGGCAACAGCGAGGAGTTAATGGAAACTACCAAAGTTGTGAGTTGTATTCAAACCATATTTCCTAGACCCTTTGCCCTTTTCAGCCACTTCAACTAAGTTTTATCATGTGACCATCGGCGCAACCACAAGCCCAGGGTTAATTTCCTTTTGGCACCTCGCACCCCATTTTCGTGAAAATTTTTAATTAAAAAGGAGGCAGAAACAAAACAATTTTCACAGCATTCCCGCACATCGTAATTTGGACAGAGGACCTACCTTCCTTCTTGTAGAAAATAACCTCCAGCTTCAGTTCCATCTTATTGGAGAGGCTTTTCTCGATTTGCTGCTTGTGCTCCTCCTTCGTATCCGGTCCGTAAAGGAAATGACATGAGCAGCCTGTTTCGTGTTGGTGTTCGTGTTCGCCGGAATTCGCGTTTCCCCGGAGTTTGCGTTTGCCAGAGTTTACCAGAATTTGCGTTTGCAAGTTGGCAATTGAATAAAACGACAGAGTACAATACATTCAAATGAGTATTCGAGTGTTAAATAAGTTGAGTCCGTCGGACGGTTCGTCCTTACCCTTTTGCATAATTTGCGCGCGTGAATATCCTGTCAAATCCACGAACCCATCCGAGCAATAAACAATTGGATTGCCATTTGCCTGCGCATTGCCGAGCACAAAGTTCGAGTCTGAAAGTGGAGGAGAAAAGTTGGATGAGCTGGGGAAAACCGGAGCAACAATGGGAAAATGTAGTTGGGCTGGAGGGAAATGGAAATGCGGATGGGTGATGCTGAAGGATGATGTTCAGCTGCTTTTCATTTGCCATGAAATATTGTCCGGGCAAACAACGGTAATAAGACACAAGTCCTGCTGTGTGTCCTTTTCTCGACAAAACAAGAGAGATGGGCTGTCGCCTTAAAATTCACATTTTTCTATATTGCCAGAAATATGTAAATTCGCTTGAACATCAACCAAATCAACTTTAAATTTATTTGTATTTGTACACGTTGCTTAGAGTCAGTATGTTGCCATAACCATTTTGTCCTCACATTATTTTCCCAACAATGAATTCTTTTTCAATGAACTATAAAATGAAAACCTATCCAAAGTGCCCTTCAAAAACAAATTCGCCCTATGACAATAGATTTTATTTTATTGCAATCCCTCTCGCATTTATCATTTTTGGTATTAACAAAGCTATATTGTCATGAATTTAACCTTTCCTTTTTTTATGGCTTTGCCACTCGCACTTGACCTTCATGTCTGGGACATGCTGGGAATAATTTTTATTATTTGTGCAAGCGTAGAAGTAAACAAAAATCTCAGCAGCGCTTAATTAAATTTTCCGGCGAGCTCACTGCAGGAAATGAAATTTTTCGTGCCCTTTGGGTGGCTCCGAATACGATTTTTTGGCTTTGCTCCTGGGAAAATCCTGGGAAATCCAGCCAAGGAATAGTTCCCTGGATTTGCGCTGAGTGCGTTTATTAATAGAATTTCCAAAGAACACAATTCAATAAGAGCCAGCTTCACTTCGCTTTATTTACCTTTTCAATGCAATTTCATAAATAGAAATCCTACCCACTCCCGCATCCTTGCAAACACATCCCTTCCTGTATGTAAGGCCCTGTGAAAAGGACGAAGAGAGCGTAATTGCCGACACAATGGACAGATTACATGCAAGGATACATACACATGTGGAGAAGGATATGTCGATGTGGATGCGGATGTAGATGTGGATGTAGATGGAACAAATTGAATTGAAAGACAAGCTCAGAATGAAAACTCATACGATACACAATAAAGTTAATCTGCATGTGCCTTTTGTACAACAATAACAGCAAGTCAGAAATGTTCTAGAGATGAAAAGTAACTGCAATAATGCCATTTATTAGCAATCAAGGCCATTTTGTCGCTGGAAGCTCCGGGAAGGTGCCATTCAATTGTTTGCATTCGCTCTCCATTACTAATTGTTGTTTCCTCTTAACGAGGAAACCGTAAACTGGTTGTTAAATAATGCATTTTGCAGCCACCGCAATAACCAACAAATTAAAAGCAAATTTACTTAATGTGTGGCATCATCAATAAAAACTTCGGGAAAGTGCTGTGGTCGCATTAAGAATTAAGTGCACGTGGGGGAAAATCGAATTTAATTGTTTGCACTTCAATTAGTTGCCTTCATAAAACACAAATGAAGCATCAGTAGTTGGTTTTCTTTATTATTAGTGTTCAATTAAAAGTCAACAAGTACAAATAATGTAAATGAAAAAGTAAACCGTTTTTAGTAATTAATTGGCTGCAAACAACAACTCCATCAAGTTGAAGTTGGTCATGTCAACTGAACAAAGAGAATACAGAATATAGGATATCCAGTTTTAAATGCACATTTCTTGTAAGCCTGAGGGGCATGTTTTCATACTCGATTAACTATAAAACTAACAATTAGTGAATATAAATAGTTGGTACACATTTCCCACATCCCGGCTTGTAATAAATACGTAACACAGTTTTGGCAGCCGGAAGGAAAATCTCTTGCAGGATACTTTTGTTTGAGTTATTTGGTTGCTGCCGGCGACAGCGACATCCACACGCCCAACTGACTGACTCCGGCTCATTTAATATGCTTATTTTATTATTTATGCCTCGTAAAACCTTTTTAATCCCCCTGCCGGCTGAGCATTTCGCTTCGTGTTCAGAGTTTGTGACAACTCGTAAAGACAATTATCGCTCCCTATGTCTTTCTGTGTGCGAAATGAAACAATTAATTTATATGATGGGGGACTGACATGTTTTCTCGGGGAAGGAGCCTAGCAATGTCGGCACATGTGGGTCCTGTCAACAATTGCCAGTGGCGAAAGGAAACATCTAGTTGAGCCGGATTTCCCTGGACTTAAAACAAAATAGGACTCTGATTAAGGACAAACCAATCGATTGGAAAAAGTCAACAAGCCAGGGAAATAAACCTCTTAAAAAATAACAAAAAGAAGGAGAAAGAGAATGAAGAAATAAGATGTCATCACAGACAGTTAATAAAATACATGCATACTATTTGAGTAATTTTTAATATTTTTGAAACCTTTAAAGACATCTCAGGGCTCTCACTCTTGGATTAATGAAGAAATAAAATGTGTTTTTCCGTCACGGATTATTACATTTGAGTACGAAAAAAACTCAAAGAAATCTCCTTGGTAACCCAACAAGGCGCAGTTTAATTTACTGTAAAACATTTTCTCCCAAAGGAAAATATTTTTAAGGTTTCCAAAGGTCTTTTGTGTACTGCTTTTCGCGTAAAAGTAAAGAGAAAGTGGGCTGGTACACACAGCAGCACATAGTTTTAATTTCCCAGCACACGGTCCGCATTTTGCATGTTGGATGGGCTGATTTTCAATATGGACAAGGCTTCCCCACTCGCACACCTAAGTATATATAATATGTACATATAGAACAGCGATTCGTGACCGGTCGGCAGTTGTCCCTACGCACCAGCACTTAACTGACGTCTCCCTCTGAGTCCCTGATGTTTCGAATTTGGAAAAATTCACAAACAAAAGAAAATAAACTTTACACATTGCAATAAAAAATAGAAAAAAGACTTGAAAAATATTTTAAAGTTATAAAATTATAAATGTTATACATTTTTTGTATTATTTTAATACTACTTTCATTATTCCCTATTTTTTACGTACTTATGTTTTTAATTTATTTCTAGCAGTAAAATATTTTTTGCAGTGCTCAAATGAAATCTCTTATGCGTACTTTTTTATGAGTTGGCCAAAACGATGCCGGCATTTGGCTTATGCTTTTGCAAGCCCCAGTCAAGACTCTCAATAAAAAGTGTCATAAATATTACATTAAAAAATCATATGGAGCCCGGACTCGGACTGCTGGGGAATCGCTTGGCATTAGATTCGGCATTAGCATGAGCTTCAGCTGGAGCTCGGGCATTTCACTTACGGGTGCCATCGAACCGAGTGGCGATTGTGTCCAGGAATGTGTTCTGGGGCGCTAGCAGCCCCTTGCGGGCTGGCATGGGAATGGTGGGGCCGGTGCGCCTCTTGAAGCGCTCCTTGGGGCGTGGCAATGCTGCAAGTAGAAGGAGGAGAGCGACTTTATTTTTACTGCCGTTTTTCATGATTTTCGGTTTTTCGGTAATTCTAATAATGGGGATTTCAAACGCTCCATTCATTTTATTTTATTTCTGCATATGAACAAAGCAATCAAAATTAGGCGATTTAATTTCAATTACTTCCATTTTATTTTCGCATAGCAATCAAATTAGATTTAACAATAGGAATCCCCAAAAACCTAATTAAATATAAACTGTTTTTGTTACCAATAACTATGAATAAAAGCGCTTGAATTTATGATTGCATTTCATGGGAATAATATTATAATTAAACACATTTTATTCAAAATGAATTGAAATGTATTTTGTTACTAGCAGGAAGAAATTACAAATTTGTTTAAATTAGATATTAATTTTTTAACCGTGTTATATTTTTTTCACTATAAGTTCACATTTAACAACTTCCACTGTTTTTATTTTAATTGGCTTTTTTCGATTTATACCCATTGCATTGTGTGCTCTTCGACGGGCTTCCATTTGTTTTTATTTTTCAGCCAGCAGAGCGTTGATATGAAAATATTTGTATGCCAATACTTTTTCATTCAGCTCGTCGAACAATGGAAATCGAACTTAAATGGAAAACATTGCGAATCCATTTAACACACTCGCGTTTCCCGCTCAACAGCTCGAGTGCGTCGAGGTGTGTACATCAAAATCGACTGTTTTTTGCCGTTGATAGGCGTAATTTGTTTTTGCCCGCAGGTGCTGGCAGCGTTAATTTTCAGCAAAAAGACGAGCGGTCAAACGCCACCAACAAATAACCGCAGCAGCGACAGCTGTTGGGGCTTTCCACCAGGGAAAGCTGGCAAAAAGCCGAATTCTGATAAGAGTTCGACGTCACAAGCGAAATGTTGATATCGCAAATGCTAAAGGTCGAAGAACATACGCTTGCCCAGCGTTATTCTCCAGTTAGAAAAATGTTAAAGAATTTATTTTTAGCAAATCCTCTTTAGATTGTAAATTTAAAATTTAAATTATTATTACACATAGGTTCGAATTTAATTGATTTCCAAAATCCCCCATTAAAATACACACAAGCCAAGACCAAAGCCCTGAATTCCTGAAAATTACCAATCCACCGAAATTAATTAAACAACATAGTTCAGTGAGCAGCAAAAGATAAATTTCGAAACACCCTAACAACACGGTTTATTATCCGCTTTTGATAGCAAGTCCGACACAGAGATAAGGTTTAAACCTCATTGCAACCAGAAATCCCTTCAGCGCTCCGAACAGTTCGCTTAGATATCGAATGCAATTCTGATTAATATGCCATTACAAGAGGGCCTGTGACTGATGCAAAACCACTCACCACCCACTGGAAAGGCGGAAAATGCACACAGAACACACGCACACACACACACACACAGACACACTCGGGTTGCTCGATGGATTGTACCGCAAAATTTTCATTTCCAACATTTCCGGCAACCAGCAGGTGGCAGGCTGCATATGATTTCTCCGATCTGGTAAACCCCAACATATGTATATACATACATATACACACGCACGCAAACATGCGGCGGCATCTGCAATTGTTTGTATGTGTGCGTGTGAGTGCAATTTCCGTTTCCGCCTTATTCCACATGATTAGGCTGATGATACTTGGGCTTTTCCTTCTCCATGCCTCTCAACATGAGTTTTTCCTCTGGCGAAAAAAGGGACTTATTTCTTTCAGAGACGCTACGTGGTGCTTAAAGTTATTTTTGCATGAAATAATCAATGAAAGTATTGGTTGTGGGGGCAAAATCAAAGCTCAAAGTGAATTTTCAATTTCATAAATGTGCATAGCGCGCATCCATTCAGCCAACAACTATTCAAAACGAAAATAACCTTGTATGTGTGGTATTTCAATCCAACGAAAACGTGTAAACAAAGTTGAAAGCTCGCTGAGAGGAAAAACTGGTCATTGTTATAATATTTTTTATAACATTGTAAAGCAGATAGCAATTATAAATGGTTCTTTAATTTTTTGCCTTGTTCATTTCGGTTTTTGCTGGAAAGTTATCTTTGAAATGCAGATAAACACACAAAGTTGAAATAACAAAGGCTTAACAAATTACATAAATACAAACAACATAAGCAAACTGCATAAGCTTTTTGCAGATATTTAAATTGCAGATGATAAATATGAGTTTTAGTTTAGATAAAACTTTTATCTAATTTCACCACAAATGTATGAAAATTAAATGAAAAGCCTTCCAAGAAACACTTATAACCTTTCAATGGAAAATCTTGTTATCGTAGACATCCATTTCTGTTTGAAAATTCCATGAAAAAGGTATAAATAAATAGACTACTTCCTGGCCACCTTGCAGATATGTGAAAGGACCTTCCTGGCAGAAAGGAAATTATCTTTAAAGGAGATTAACAACGAGGAACGAAGGCAAACACCCCCGGGACTAAATCCTTGGCCAACATCTGGGAATTCCCTCACGCCGAAAGTCCGGCGTTCATTTAAGCAAATTTGGCTCATTCAGAAGCACAGCTAGCTAATAACCACGTTAAGGCGAAATCGCCTTGTAAGAGAGCGAAACGAGTTCGGAATTTTTAATTCCGCCTGCCGCATGTGGCGTTCCTGTTTTTTTTCGCAGAACAGAACTGCAGACTCCCGGAAAAGCGGCACGTGCTCCATAAAAAACTGCGTGGAAATCCGGCTTTCGGGGCAGCAGGAAGGCACGAAAAGCGAAAATATGCTTTTCTGGCCAGCCCACACACACACTTGGCTGACCAATAAAGGAAGAGGCAGTGGAACTCAGGAGGAAACTCAATTGCCCCAATTTTATTCATCCCATTTGCCACCTGCCCACATGGTTTACATGAAGAAACAATTTCGGGAAAAAAAACTTTAAGAATCAGTTCAAAAATGTTCAACAATAAAATTGAAAAAGGAATTTAGGCTGCACTTATTTGAAAGCTGCTTTATTTAAGAAATATTTACATATAACAAACACTATATTTTTTGGAGATAACAGATTTTAATAACAAATATTCTGGTAGTGCACTTTGAAAGGCAAAAAGTAAAATGAAACCACTCTTTTTTAAAGGGTAAGCCACCTATTAATCTTCGCCAGCACCTTTTTTATGGCTTTTTTGCGCTGCACCCTGCTCTGGATAATTCCGCGGATCACCTTCTGGTGATTCACCACGAGGTCGAACCACAGGTTCATGTCCGTCTCAAAGCTAAAGGCCGGCATGGCAGCCATATCCGAACGGAATCCCCGGATATAGTAGTTCACATCCTTGGGCCAGGGACATCGCTTGGGAATATTGCTGAACCGATCCATGTGCATGCGGCCCAGTTGGATGAAGGCGATCTGGTTCTTATTGGACAGCAAGCTGCATCCATCGATTCCCGAGAGATTGAACAGGGTGAAATCGTCGCCCATACGTCGCGGCAAAACAATCCTCATGTTCACAAAGAACTTGACCACGGGTCTTTGGAATTGCAACTCGATGTTGAAGGTTGGCCTCTTGACACTCTTACTCAAACCACATTTGAGGTGCGACAGCATCTTCTCCGGATCCTCACTGAAGCAGGTGCAATTTGTAAACACCATGTCAAAGTTGGACTGAAAGCACATAATTTTAAAACGCACTTTCCGTATTTTATAGCATAAAAATCACCTTTGCCTTCGTGTAATAAACGCTGGCAAAAACAAACAGCGTTAACAAAGTGAGCTTGGTGTACATAATGTTACAAGCGACTCGTAAATTCTGAATAAAAATATTATTATTTGCCCTGCTTAATTACGAGCGGCTCATTTGTACAGGTTGTAATCCATTTGACTAATTACTCTTATTTATAATCTCTCTATCTTTATAATAAGCTCGTTTTTTTTTTTTTGACTGAAGCGTTAATTGACTAAGGGATTACTGGTGATTATAGCGCAACGACGTTAATGATCTGATTACAAAACTAAATTACATATTAGTTTTGTTTAAACTGGTGACGCCGGAATTAAATTACAAATGCAGCTTGAATGCTGGATTTGGCTTCTCCTACATAATTTAGACGTAAAGACTTTGTCCTTTGCAGGCGTACATTTTCGGTTAATTATCGGGTAGATTTTCTAATTGTTGTTATAACAAAACAAGCAAATGAGCTTATACAGCTCAATAAACGCATCCAGTCGACTGTGTTTAAGTCTAGATTTGCCGCACTATTATAGTCTGATTGTTATTCCGGCATTAGTCACGCATCAGGAATTAATGGTCTCGAATTTTCCATTTAGACAATGCATTTGTAGCCAGACTCCAGTAGGATTGCATAATTTGTGGGGCTTTGTTCGAGTCTGCAAATGAAGGAGATGAAACCGAAGACATTGGGCGTGTTGATTATCATTTTCCTCTGCCTGCTTCTTAATTGGAAATCGGAGGCCGAGGCAAAGGTGCGTATGAGTGATGCACTGTTTGAAAATTGCCTCCACAGCATGTTTCGATTTCCCAGAACAATTTCGAGCTGCAGACAGACAATTTTACATGCAGTAGCGAGGATGTGGGCTCCAGGATACTCAATGAGTACAATTGTGGCATAAGCAAGGGTTCCAAGCGGCGCACGTGGCACATGGAGTTCACGCTGAAGCAACCGATTGCCGAGCACGAGTTCTTCATGAAAATCATCCTGCCGCGAAGGAGACCTTTGACGGACTTCGTCCTGTTGAATGTGACCACCGATGGCTGCCAGTTGCTGGCCAACCGCAATCAAGTGCCCCTCATGCGTTTGGGCCGCAACCTGATGGAGCGCTTCAGCAACTTTCCCAAGCAGTGTCCTTTCAAAGCCAACTTCTCCTACTACATCAGGGGATTCCGCCTGGACCTGAACGCCATCCCCGCCGTGGACATGGAGACCCCTGTCAACATCGAGCTGAGCTATCGGAACAAGCAGCAGGGACTCCGCTGGATCTCCGGCTATTTGGTGGCTCGGGTTCAGCGAATCGGGGAGAAGAAGCGCCCCAAGTAGAAATTCTGATTAATATCGATTTATAATCCAGAAAGGGAAACACAATATTATATAACTTCCTAAATCAAATCAATTAACAATCCTTAGGTAGTTTTATTCAAGGAATTGCAACCCTTTTTAATATAAGGGAGTTCTTAGCTTTAAAAGCACTCTAATATTTTTCCTAGTCTGTTTAAATTTCCAAATTGAGATTGACAACTTTTGGCCTAAACAAAAGTACCTTCCTCAAGCTCACATTAAATAAATGTGCGAATGACAAATTTGCAGAGGTGAGCATATGGCTGCGGAGTTAATATTGCAGAAAATCATCTGCCACCCGTCCAAAAGTCTGTCTCTTTCCCGCCGCCTGTCTCCGTCTCTTTCTCAGTCCATTTTTCCATGACAGTTCAACCAGATGATGTTGCTCCCGTTGTTACAGTTGTTGCTGCTGTTGGTGTTGCTGTTGCTACCTTTCCATTCACGGCAATTCTTTCCATGTCATTCCACAAATGTTGTTCAATTACCTGCGCTCAGACAGCGGCAGACCATTTATACACTGAGAATAATAAGCCTGAGTAAAAGCTTAAGTCCCCATACTATGAACTACAAAAAGTGCAACTTCTTTTTAGTAGATTTTTTCAATTTAAATATTTTACAATGATTGTTGTATAAATTATTATATTTGCACAATAATTCTATAAAGGAATAAAATACATTTTTCTATAAACTATTTTCTCTTTAGTTATTTCCAGTTTGGATAGCGAATCATTGTGGCGGCAACTGGTTGGGTTTGTTTGTATTCGAGTCTGTTCGACTGGCATTTGGCGAGACACGAGCCCAACCAGCTGCCACAATTTGGCATTTGACAGATGACGAGGCGGTGGGAAACTAATAACCCACTTCTCCCGCCCTCACCTGTCTGGGAAAAAGGCGAAATGAAGTGGGAAATGCGACATTGTCGTCAGTTGATGATTTGTTACAGTTGCCTAGTGGAACAGTTGCCTAGTGGAACAGTTGCCGGTAAATGTAACTGAATGGACTTCCGACGGCCATGTGTTGCATTTGCCACAGGGAAAGGACCACAAAAAGTGTCAACAGCAAAAAGACGGGTAATGGACAAAGTGCCAAGAGAAGTTACTATAACAAATCAACATACGAACACCCTTTAAATCAGCTTTAAAGCATTCAAGATTTAAGTAGCCTTCACATATTTTAAATTGAAGAACACTTTTCAGTTTAAACAACGATTTATTTTAATTAAAACGACCGTTATTCAAGCAATTATTAACTCTACCTTTTATCTTTAAATGGATAGCCTTCAACTTCAAAACCAGACTACATAAAAACAATTTTTCATCTAGCTTCCTTCACTAAATTTCCTTTAATATTGATTATTTTTCTTCCTTTTCTTTATTGTCCTGCGGACATAATTCATTCGCACCCTTCTCTATTCTCTGCTGCTCCTTCGCGTTCCTTTATTTTCCCCACAATCCTCCATTTTCCCGATCAGCTGGACTGCCTTTCAGGACTGAATTTTAATTAGATGTCAGGGATTTGCATGCATGTGTGTCTCATTACATTGGAGTTAAGCAAAGTCGCCTGTCACTTGATTTGATGGCCAAGGGAAAGCTGCTGCCAACATTGATTTTGGCCAGAACCCTTCTCTGATGCGGTCCCAAACCAATTAAGGCCAACTGTTAATTGGCCAAGTTGCAGCTGCCATTTGTCTTTGGAATGGCCTCTGGTTAGTTTGCGAAACTTTATCGTCACTTTCTCAAAACGTCCTCAAATGTCAAACTTGATTGGGAACATTTAAATGATTAAATAATAAATAACATGGAATGCACACTTTAAAGTTGAAAACAGTATTTTAAGCTCTAAAAAGAAAATGTATTCATGGAATACTAAAGGAATAAGTTATGTACCATAAACTGCAAGATACATTTGCCAAGAATTTTCAAAAAAATATTATCAACTACGTTCTTAGAAAGAATTGATTTTGGAAACATAAAAGTAAAGCTTATATCTACAAAATTCCGAGAATAAAAAGCAATAAAAACTCGCTACTTTATTTCCGATAAAGGAAACAAAGGCGACTTAATTTCAACACCCTTTTCGACCCGCTTCACTGTCTATAATATAAACACCCGCCCACATTAACAGAGCTGATAAGTTGCAAACAGATTAGGGCCATGAAATTTTAATCAGTTTCATGCCCAAGTGGGCAAACAATTGAAAGCGAAGCCACCTCGAAGTTTTGATAAAACTCTGCCACAAATTCCTGTGGCTGCCCCACAACTAATGAATAGTTTAGCAAGCTTTTGGGGAAGCGTGTGTTCTTGAAGCTCGCCGCAGAGTGCTTAAGCTGAAATCTAAAATGAAAACCAACGGATAATTAACGCAGCCCCACAATCCTTTTTATGGCCCAGACTTTCGGCCGTAATGGCACACAGGGAAAGTGCTTTGCACCTTTTACAAAGTTGCGTGGTTTTTAAGACTTGTTGGCAAAAGTTTTTGGGATTTTTTCGCCGGTGAGTGCAAACTTTTCACGTGTCCTGGCGAAGTGCCTTTGCTTGCGCCTTTCTTGGCTTAAATTCAATTCGCACTGCCAAGTTCAACAAATTAAATCTGGAGACTCCCTAAGACTCGCACACACACGCCGACACTTTATAATTAATTAAAGCAAGTTTGTCTTTCGGCCAGGAATCTGGAGCACATTTGCCATGGCTGTCGTTGAATATTCAATGAAAAATGACAGGGATAAATATTTGCGTGGAGCAAGCGGAAAAGTCAAGTGTTTTCCTGGGAAGAGTCGACTTGGATCTACTCTGGAAACGAAATTTGTTTACTCATATTTAGAAATATAATACTTAGTTAACAAAACATTTTACAAAACAATTTCCAAAAAACAAAGTCATAAGTTTTATAAATATTTAAAATGAATACGAGAGGAATTAACATTTTAATAAAAGGTTTATTCTTTTATTGTTTTATGGAACTCAAAATTCTTGTTATTTGTAATTTGAATTCTGGGAATTCTTCTCTTCCTAAATGTAATCCCATAAAATTGGATAAATGTAAAACTGTGTAGCATGCCCCGCATAAATGAGGGTGTCTTGCAAGCAAGTCGAGCTGGGCAAACAAACCCGGGCATAAAAAGTCATTTTCATGTTGTAATGGCCAAAGTGCAGAAATTGTGAAAATTCATCTTTTCAATTTCACCCCGCCCGTCCGCACTTTTATGCAAACTTGCTCTGTCGTTTTTGTTGCTGTCAATTTCACAGATTAATGCGCACACATTTCGACGCCAAAGTCGGCAGCAACATTTATTATTGACAATGGCCAAAAGTTCTGCCATTCGCTTTGCGTTTCGGCCAACATCCTTCTTCTGGCCAGACGGCGAAGCGACAAAAATTGATTTACAGTATAGATATTTTAATCATCAAAGCTCTTGGCTGTTAGTTCTTAGTTACAGCCTCTATCCGCCCCGAAATCAAATTTATGGGCCACGTCGAAGGAAGAGAAGTCTGCTCCAAACACAATTTATGGCCACCCATCGGGGGGCGGTGGGTGCTAAAAGGAGGCGTGGTCGCCTGTTGAGTGAGTTTTCGGTGTTATTTCTATGCGAATAAGAAGCTTTTCCGGTGCCCTTGGGGCTGTTTACTTTTGAGGAGTTGTATTCCGCATGGTCGCAAAAAGGCTTTCCTGGTACTTTCTAACAAAGACTTCGAAACTCAACTTGAGGGCTCTTCCCGGAATTAATAACTTGGCAAAACCATAAAACAATTGATTGGAAATGGCTCTTTGAACAAAAACAAAAAGCAGTTCAACCTATGAAACATTTTGGTCTTATTTAAAACCTATTCAAACTGTAGAAACATTGAAAATAATCATTCTTTTTTCTCAATTATAGAAAGCAATTTCAATTGAATTTCATAAAAAACTGAAATGTTTTTATCTGCAGAAAAAGTACTCGACGCCTGAAGGTATATTTATCTACAAAAATGAGTTTTTGTTGAAAAAATATTTGTCTTGCTTTTTCAGAAACTGCGGTTTACTTATCAAACTGCGGCTTTATAAATCTTGTGGCATTGCAATTTTCCAAAACGGAACCAAGCGAGTCAAAGGTTTTTTTAAGCCTTATCAGTAAAACCACTTTCTTTGCTTCTGTGAGAAAAAAAGGCTCGTCCGATGCAGTTTGTGGTTAGAACTTGTATATTATATTTTGCATAGTATTTCGCAGATAGTGCGGCCTATAAAATGCTTTCGTTTCGCTGGCAAAACTACAGTTCTCCAACAGGCGTTGTTCAGTGAAGTGAGAAGTTGAATTCCATAGAAAGAAGCCATGACCAACACGGACCTGAAAGCCTTGGAGCTCCTGTTCCAGCGTCCTCTGGAACCGGCCTTCACCACCAGGGACGCGGGCAAAACCGTGCTGGAACTGCCCGACAGCTTCTACACGGATCGCTATCGCAATGAAACCGAGGAGGTGGGCAACCGATTCTCCAAGGACGTGGATTTAAAGATCCCTGTCCAGGAACTGGCCAGCGTTCCCAATCTGGACTTCACCAAGAAGCTGGGTCCCAAGGCGCAGTTCTCCCTGTTCAACAATCGCCATCAGGAGATCGCCAGCCAGCTGATCTCCCTGTTTTTGGGTGCTCCCAATCTCAGGCAGTTTGTTTCGCTCTCCGTTTACACCAAGTGGGTATTGAGTTATTTAAATTGGCTTTTAGTTCGCAATTGGGTAAATGATTTCTCTTAGGGATCGCGTGAATCCCGTGCTGTTCCAGTACGCCTACGCCGTGGCCGTTGCCCATCGTCCAGATACGCGACAGGTGCCCATCACCAACATTTCCCAGGTCTTTCCAGGCAACTTTGTGGAGCCCTCCGTCTTTCGCGTAAGTCTTTATCATTTTTATATTTTTATTACAAATTTAGCTACTCAGTAACCACCTTCTTAACTTTATCCCAATCACAGGATGCCCGCCAGGAGGCCTCTGTTATTGGAGAGAGCGGCGCTCGTGTGAACTTGGAGGTTCCACGGAACTACACCGCTTCGGACCGCGAGGACGAACAGCGGTTGGCTTACTTCCGGGAGGACATCGGCGTGAACAGCCACCACTGGCACTGGCATCTGGTGTACCCCACCCAAGGACCCGCGGAGGTGGTCAACAAGGATCGCCGCGGAGAGCTCTTCTACTACATGCACCACCAGATCCTGGCCCGCTACAATGTGGAGCGGTTCTGCAACAACCTGAAGAAGGTGCAGCCGCTGAACAACCTCCGTGTTGGAATCCCCGAGGGCTACTTCCCCAAGATCCTCTCCAGCACGAACAACCGCACCTATCCTGGCCGGGTTACCAATCAGATGCTGAGGGACGTGGAGCGCGACACCGGAAATATCGAAATCGCCGAGGTGGAGAGATGGCGCGATCGCGTCCTGGCTGCCATCGATCAAGGATACGTCGAGGATGTGAGTTTACAAGGCTTTAGAAAAGAATTCTTACTAGAAAAGTGTTTACTTTAAATTTCCCTGAATTCGCTAAACTACTTAAGATAGATAATTACTAACTCCTCTATTTAAAATCTCTTCGATCCCCAGCCTTCTGGCAACCGCACGCAATTGGACGATGTCCGCGGCATCGATATTCTGGGCAACATGATTGAGGCATCCCCATCGCTCTCCATCAACCGGAACTTCTACGGCAACCTGCACAACGAGGGGCACAACATCATCTCGTACGCCCACGATCCCGATTACCGCCACTTGGAGGAGTTCGGCGTGATGGGCGATGTGACCACGGCGATGAGGGATCCCGTCTTCTACAGGTGGCACGGATTCATCGACTCGATTTTCAACAAGTTCAAGACCCTCTTGCCGCCCTACAACTCCGAGCAGCTGAACTTCGATGGCGTGCAAGTGGATTACATCGAGGCCAAGATTGGCAAGTCCAGCACCAAGCCCAACACTCTGCTGACCTACTGGCAGAAGTCCTCTGCCGATTTGGCAGCTGGCCTGGACTTCGGACCCGCCGCCGACGGCAACATCTATGCCTCGTTCACCCATCTGCAGAACGCCCCCTTCACCTACACCTTCAACGTGACGAACAACGGAGCCAAGCGCTCGGGAACCTGCCGCATCTTCATCTGCCCCAAAACCGATGAGCGCAACCAGCCACTTCGTCTCGAGGATCAGCGACTCATGGCCATCGAAATGGACAAGTTCACAGTGGATTGTGAGTACAAGTTACCTATTTAAATAACTTTAGCTAAGCTATACCTGTGTAGTTTTCCTCTTCTCAAAAAAAGAGTAGGTAAATTATCCAACAAACCTTTGAACTCATTTAATTTCACTATACTATCTTTGCTCCAAAAACAAACTAACCCTTTTAACCAATCCCAACTTATTTATGAAACCTAGACATCCTACAGAATTTCTGAGTTTTCCTTTGGGCAATTTTCTACTGTGCAAGAACCTTTCGTTCGCACAGTCAATTATAATTAACTGGAGATTTGGGCACCCCACCCCGGAAGTTCCTATATTACTTATTAGCATTATTTAATTAATCCCCAGTGGTGCCCGGCGTGAACACGATTCGCAGGCAGTCGACGGAGTCCTCGGTGGCCATTCCGTTCGAGCGCTCGTTCCGGGCAGTTGGAGCGGACTACCAGCCGAAGGCCGCCGACGAGCTGGCCCGCTTCCAGTTCTGCGGCTGCGGATGGCCGCAGCATCTGCTGCTTCCAAAGGGAAAGCCGGAGGGCATGGTCTTCGACCTGTTCGTCATGATTTCCGACTACTCGCAGGACTCCGTTCAGCAGCCCAACACGTGAGTGGTATTAACTCGGTTTCCCATCATTTCCGCCTGACCTTCCTTCCCTCCTTCCCTTGGCCATCGCCCATTAGACCCAATGACGCCTGCAGCACGGCTTACTCGTTCTGCGGCCTGAAGGACAAACTGTATCCCGACCGACGCACCATGGGATTCCCCTTCGACAGGCAGCTGCCCAATGCCAATCTCACCGAGCTGGTCGGCGCCTTCGGCAACATGGCCAAAACCGATTTGAGGATTGTCTTCAACGATCGAGTGGTTGACAAGTCCTAGGTGAAGGATGAAATCATTTGGGCCGAATTTAAGGATCAAACCGAACGCACTTGAAACGGACTAACTCTTGGAACTTCGAACTCTGCACCTCTATATATATCTACATACATTTCGGCCTCTCAATTTGGTGTTTCATCGGGTTAAATTAAAATTACTAGAAATAAATACGTTATTAGCCAGCATAAAACTTTGTAAGACATACTTTATATTTTGTAGTAAGGGAAAAAAAGTATTCCATTTTCAATTTCCTGCACAAAACCTTTCGGGAAGATCAAGACAGAAAATTTACTAGATTTTTATTTATTACTTTTTCCAAGGCAGCTTTATATAGCGAACGCAGCAAAAACAGATACGATAAATATTTACTGATATAAGAAATCCCGGTCTGGAAATATTTGCTTTCCAAATATTTGCTCTACCTTATTGAATATTATTTATGCCAAAGATATACAGACATCCACGGCCGCAGATGGGCGTTTATTTGTCGTAGACAGCCACGCCCCCCGAATGGGCGAGCTAATCCTATTAGACTTCAAAGCGGTTTGCTCGACAAACTTGGCGACTGCCCATGTCCAAAAGGCCTTGACTTTCCGCCCACCGCCAGTATCGGGTAAAACGGGGGAAAATAGGAAAAGATCCTGGCAACAGCCAGCGAAAACGCTGCACGTGTTGCGCTTATTAATTTTCGGCATTTACCGGCTCGAGCACTTTAATTAGACCGCCACTGGATGCGGATGAAGTTCTGGAGTTCGGATTAGGAAAGACAACAGCTGCAGCTAACAAATTGATTTTTAATAGATTTTTATGACTCCTTCGCAGGGCGCTTAATGATGGCCTCATATCGCGCCACATGGCGTATACGTGATGAAATTGAGTTTCCCACTGCAATCAGCAAAGACATTTGCAATCGCTAATTGGGTTGATTTGCGAAAAAGAATAGGAGCCTCAAGTCTATGACTCATTAAAAGAAAGCATCAAGAGACACATGTGTGACTAAAATCCAACGCACTTATTAAAATCAAAATTTAAATGAGAACAAGCTGACGCTTAAAGCGCAAACTTTTCCCATGGCGAAAGATAAATAAAACGGCAACATTTTACATTATCTCTGGCTTTAAACCGAGTTCAATGCGCCCGTACAAAGCCCATTCAGAAAGTTGGGGCTAATGTTGACAAGCTACGGCTAAGCAATTTAATCTCTTTTGTTGCCTCGAACCGGGCTTTTTATTTCTTTTCAGAGTTGCATATTTTATGACCGTATTTTTGTGTCTACTGCAACTGGTGTAAACTTTCGCCGAGGATTCAAATTAAATTACACCAGAACGGTCAATTTGTGTGCTACCCTAACGAAAAGCGAAGGCGTTTCGGCTCTGAGAGGATTTAAGTAAATATCCCCGAGGAAGGCTAAAACACGTTTGAGGTAATAATAGTTGAAAGGAAGCAAAAGCGACCGAACGAGAGTATTTCTTGGCTGTTGGCTGCCCCACAGCTTTTTTATCACTTCTTCCTTTTTCAATCATTAGACCTGGCCACAGGACATTTCCACTCACTTCCTTCGCATTTATTTATGTGGGTAAATTGTAGAAAATTAAAAAATAGACAAAAATACGGAGCAAGGCAAAAAGTTGCCAAGTCCCTTTAATTTATTTTGGTAGCTGCGGGGCAAAAATTGTGGTTTTTTCTGGGGGAGGCGAAAAGCTGCCACTTTGGCATAACTTTGGCCTTAGCTCTGGGTCCTTTTCCCTATATGCTGCTCAAGGGACTTCGCCTGTTTGCCGTTCTCTGTTTGTTGTTATTGTTGCCATTAATGTAGCTGACTTTTCCCCGTTCTGGCTTTGCACTGTGGTCCGGCTTGTATGGGGAGAGCGGCCAAAAATACTTCTAGTTGAGGTAGGGACTTGAAACTTTGCAGAAAATTTTTGTATATTTATCCTAAAATAATATGTAAAAATCAGCCAGATCGGGCAACTATATCATATAGCTGCCATATGAACAATCGGTCTGATATTCAGTTTTTATATGCAAAATTGAGACAAAACAATTTTTAATTATGGCAGAACCATGTAATAATACTTTATGAACCGATGCAGGAAGGTAGTACCACGGATATTTAATGATAAGTAGTTTTGCTGTTTCTAATGCACACTCTCCGAATTTTGCAGAATTTATATTGTAGCCTGATGAAATCGCTTGCAAAATTGTTGAGCATCTTATTATTAAGTTCTCTTCAACACCTGTTATAATAGCAGACATATCAGGATTATTAAAAAATGCCCTGGCAGTATTGCCATCGTTAGAATTTCCGCTTCCGCCTGCTTTAGGCTAGGTTACCTTTTTGTATTTTGCAAGCCGCACGGCACCTTACGGCACTTGAACTAAACTTTCTTATATTCTTAAAATGCTTAAGAATATTATACAAAAAAGATTTGTGAATGCCAAAGAGTGCCATCACAACTAAAACTCTAACCAAACACAGAAAAGACAAACTAAGAACGTTCACAATTATGTACTAAATACAACAATGATTTACACAACACACAACAAATACTACATATACTTTTTATTGTAAAAAGAAAGTTAATACCTTTCTTTAAAATATTAATCACTTCCATGGCACAAACGCTTGTTTTAAAAATGTTTAACAAGTTTTTTGCGGAGAGCTTCACTTGCACGTTGCTTACGCTGCAGTACATAATGAATATCATGCTATCTCTTTCGATGCTATTCTTGAAGCGGACAGACGGTGCAAAACAAAAAGATGAATTAATTCAAATAGCTAGACCAATTATAAATAAGAATTGGTAAATTTAAAGTTAAAATTTGGACTTTGGTTTTTTTATTTTGGGCCTACGGGCTGGACCACTGTGCTTTGGGGTTTTGAAAAAATATTTGCTTGGGTACTTGGCATATTAGCATACTTTTCTACACCCGCACGTATGCAATAATTGTAAATCATGGGTTTTCAAAAAGTTTGCCGCTTATTAGGTAGGGAAATCCCTCAGAAAGCGTATGAAATTAGCCGACGGACAAATGCATAATCTCCCAAGTCAACAATATTTGTTTACTGCATTCGATCTGCGCAATTGATTGCTTAATTTCTGTAAAATTTCCATTCAATCAAATGTGAAGCCCATTAAAAATTCAATCAGACGTGAATGAAAAGCAGCCAGTCAAATTCACGCACATGCCACATTCAATTCTGTTTACTGACCTTGCCCCAATGCACTTTCTATTACATTGTGCATATGTGTCTGATCTTTGGGGCGAAGAAGAGATCTGCATCGCATAAACTTCAAACAGCCCGAGTAAAAATAGATCAACTTCAACGCATTCTCACACGTTTCTATCCAAATTTGGACTTAAAAAATATTTCTATACATCTTAAACCTTTTCTTTCGATATCAAAAGCTGATGGTTGATATGTTCCTTTCATTGTAATCATTTTATTTGATTTTTTTGTCGACTGTACAAATAAATGTTGTAAAGGGAACCAAGCCTAATAATGCTTGCCTTGTGCCAACGAAATAATAAATGAAATAATCCAGCTGCTCTGCACAAAACCAAGACCAGTGACTGGATAAATATTATTCAGTGAAGGAGCTTGAACTTTTCATGTGTGTACTTACAACAATGGCCAAGTTAATAGCTTCAAAAACATAGAACAATGGCAGTTTTTGTTTATTATGTTAATTGTGCTTTGCTATATTTTAGCTTAATTAAATATGCAGAAAGGTAAACATTTCGCCTAATTAGCTTACGTTTTGCATATGTCGTAACCTAATATCGTGATCTCTGCTGTGTGCCAAACAAACATATGGATGTGTTTGCCTTGGCTGACGTGCATGAAATCCGATATTGATTTGGACCTGGGGTTCCTTTCCGCGAATATCGCAACCCCACCACAATGCGAGTGACAGAGCACTGGGAAGTGAGTGCTCCTATTATAATAGAAAATCATCATTACTGCCGCATTGCCCATCGAATCCGATTGCGATTCTGATTCCGATTCGCATGCGGATTGCGATGGGAAAGGTCCCGAGTCCTGAAGCATGCTAATTGTTTGCAATTATGCTTTGAGCCGACTTCTCTTTGAAATGGAAACGAAATTGGCAGCGGGAAATCAGGAGCGGCAGCACTTGAGTGCATTAAAATGCTGGAATATTTCCCAGCGATTGCCCGCCGTTTTCAAGGGGAATTAGGTTAACCGCAGGAAATTCATGTTTAATTGAAATGCCATAAGATTTTCCACCATATCTGGATAATTGGAAAGCCGCAGAGTGGAGAGTTATTTAACAATTAATTATCAGACACTCATCGCTTGCTAATAGAGTTTTAAGTGCTTAATTAATATTTTTAAAACATTTATTTTAATGCTATGATATGCCCAAATTGTTGTAAATTTTCATCACGAATAAAATGGGTCACCTTTTCTCCCATGAATTTCCGAAATTACATTTAAATGTAGGATCCTGCTCCCTATTGCCTACTAAAAACAATTCAATTGAATTTAATGCCTGATTATAGGATTATTTGAAGCCTTTGAAATAATAATGGTGGGTCTCGCTGTTAATTTGCTATATATTTTTGGAATGTTTATCTGCCACGCGCTGGCTGGCCAGTATTTACCTTTCTCCCGGCAAGGTAATATTTAAATTAATTGCCAATAAACCGTCACTCAACATCTCAACTTGCGCCAGCGACTTTGACAGTCCGTCGGGGCAAAAACTGTGTTAATTTTCTAACTTCTGCCGCTTTGTTTATGGACCCATTGCCATTGGCTTCAACAAATCACTTTTATCTGCCCCCTTGCCGCCGTCAAATTCAGGTGGTAGTACAACAACCGACAGCTGTGTTATTTTAGCGTTCAATGCGATCGATCCCCTGGAAATTTATGTTTTATGCACAAACACACACCGTGCAGGCAAGTAAATAAACAGGCGGCTGCAACGCTGTTTGTTTTGCCAAAAAATTAACACAAATAACAGCTTAAACGATAAGGCGCTGCTAAAAGCTATTAACTGTGATGTCAGAGAGCCACATGTGCAGCCAATCGCATTTGAAGAACACTTAGAGAAAAGGCGATTGGATTCGATCACCTACCTATAGAAAATATATATATTTAAGTTTTAATGGATTAAGTGCAAAACATTTTTTTTTTAGTGTCAGCTATCCAGAAAGTGCTTCTTTTAAGATCCCATATGATCACAACCATAACTGTGTCGAAACTTGAACTTGGCAAGGGTTCTCGGATCTTTTATATTCAGTCATAAAGTAATTATTAACACGTGTGTTGCTGTAAGTTTATTGCCTTTTTCTTTAAACAAGATGATAATTACGAGATGAGAGGTGCTAAGTATAGAAAATGGGGCAATAACCTCTGGAATTTTCAATTATTTATTTACTAATCCTTAAAGTGTGTATAGCTAAAATAAATACAAGTAGGGGAAGTTAAAATTGTACTACTTTGTACCGCTTCGAGGAATTTACAAACCATTTGTCTTGAGACCCGGGAGCCAAATGAATATTTACAGCAAATTAAGTTTGTCGCCTCCAATTTGTTAAGTACGAAAATATTCATTTCCTCGCACCTTGATACTTGCCCCAGTTGGCCAAAGGAACGCGGTTGGAATTGCGGCTTCCCTGAGGCATTTTAAGGCTTTGTAGCCGGCACAATGTGCATAGAATTGCGATTCAAGGCAGGGACAGACAACAATTATTCTTATTCTCATTGCGAATGTGGGCGGCGCACATGGGAAGCGCTCTTGGGAAATGGGAAATGGGAAAACAAAACGGAAGGCTGCGTCGCCAGCATCTGCATTATAAAGTTTTAGCGGAACAAAAAGGAGGAAAGTGAATATTTTAATTTGGCTAGAGTGCAGTCCATATGTAGAAACGAAATACAATATAATAAGCTTTGACATTGTCTCCTCAACTGAATTACCTTGTTCCTAGATTAAAGTTTCTATGGGTTCTCTAGTTTCTTTGTGGTAGTCTGTGAGATTTCCCATTGTTTTCTTTTAACAGAATAAGGCACTCGTCCCTTAGCAAAGTTACTATTTGTTCTCTCATATATTTTTTTTTAATTTTATAATCTTATGAAGATTTAATCACCCAATAAATGTTAAGCTAACTTCTGAGTCACCGATGAATTCATCAAGGTCTTAATCGTCAAATGATTTTTAGGATTCAAATGCTTAGAGTCATAAATCAAAACGTATAAAATTAGTACTTGAAATTCGACGTTATAACAAATTATTATCGTACTAAAGTCTTAAGTCTAAAGTCATAATGAGTCTTAGGCGAAGTGTTGCCAAATTGGCAAGTGAAGGTTTATGGAAATTTTCACCCAACTTAGGTCCATACTTCAACGCTCATCTCCCATGGCATCCACTTCTTCATAACTCAACCAATTTTTGTAAGAACTTGGGATCAAGCAATCAGAGCAAGAACTACCGGAAATTTTTAGAAGACCCCGAGCTGCCGAAATTGATAAAGCTTTACCAGCAAGTGTGTCGGGGCTGTCATAAGAAACCTACCGATTATACCAAGCTTAAAAAAACTGAGTTAGATAACCCACCAAAGTCATTCTGGAAAACAAACATAGAATTGAGCCGTAGTTCCAGTCATCATAGAAAACATTCAAGATTGGATTTGAACAATCCAGCCGAGAAAACCCGCCAAAAAGCCCATTCTCCAGAAACTACCACAAAAACGAAAAAAACAGACATGAGTCGTAGTTCCAGTCATCATAGAAAACATTCAAGATTGGATTTGAACAATCCAGCCGAGAAAATCCGTCAAAAAGCCCATACTCCAGAAACTACCACAAAAACGAAGAAACGCGTAAAACACCAACCCAAAAATAAGAAAAATAATAGCAGCAAACAGAAATCCTTAAAAATATCAAGGCCCAGAATCACGAAACATAAGCTCCCAAAATCATTCTTATACAAACAAAAATCGGACTCAGAGGATCGTGTTTCACAAGAGCTAAAACTTGGGAAGGTGAGAATGTCACATCCTTTACAGCTAAAATTAGACCCAATCACCTTTTTTACATAAAACTCAGAAGTATCAAATCGGATTACGTTTTTTTGGATCGGATTTCAGTTTTAAATTTATCCGGAGACCTCGAGAGAAATCTTTGCCTGATCACGACACTGCGAATGAAGATGATAACCAAAAAGGCATTCCAGATACACATAAGCAGCTCATTGAAAAACAAAGTTCAATTTTTCGGTCTTTCAGCGGTGTACCAATTGGCTTTCCAATTACGGAGAGCGAATACACACTATCTTGGCTCCCAAGGGCGAATCTAGTTAATGTGAATTCACATATCGTTGACAGTTACCACTTCGCTCCTATCGACATTAATGAGTACAAAGATGATTTTCTTTCCCAGCATTCCTTGGAACCTGAGGCTTTTGAAAGGCGCTGGCCCAAAGTTCCTTGGCCAACACCTCTTAAGCCCAAGCCAAGGAAAGCTGAGAAAGATAATCTCCAACGTGCAACAAAAAAGATAGCCAAGAAAGTGTTTAATGATAAGAATTTCAAAGCTGCAAAGCCATATAAATACCATTTGTTAAGGTTCCAAATCTACAAGAGGATTTGCAGGAAATCAAGAAGATCGAAGACCTCTCAAACTAACGAAAAACATAATGGTTGTGAGCTGTGTAATTTTTGTCGACCGATCAGACAGCCCGACGAACCATTTATAATTGAAATGAAAAAACGGGAGGAACGCGAAGAACTGAAGCGTTATTACCTAAGGATGCACAGAAAGAGCCAGGAATCCTGCACCTCCAGGATTTCCGTCCCTGAACAGTGCATTCAGTCTTCGGAAAACAGGAAAAGTTGCAGTTCCACACTTGAGAGGATGCGCCACCAATTGGAGCAGTGCCAAACTCTGCTGAACCTTTGTGACCGTCTTGTGGAGGCTCGGTTGCTTTATTCTAGGACATTCCAGGACGCACAAAACACCTCGAAAACATAACAATTAATTCATATGTGTACACACATCTCAAGTTTTTTACCATTTGACCAAGATATTTCTTTAAGTGACATATTTGTTGTCTAAAATATAAGAAATAAATACATTTAAAAAACATTATTTTCTTTCTTTCGGGTGCATTGGTGTTTCATAAGGGAAATTATTTAAATATACTTATAAACCCTGCTATTTCATGGCAAATTCCACAAAGATACTGAAATCGAAGTTACCTTTGCATGAATGTAATTCTTATTAAATAATCTTAAAACCTAGCTTGTGCCTTCAGCAGAATTAAAGAGATCGCCGCCCCCTTAATCCAAACAAAGTGTCAAGCAAGTAAGCCAAATCAACACGTTAGTTGTTTAAAAACCTTACAGATCAAACATAAAAATTGCAAGTAGTAAAATTTTATAGATCGGCCTAACGATGAACATTTTGAAGAAGAGCCGTGTGCTGAATCAAAATTGTTTGCGGGACAAGGTGAAGGAGCTGTCGCCACTTCTGCGCAACTTGGACTGGCCTCTCAGCAGGGACTCGGTTTTCCGGGCCTCCTGGAACTATTATGCCAGCGGCTGTCAGGAGCGCCTCTCGAACACTCGCAGGCGCATCGAACAGAACGCTAGAATAATGGCTTCGGATAGAAGGCCCAAAGGTCCACTTCCTGCTGACCTGAAGCTGCCTTTCGACGAGAGCCAATTGCCGCCTGGAGCAGATTTGGATGAGCAAATCTACCGGGAATTGGTTTCCTGTTTTCAGAATGCAGAAGGCCCTCGATCCGTAAAAAGAACTCCCTTAAAGCGACCCAAAGTCTACAAATCTTGCGATATGGGAAAGTTTTCCACTCCGGAACAGTGGTTTTCCTGGAAACGTGAGGAGCGGGAAGTGGACGAGGTATTGCAAAAATCGAAGGATCCCTATGTAAAAGAGGAATTGTCCAAAAAGCTACAACATCTACAACAAAAGCTAACCCAACGACGTCCTTTGGTTGTACTGCCAAAACCAAAAGAAGATAAGTTACCAGAAAATGATAAGGTGTCCAAAAAAGTTAAGTCACGAAAAAAGTTCAAAGTTGAACCCAAGGCTTCTAGGCAGCTTTCCAAGGAAGCAGTGTTCCAGGGGAAAACATCAGATAAATTAGGATCCACTTATTCAAAATCTAAGACAAACGTTTCAAAACTACAACCTACGAAATTAGCAAAGAAGTATAAGGTCCCTTCAGATTTAAGGAAAACTTCCAAAAAGATAGGGGAAAAAATAAGTAAAACCTACACTAATGCTCCATTAAGGCATCAGAAATCTTCAAGCTTCTCATTGAAAGGGAAAAGTTCTTTACTTTCGAACAGATCGAGTAACTTTTCAGAATTACGTAGGGTTTCTCACATTAGTGAGACTTTAAATAGACTGATAGCCAAACATCCAAGTCTGGAAAGTGTCATGAGCTCTAAACCGATGAAGTTAAGTTCCAAGTCAAAACATATAGAAAAAACAGATGAAAGTACCTTACGAAAAGAAAAATTAAATATTAATAGAGATAAATACAAGAGAAATCCAAACCAAAAGAAAACCAAATATTCGACAGAAAACCACAAAAGAAATTCCTTATCACTATCACAATTTTCCCAAAATTCTGACATTAAAATGTGGAACGAAAATAAAAAAAATAAAAAGATCGGAAGAAAAGAAAAATTATCCGAAATGCCGTTAAGTGAAAACAATTTAACTTTGCCCAAGACTTCGGATGGCGATCGAATATCAAAGGAGCCGATAATGAAATTTGTTTCCACACCAAAGTCTTCCCTTATTTATCCGCCCAAATTAGAACCATATATTCACGAAATTTTAAAGGCAACAAATCCATACGACGGCTCTCATTTGCAATTTAAAGAGGATCAAATCGCAAACTCTGATAACGAAAAGGATAAAGGACAGGAACAAATAAACCCCAATGTTCAAGAAACTTTGGAAGAAACCTCTGTTTTTGGTAGTGTAGGGAGAAAATCAGACAAATTTGGCTGGCAATTCAAAAGGCATAAAATCGCTAGCTCGGATAATGCCAAGGAGAAAGGCCGGAAAAAAAAACTCATATATTCGAAAAATTTCGGAAGCAAAATCTGTTAGCGAGCCCCTAATTTTTGGATTTCACAGGCAATTGGAAAAGGATCAAATCGCAAGCTCGGATAATGCTAAGGATGAAGGTCGGAAAGAGGAAATCCCACATATTCAAGAAACTTTGGAAAGAACATCTGTAAGAACACCCTCATTCTTGGACAGTATAATGAGTAAACAAGACGAACTTCACTGGCAATTGAGAAGGGATCAAAACGCAAAATTGTACAATGACAACAAAAAAAGCCAGGAAAGCATAAACCAATTTATTCAACAAATTTTGAAAGGAAAATTTTTAAGCGATCCTTCACTTTCGGATAAACTTAGAAGTAATTACGACTTCTTTAGCTGGCCATTCAGAAAAGATCAAAACGCAAAAACGGACGATGATAAGGATAAAAACCAGAAAGTCCGTAAGAGCGATGTCTCTAGGGACACTCATCGTGGAAGGCCAAATACAAATTTAAAAAATACTGTTTTCGTGAGACCAACAGGCAAGAACAAGATTACATTTTTGAAAAAGCCGCTTTATGAAAAAGTCAATAAGTCAAATGATATCGATTCGGTTGTAATTAATACAAATGATTACCGCCGGGACTCGGAACCTAATGTTCTCAAGCAGCAAGAGCCGGATCTTACTGACTCTGAACCGCGAACACCTCTTGAACAAATTAATAGAAATGATTACCGCTGGGAATCGGAATTTAATTTTCACAAGAAGCTAGATCCGCAATTTTCTGACTATGATCTGCGCACATCTCTTGAAGTGAAACCTCTCGTCATTTCTCAGCACATATCCAACTTTATGAAGGAATACGGCTCGGTATTAAGTTTCTACCAATTATATCCAGAGTTATTCAAGAGCAATGAGCTGGAGAGGTCATTTATCGAGGCTGCCACCGAAAAGGAAAAGCCGAAGGCAACCAGGAAATCAAGGAAACCCAAGGCTAAGAAAGCCAAGAAAGTGGATGGCTTGCCATCCAAGAGCTGCAAGAACGCCTGCTCCCTGTGCAACTGCCTCAAAAAGAAGCAATCCGAAATGCCGGCTTACATGCAACGGATGCAGCAGCAGCGCCAGCGACTGGAACTGAAGACCTACTACACCCAGAAGTTCCTGAAGTTGCAGCGGGAGCAAAACCCGGATCCCCAGGAAAGGAAGAGAGTCTGCACCCGCGAGGTCCTCGTCAGATGCTACGAAACCCTGCATCTTTGCCAGGAGATTCTGGAACACAGGAGGGAAAACCCATGCGAAGGATGTAAACATGAATAGCTAGCGAAAAGAATCACACGAATACCATTTTCAGGACCTTAAAAACCTAATTCTAAAACAACGAATTCTCAGATGGATGAAAAATAAAAAGACAAACATTTTAAAATTCTGTTTTAATACACCTTGCCTCTTGTACATTTCATTGTATTCCTGTTTTTCGGAATCTTCATACATTTTCACACTTTATTAATCGTATTTTAAACAAATTTTATTGACGCCTTGCCACATTTTCACAAAATCAAAAATATTGCCTAGTAAAAACAAGAAACAGCAAATCGAAAGAAAAATAACCATTTCAAAAAGCAGTTCATTCGGCTGACTTTTACGCGGCCCTTAAAGATCGCCACTCATGAGGCATAAACTTTATTAGAATTAACAATTCCGGCTAAAACTGTTTCGCATGCATCCTTTTCCGCAAAATTTATTCCGATGCGAACAACAGCTGAGTGAAAATAATAATGTGCCATAAAATTCCAGTTTTTTACACCCGACCCAATTCCCATTCCGAGCGCATAAATGTCAATGCCAACGCAACTAAAATCTGCCCCCCATCCTTCGTCCTCTGAATTGTGCAGCCCACGTGGGCTCATCTCCCCCGTTCGCGAACTCTTCAGAACAAGTGCAGCTACGAAACCCGGGGGAAAATAAAAACAACAAAAAACTAGGGAAAAATCAAAGTGAAAAAGCAACAAAACTCGGTCGAGGGCTTTAGATAGTAAAAAACTTTTATATGGGATTTTTGGCCGGAACGCGGGGCGTTTCAAGTTGTTTTTTCTAGTTTATTAATTTTTATGCTAATTTACTACGCTACACTAAAATCACTGAAATTTTTCTTTTATACTGAAGCCTGAGGGGAAGCTCTTTAAATTAGTTGTACAATGTACATGTTTTGGTGATAAAGATTTGAATGGATAAAGGCATTTTAAACACAATGTTAAGACTTGGAATTGAAATGATTTGATTTGAATAAAATGGATAGCAGAACTTTTATTTTTGGCAAATTTTTGGAAAAAATTATGTTGTTACCCTTTATAAAAAATTCAGTTTTTGCTCATCTTGAAAAAAAGAATGAACATTTTAAGTATATAAATAAGTAAGTTTTTTAAAGTATTATTTCAATAAAAGGTGTTAAGCTTACAGCTTTAACAAATTACTGACGCAAAAACTGCACTGCAGACAAGGTAATCTGCACGCTTTACTGTAGCGCTTTACATGAATTAAGGACGGTCAACCGCTTTTAAATTATTTTATTTGCATTAATTGCGGAGCGTGAGGAAGTGCTGAATCACCCGAACCAAGCACCGCGAAGTATGCAGCGCTGGAATGCAAACACGTCCAGGTGAGGCCAGGTGTCAAGGTGCTAAAATGCGTTGGAGCAGCTGCGGCTGATGCCCGGGGCATTGAGCGCCGTACAATCCGGACGGAGGATGTGGCGGAAGTCCAAATGAAAAAGGAAAAAACGTTAAAGGAAAATGTGCGCTGGTTTATGTTTGCTGCTCGTCGTTGGTGGCCTCATAATTGCCCCTAAGTGGCTTAAGTTATTAAAACCAATTAAGCAAGTCCTCAGCCGAAGGAGGAATTTCTGTGTAATTGCAACCGAAATGTGATTAAAAAACGAAATGCATACAAATGTAATTGGAAAATTGTCTAATTAGCTCGGCATGGCAAGTTAACAAGTTGATCCATCAGCTAATTAAACTTTTTAGATTAAAAGCCAACCTTCTACTCAATCTTGGCGGAAGTTGTAGTTCCTTTAGTTTGAAAGTTCAGAGATTTACACAAAGACTAAAACGCTTCCAACTTTAGGGCGAAATCTCCTTAAGACGGATGGTAATTCACGCTTGGCCGAGTGCACTGAATAAGTTTTGAAGTTTCTGGTAAAAAGGATAACACGAAATTTAAGTTTGTAAGTGTAAACAGAATAACGGTCGGAATTAGTTTCAATGTTTGCCAAGTCCTTTTCCCCCGTTAATTTTATAATAATGAATGAATCGAAAATAATTGCATAGCTTGTGCTTTTGCTTTTAGGTAATTTTCATGATTTCATAATTTAAGTTTAACTCAGTTCACGTTTGGCAAAAAAACACTGAAGAGCCCCAATTTAACTCTATTCCGAGAAGCATTCAACCGAAATGCTTTTTGTTGTTAAGAATATGCTTGATAAATTTCTATATTTACCCATAAATACCTTTATATTTCGGTACACCACATTCAGTCCATATTCATTTTCGTTCTACCAGAAATTCTACGAAAAAACCGCTTTAATAGGAAAAATCAAACGAAAATCCGTTCACCACACACGTTAACATAATTATGGAACACGCTCACAGAGGCCCAATCAATCATACGCAGCGTGAGCCGCTCGACATTTTCGGGGGGCCAGACACGATAATCACACACAAAAACCTTTGAAATGCAAATCAGGGGAATCATCCGAAAAATCATACATATGTACCCACCTTTTTTTTGGAGGAGCGGGTAATTTTTTGTCTGCCCGGCCGTCGATTGCCGATGTTTGTTGCTGGTTGTTGGTTGCCAGTTGCCTGTTGCTGGTTGTTCTATGCTGTTATCAAATCAATTCAGCAGAACTTTATTTGCAGGAAAGCCCGAAAAAATAAAGGAAGGAAAACATCAGGCAGGGAGTGAGAAAAACCAAAGAGAAATGCGTGAACGTAACGAAATTCCTTTTTGGGCGCGTGTCAAAATTGATGTCGAATTGCGAATATGTTCTCCACGGAGAGCAACAGTTTGGAAACTTCTCGAGTTTAATTTCACATAATATGAAACAAGCTTGTCTTCTTAACTACAAACAACAAAAATTAATGCAAGGAACGTGTTAAAAAACCAAAAAAAAAAAGTTTGCTTTCCGAGCAAATTTAATTCGGAGTCAAGCCTCTTCAATTAATGTTAAAAAACACAACATCTTTAAACTGTTTTTTTTTTCAGTGTTACGGTTACATTTACACAGATACACAGTCTACGATTGTGTGTGGATTACATATGGTAATTTCCTTGGGATTCGCACGGTTTTTTATTTGTGTTTGGGCGTGCGGGTCAGATTATAATCGTATTTTTCAATTTGAATAAAATTAGCGAAGATTTTTCATTTCTCCTCTGTTGTATTTGGCTTAGAATTTATGGTAGTCGCTTAAACACTTTTCTTTGAGGGAACACATGTGTTGAATAGCCGAATTTTCGCTTTAATAAACATGTGCCAAATATTAAATCAACTATATGTACGCCAGTTTATAATTTGATTACTTTTATAATTTATGTCCTCATATTTCACTGTTTGAAATTTGAATTTGCACTTTTCACTTGCAACATTGTTGCTGGCAACTTTCGCGCGTCTGCACTTGAACTAGTTTCCCGTTACAAGCGTATTCAATTTTCCTCCATTTTCCCCAAACACACAGACGCACACAAACGGAGAGCAGGGGATATAAATCCACTGATAAGAGTTTCGCCTGGATTGAATAGAATTCCGGATCCATCCGCTATACCTTTCGCCACGTCCGACTTTCGAAGCCACTCAACAGCAACTGTTGCAAACATCGAAAAGGCAACTTGTGGCTGCTGCTTTCCGCCTCTGCCGACGTCGCAGCATCTCATTTTCCCGAGCTTTCCCGAGAGCTTTTCCTCGCACCACGGCAAACTGTTGATTGGTCTTCTGGATGTGCAAATGTGTGTGAGTGTTTCGGCCAGGAAGAGAGCACAAAGAGAGTCTATCTCGGTTGGCATCTCAGCGCTTTACTTAGTTAATTAGTACCCATTCAGACGGCAGTAAACAGTAGTTAGACTCTGTTTATGGGCCTTAAAATAAGTCATTAAGACTGGAATTAATAAATGCACAGGAATAGAAGAGGTAAATACGGCAGTGGTTATTAATTTGAAGTGGAACTACTAATGGGACTACGGAAATCAAATATTTATTAATTTAAATTAATTATTAGCAGATAGTGCAGTTATCGAAAGTATAGGAATTGAAATGAGGAATTCTTTAGGAGAAACTCCAATTATTCAATGACAAGAACTTTCCTAAAAAATAAATACTTTATATAGTTTTTCCCAATTAATATAAGTGCATTTATTTAAATGACCTTGCAGAAGATTGAGTACAATATTTTATTAATAGATACACACCCACATACTCACGACAAATTTGTTTTCAGTTCTGTTTATTCGTTTCTACCACAAAGCCATTAAAGCCGATGTTTACCAAAGCAACAGTTACCAATGTTAACGGCACACAAATACACACTTTTTGCGGCAAATGGGAAAGCTCCCTGCGGCACTTCCTCCTATTTGGGGACCGCAAATAGATGGCACACTCGCAGAATTAACGCTCTTTTAATAGATTAGACCCCCCAGGCAGCTGTTCAGGGGCACTTCGATGGTGCAACCGATGATGCCGCTCAAGGACCTCTGCACCCGATCCGCAGATAATGGCACCCGGGGGTCCTGACCGCCACCCACTGCTGGTTCCCACCTTTTTATTACTATCCCCAAGTGGAGCGAGGACACACGTTTGGCAAATTTGCGCAGGCGGAAGGACGAACACCTGACTAATTGATACGCTAGAGAAGGCACGAAGAAAAATTATAGTTAAGTAAGAATTTATGTGAATATATAATACACATATTTATTTAAATATAACACATTTACTATTTATTTAAGTATAAACTTATATAATTTTACACAAATATGGGCACATCTCATATAAAATGGATATATGTATGTAGGTACTTGAGATGTTCGCTAACTTCTTGTGAAAACCCCGGAAATAATGAATTTTCTTATATTTTCTTTTTGTGTAAGATTGACTTCAGTAATTTTCCTCCTTTGATACAGTAAAAACAATTACCAGGATACCTGTGTGTGTTTTTTGTGGGTGGGCATTAAGCTCACATTAAAATTATCAGGATTGAAGAGCGCTGAAATAAACGAGCCGTGGAAATCAAATTGAGTCGCTTACTTCATTTGAGGCTGTGCCAAGTTCAGGGACACGAAGGGAAGTTCGCGTCCTTGCGGCCATCTTGCAAAGTCCTGTGTGTAAGTATGTGTATATATGTTTGTGTTGGGAAAAGCTAACTTTGCCATGTCAACGCGAGGTTAACTTTTAACTTCCTTCAGTGGCGTTCGTTGACTCCGAGGAATATAATAGCCAACCTAAAGCTGTTTAGTGCTGTTTTGCCGCACATTTTGCAGGGCTAATTAAGGCGACCGTCCTTCGCAACGGTAATCCTATATATTCTCGATCCGGCGACCCCGCTCGGCAGCTTCGCATTTCCCCTGCTTGCACGCGCCTCTGATTATGCCGCATTATTGCGAGCAGCGTCATTTTGCGCGCTAATAATTAAGGGGATTCTGGGTGGGCTTCGCTCGTGTCCTTTGCCGTCTGCTAATAAAATAACACTAAAAGCAGCTAGAATGCAATTCTTAAATTTAAGCAAATATTGAAGTACCCAAGGTTATAGACTGTTGGGCAAGTAAACTGTGTGTATTAATACCTAAATTAACTTATAATATAAAATATAAAAATATGATCCTAGAATTTGAATTTGGCGGCTAAATACCGAAGAGTGTGTATTTACTAAAGGTGAGCTGTGTTCACGCCGGGTTTGGTTGGTATCTTTGCTAGTTAAAAAGGGTGTTCTGAATAGGTCAGGTGGGTGCACACGCTAACATGAGATAGTTATCGATAGTTCCCATGCCATTTTGCCAGCTCTAGCGTTTGCTTTGGTTGAAAATACAATTAAAAATTGATTTCGAAGTATTTAAATATTCAGCATCGCCAGGTGAGTGCGTGTGAGCCAAATTAACCTCCCTTTCTGCCGGAAAAAGTGATAAACCTAGAGTTTACCGCCGAATTGAAGGCTTAAAGTCGTTTTGAAAAGGCGCGTCATGTGCTGGAATCGAGGGAAATGCGTTACAATGCAGTCGCAGTTGGCGGATGCAGTTGTGATTTCAAATACCTATCAGTAACTAACAGCATTTTCATTACCCTCCGTTTTTCATTTTAGCCATAAAAATCTGCAAAAAACGAGCGGTGGCGGCATCGAAAATACCGAAAGAAGCAGAAAAAGAAAAATTTGCAAGGCTGCGTCTGTGTGAGTGAGCGTGTGCGAGCGCGCCCGTGTGTGTTTGTGTGTACGAGTCTTTTTTTTGCCTTTGGTGCGTGCGCTGTTATTCGTAGGGAGCCCGAGCCCACCAACAAATAAGTAGAAGGAAAACACACAAAAACAAGAAAACTGCAAGGAATAATAACCCAAGAGCGACCACCCAAAAATACACAACAAACAAGTGCCGTTGCAATGGAGAAGAGAATAGAGCTGGAGCGTCGCGCACGCAAAGTAAATCAGGTAAGAAAAACGCGCCATAAAACTTAAATTAAAACCTAAATTAAACGCAGTGTTTGTGTGCGAGTGCATCATGTAAATCTAGTTTATGTGTTGACGCCATATAAAAGAGAGCAATGGAAGAAGAAGCAGCCGAGCGGCATCAACAAGAAAAGAACAAAAAAAAAATTGATCGCCATAAGCAAATTCTACACATGCCTTTGTATGCGTGTGTGTATGTATGTGACGCCAGTGTTGCCATGTGCGCGCATTTTGCGCCTTGCCCGCTGTTCAGTGCTATAAGATTCAGATTTACCAGTCATTCAACCAGCATTGCATATTATCATTCAAAGGGGATTGATTTTACATCACTCCCTGCCAAATTGTAAAGATCATATTTGTCAAAAGAGCGTTAGCACCTGAAATTCAATAATCTCTACAGCTGGCAATGCTGCCTGACTTCTTGTTCTCGCCTTTTTCCTGCGTTGTTGTTGTTTCTGCCGGCCTTCAATTGTGACAAACACGGCAACATGTGTTTGTGTGTGCGCGTGTGTTTGCTGCATGTTGTAATTTCAGGTTATTTGATACCAAAATGTATCTATAACAACATTATAGCGCGCGCATCATCCGCACAAACACACGCGTATCACGCACAAAAGATACACATGCATGCCGTAAGAAAACTTATGCACAAAATAATCGACACATAGCATACATATATTGACTGCGCAGTCATAATACTTTTATGCTCCCCCACCCACTGTCTATCCGGCAATCCCGCTATACCCCCTCTCCCTCTCGCCAATGTGTTTACCTGCACGCTCTCTCCATAGCTAACTCTTGCCATCTCGCTTCAGCCCAGTGGGGGCTGCAGCGCGAAAGAAATGCAAGTGAAAAGACAAAGCCGCTGATTAATAAACATGCGCTCTGAATGGCCAGCCTACTCAATCTCAATCAGCGGTCACCCAGCCGCCCAACGAAGCACCCACCCATCGCCACCCACCACATACAATGCACCGCACAACGCCAACAAAAAAAACATTAACGCATACACACTCATTTGCGACTAAGTCAAAACCAAAAGCAGTGTGCATTCATTCTCGCTCATTTGTTCAGATACAGTAGCCTTTCTCTAACACAAGCTGATTTGATATTACTTTAGCACACCATTTTGTATCTCGGCCTGGCCATTCCTCTAGTCTTGTTTGTATATTTTTTTACTTCGTTGTCAATTTTATCGAAATGCCCTTAAAAACCACACTATACAATTTGACCACATAGCAGAACACAAAACCACAACTTTAGACGGCTTCAATTTTAAATCCCCCTCAAAAAATAGCTTCGAAAAAAATATAAGAAACAAAATTATAATATGAAGCTTTGTTTTTCCATAGATTTTTTTTATAACTTTATACAAATTTTTTTAATTAAGTCAAGTTCCCTTTTAAAGTAGAAAACTTTTTAAAGTTAAACTACGTTCATGAATAAATTTAGGTTTGCTTAGTTCCGTAAAATGTTTTTGCTGTTAACGTTTTCTTCTAATTTCTTTAAATCCTAGACTCTTGTTTACATTTTAAGTTCGAGAATATCCCCTGTAGCCACATAACTGTTCTTCGGCTAGACAGGGACAGACGGACTCTGAAGGCACCCATCTTGTTTCTTTGTTGTTGGGTCGACGCGACATATTGATAATTGGGTAATCTGAATTGAACTTGCACAGCCTCAAATAAGGCAAATGTGTACATTTGTTCATTTTGTAGCTTATCATGCTACTCTATAACCCCCATCCCCCACCCACTTTTCGCAGACAGGCGCAACAACTAACTACGTCACGGTCAAACATGCTGTTGTTGTGGCTGCCGGCTTGTTTTCTATCTGCCTCCCACCCCCATCAATTCCTTTTTGCCCGTCATTCTTCTCTTTGCGCATTCTGCTTTGTGCCGAGGCACACGCACACATACACGCTCTGGCACACACAGTCACATTTTGGGGTTACATAAACGCGCGTTGGCACTTTTTTCCTCGGCCTGCATTAAAAAAATGCGCAATTCGGCTATTGGACAGCAGCATTAATAGTTTACCAAGACGTTTGTCGTTGCGCCAAATTCGTTATTTTGCATGCAATGTCGATTTTCCATTTCAACAAAAAAATTCTCAGCGTTTGATCGATTTTTGCGTATGTATTGTTCTCCATTTTTTTTCTGCTCGCTTTGCGTCAATTTCTTACACCAGTGTGACCAAATCATAGCCTACAAATTTTCCATTGGTCTTTGGCACAATATACCTAAAAACACCACTTGATCGAACTCCGTCGATATGGCCTATCGATAACTTTATTAAATTCAAAAAAAATTAAATACTAGTTGATTTTTAAAAATAAATTAAATGATTTTAAGTCTTTATTCTTATTATGTCACTTTTTTATCCCAGATCACAGAACTGAATCTGGACAATTGCCGAAGTACAAGCATTGTTGGCCTTACAGACGAATACACCGCCCTGGAATCGCTTAGCTTGATTAATGTGGGCCTCACCACACTCAAAGGTTTCCCCAAGCTTCCCAATTTGAAGAAGTTGGAGCTGTCCGACAACCGCATTTCGAGCGGCCTAAACTATCTGACCACCAGCCCCAAACTGCAATATTTGAACTTGTCCGGTAACAAGATCAAAGACCTGGAGACTCTAAAGCCCCTGGAGGAGTTTAAGAATCTGGATGTGCTTGACCTGTTTAATAACGATGCCACTCAGGTGGATAATTATCGCGAGAAGATCTTTAAGATGCTTCCGTCGTTAAGCTTCCTTGATGGGTGAGTTTTCTTTTCTTATTAAAAAAAAGTAGAAAGATTAAATATCTTCTTTTGTTTCAGTTTTGACTGTAACGACGAGGAAGCGCAATCTGATGGCGATGATGATGATGAGGTCAACGGCAACGACTCCGAGGAGGAAGGTGTGTATTTCAATGGGTATCATCGCTTACACAATCTGCAGAATCGAATGATCTTATATTGGTTGTACCACCATTTAAAGCTCACTGTCCGTCTGCTTAAACACTTAAGTCGTTTTCCGTGGCTCACGCTTACTAAATATCACAAAAAAGGAACTTTTCAACCCAAGCTTCTGTCGCCTTTCAGATAAGCGCAGTGCCTTCTGTTTGAATGGGTTAGAAATCGATTTAGACGAGCTCGAGGCATTGGAGCAGCGGGTCAAGGCGAAAAAGATTTTGCAGGACAAACCGCCTCCAAAGTCGGATGACAATGAAGTAGACGAATTAGATGAGTATCTAAAAGAGTTGCAGTTGAGGGAATCCACATCTGCCGCCACCGCTGAGCAATCTGTGATAACGGCGACCCAACAGTCTCCTAACAATTCCAGCATAAATTTTGCTATCCTGCTTTACTGGTTCCTTGCCATTTTAAATCTGGCCAATGCCACATATTGTAAGCATGGCGTTTCTGAACAGGTTTTCAGTCAACGTCGAACTTCTCTAACTCGAAACAGCACAACTATTTGTTACTCTGTATGACCCGCCCTTAAATTTCTTTAGATATAAAAAAAAATTCGAGTTAAGGAAGTTTGAAATGTAGGCCAAGTTGTAGAATCGCTTAAAAACAAATTACTACAGTCTTGGCATTTTAAAATACCGATACTTAAAACTTTTTAAAGTCGATTTAGGGAAGTTCGAGTTATAGACTTGAGATAAAACCTTTTTTCAATTTCTTTTTCAGTTTCCGGTGATGATGACGACGAAGAGGGTGACAGCGATGATAGTGACGAGGAGGACAATGGCGAGGTGTCCCTATCGGAGGTGTACAACGACGATTTGGAGGAGGACAACTCCGATTGGGAAGGCGAGGGCGAAGGCGGCGAGGACGACGAGGATGAGGATTCCGATATTGATGATGCCGATGGTGATGCAAACGAATCGGCTGCATCGGTAAATGCCAAGAACGATAAGGATGTCGAGAAGGCAGGAGGTGGGTTACGCTTTACTACTGTAGTTGATCAGAATTCCCTAACTGAAGTTTCGTGTTCCATTTTCAGATGAATCGCATGCCCGGGGCAAGAAGAGAAAGCATGATGGTTAAACCTTTGATCTGTCGCTGTATCGTCTTTGTACGTTATAAATTTAAATATACACCCACACACACACACACAAAACCAACACAGCCACACACATCATATTTTGATAGAAAAAAGATTAACCCTTTAGGAAGCCCACAATTTGTTTCTCTATAATGTAAGCTAAAGAAAATGAAAAAAAAAAAACTATTAAGAACCCAAAACAACAAACACAGCAGAAAAAGGCGGAGTAAAATGAACGTAATAATCAAACAAAGCAAAGCAAAAGAAAAGAAAAGAAATGATATGTTTAAGCGAAAAACACGAAGAGGAATACAAGAGAAACCAAGCAAGCAACCAAGAAAACGAAACCGCATTACTATAGCCTCATCCGAACCCAAGTTCCAGTTTTAACACCTTCGTCCGCCGGATTTGCAATATGAAATCCGCTTTACATTGTAAAATTCATTAACCCTGTACGATTTTATAGCCATCTGATGATAAATTTCAACATAGAAATGCTTTCGGACATTGTTCAACTTTTTATTTGTACAACTGCGGCTTTGTCAAAGTTTCACGTGAAAACGATCACACAATTACTGCTAAGAACTTTTAACTAACTCTTAAGTCATTCCTTCTTTAAATACGCATAAGTTAAGCGAAATCCAACTTCATTCACTTTCTGCGCAAGGTGATTGATCTACCCACATTTTCATTGTTACCCACCTCCCCGACATATAAACTTTATCCGCGTCTCTCTTTAAGCGTAATGCCTCCATCACTGAGCATCCCAAATTGTTTTCCTTTATGTACTTTTAAGCAAGACTTTTTACCACATACCGAATGTTTCCACTTATTCAACGGCAGTAGAATTGTTTCATTGAAAGTGGCGAGTAAATCTTATCCACAAACAGTTTTAGACAAGATTTTTCGTTTAATAAACAAGTAAGCAACCATTATGATTAATGAAGGACCCGCGTTTATTTAACGAGATGAGATGTGTCAGTACCAGCCCATTGAAACTGAAATACATAAACTAAATCATTTTAAATCTGATTGTTTTTGGGAGGAAATAAATTTTGTTGGTTGTTCTACAAATAAATACTTATTTTAGCCTTCTTTTTGAATCTCGATTAATTTGCGCAATATCGATTGAAATAATGTATATTTTATGGGGATAGTGATAAGTAAAATACCAGATACCGATACTATCGGAACCCCTTTACCCACCTCTAGCATACACAGTCACACTGGATCTCAAAATCTGGCGCTAAGCAACTTAAAAAGGAAGCGTCATAGTTAAATTAGTCAAATGTCTTATTTCCATCTGACAAAATGTCTAACGATATAGCTACTCTTTTAAAAGGCAACCGATTGGATGTGGAAACAGCCTGCAAAACTGTGGAGTCTAAATTTCAGGATATTGCAAGAGGATCTTGTCGAGGTGACGATGCATCCTATGCATTGAGATTCGATCTGAGTGTGCTGCGTCATATTTGCTTGGCTTTAAAAGATAATCTATACCAGAATGCCGATCTATACTGCGATATAGTGGCTGTTATGCTGCCACATGCAACACCCTACGAAGAGAAGCCCAGTTTATGGGAGTCCCACTTAGTCAGTTTGCGTTACATTCATCATGGCTTGTGGCAGCAGGTTTGTGTGCTCACAAATTCAAATTGGCACCTTTTAAGCATTATTTTGTTTTTAGCGATCCCTGAAAGCCTGCCAGAAGCTGTACAACCTCATTCGATCGCAACCCTGCCGCCTGCAAGCGGACACGGACCATAAAATATACTTGGACATACACTTGACCCACTTCAATGGCTTGCATTTGGAACTGCAGAAGCAAAACCTTCCCTTGGAGGCCACAAACCAACTGTGCCATTCTCTAGAGGCCCTGGGTGAACTCTTTGAGGCCATGAGGCAAAGAAAAATTACCGAAAATGGAAAACTTTTGGTGAAACTTAACGAGAACTTGTTTGGCAAAAGAGGCAGAACTTTCTTAAAAACCCTTAGCTTTCTGCCCTTGGAAAGTTTGTCTAAGATGTTTAACTCGCTGCTTAAGCTCCTGGCCAGCAGTTCTACTTCGGACTTGGCCGATCTATATCCTGAGTACCTGAGTTTTACCTTGGCCCTCGTGCAAATCGATACACTGGGCCCTCACGCAAACCAGCAACTATCACTGCAGCTGTTACGCATGTGCAAGGAGTTATATCGCCAGGAAACCAACCTAAGCTACGCACTGCAGCTGATCTACTACTATATCAAGTTAATCTACGTACGGGAGCCCACAGCCGACTTCAAACGCACCTATACAGATTTGTCGCGGAAGTTTCAGAGCTTTTTCGAGCACAAAGGAGCAGCTCATGCCAAGGAGCAATGGCTAACAGACCTTCTAGTGGCAAGTCAACGGCTGCAGGTTCTTATACATCAAAGTGGCAGTAAATCCCAGTCGCCTTTCCAGTTCTTCTGGCAGCAAATGGAGGGTGAGGGCAGTCCAGAGGCATATACAGCGCATTTTCAGCTGCTGCATAGCTGCGGTATTTTGTCGGCGAATGTGACAAGGAGTCCCCTGGGCGTCAGTTGCTCAAATGAGGCCTGCAAGAGCTTAAGAAGGCATTGCATTCTGGCATTTGGCTTGTGCGCACTGGATGCCTACATAAACTGGGAACCGTTGCAGGAGCAAAAGAGAGACAGGGTACGTTCTTAAACTGATTTAAATGTTAAGAAAGAACTAATTTATTTCCTCTTCCTGATTCAGAGCCCGCACAAACCACTGATTGCAATAGTCAGCTACTCAATGGACGTGGTTAAGACGATGAAGTGTCTGGGTCCCACAAGCGTGGAGGTCATCAAGCTCGTTCGCCAGCTGGTACATGTAGCAGATAAGGTGTCCTGTCCGGAGCAAATGTCCCTGCTATTGCCTCTATTGGAACCACTGCAGAAGTTGCGGGCTCTGATTGATGGAAAGGAAATGAATAGCCTTCTGCGTCGTCTTTTTAAGGCCAGCTTCCACTGCAAAGATCCCAACATGGCCGGCCAGCTGCAAGCCAGTTATTTGGCCTCGCTCACGAACCCCGCCCGACTACGTTCGCAGATCTGTTTGCATTACCACAATCAGGAAAAGGAAGGCAAGGAGATCAGCAAGTGCGTCTACGAGTGGCACGAGTCCTGTCCACTGCCCAACCCTCTAACTCCTGCCCAGAAGAAACAGCTCTACGACACGGATTTCTTTGCTGTGCTCCACTACTTGAGGGGCTCATCTTCTACGCATAAGCAGTCGCTTATCCGTTGCCGATTAAGTAATTACCACCTGGTTCTCTTGGCCAGGCAAATGCGCAACGATGCCTGCATTCTAAAGGAGTGTCAGAAGATTCGCTCGGAGTTAAAGAAACAGAGTTCGCTCAGCCGAATGGATTACTTGTTCTTGGGCCATGCAAGTGTAGGATTAATGTTGGACGCACTGGAGGCTCAAAAAACAAAGTTTTCCTCGAAAGAGATGACTGAAACATTTCTTGAAGAGTTGCTCCTCAGGCAGAATTTAACACAGATTAACGTCCAGCGGGAGCAGCGCTTAGTTAATTTAGCCAGTGAAGCTATTTGCGCTTTTAGTTACTTCTTTCACCAGGCAGATCAAGAGCCTCTAAGCATTGAGGAAACTCCCATTGATTGGGAGGCTTTGATTGACGACGGTGTTGCCGCTGCCATGGCTCTTTCCAGCATGGGCTATCGATCCGAAGAGGACGACGCCTGGCTGCTGCTCCTTAGGATAGGACGTCTGCTGGAAGATAGGTTTACCTACCTTCGGGCTCTAAACCATTTCCTGTCGCAGAATGAGGTTCACGCTAGATTGCAACTTAATCTCTCGGAGGAAGTGGAGTGGGCGGAGGAAATGCTGGATGATTTGTGGCCACAGCTGCAGGCAGGGAGATTTTTCAAGCGTCAGCAAACAACGGTGATGCTCTGCTTTTGTCACCTGGCCAGTTATTATGCCAGAATGGGTTGCATGAGCCACGCCCAGTTGCTTTTGCTGCAAGTGGAGCAGCTTCGCGGAGAGTTTCCCGAGCGAGTGGGAAAGAGTGATATCGTTTTGATCACCCTGCAAACAGTGCGTTTCAGACTGGACTACCAGCAAAAGAAGCCAAAGAGTCGCCGGATGCTGACGCCTCTGCGACAGCTGGACACTCTTCTGGACAACGTTCGGAATTTCTGCAACCTTTCTAGCTTGGACGGTGGCTCACTGCAACTGCTGCTCTCCACTCTCGTCAGAGAAAGCACAGAGTGTTCAGCAAATAGATTGAGCGAACGCCTGGCCTTCTCCAACATCGTGCTCCATTTGGTCCTCCAATCTGGCTTGGCCTTAAGGGCCATCGAGATATTTCTTGCCTGGCTGTGGACCAATCTGCAGATGGAAAACTTCGACAAGGCACAGTCGAAGCTGCGACTCATCGAACACTGCTTGAACATCACACCTTTGACACCCAAGGAAGTTTCCCTGGAAAAGGAAGTGGTTAAGGATCCTGCCGTTATCGACCTAACCAGCAACATGCATCTCCTTCAGCTGGTGGAGCCTATCAGAAAGCAGCAGCAACTAAATGTGAACTCTCCGAAGCTGCTCGTCGCGCGTCCGAATAGTCCCAGCTCCCAAGTTACATTGGATCGTTACTTGAGCCTAGATGATGCGCCTCCTACTCTTCGCGAGAGCTCGCAGCTTCAGTGCCTCTATTTTATTATGGGCTGTCTCCATGCGCGTCTTCGTTTCCTTCAGAGGAATAGCGAACAGCTAGACGAGTTCTATGAAAGGTCAGAGAATTGGCTGCAGAAAACACCAGAGATGAGTGCCTCAATGGGCTCCATGTGGCAGATGCAGCAGCTCTATCACCTCAATTATCTTCGCTTTAGGCGAAAGCATTCAGAGGCTATATCAACGGCTCAACTGGGTCTTAAAGTGCAGCTGCAAGCGGTGGACATTAATTACTCCTACAATTTTATGGCCCAGCTAAAGACGGCACAACTAGAGCTAAATCCCGCGGGCAAGGAGAAACCGGTGCCGAAAACTCTTCGTCGGGCACTGGTTTTTAATCAATCTCCAGAAAACAAGAGCCGCGCAGCAGCAGGATCCGCATCTGCAGTCAAGGAAAGGGTTGCCAAAGTGAAACAGTCCGCCAAAAAGGCACCAAGGTTCAGAATTTACGAGGAGCTCGAGCTTCGACCGCCGAGTGCTGCTAGCAACAGTAGCGGAGGAAGCGGTACTGAGAACACTCCACCCTCGGATCACGTGGACTTCAATACCTGCCAGCCCATCGAGATAAGCGACGATGACGATTCACCCCCGAGCCCCTTAAACCTTCCAAATCAAAGCCCAGGGAGAAACCAAAGGCCAAAGCGACGACGAAAGTCAAAGATTTGGACACCAGTTTGGAAGCAGTGGCCGTAAGTGCGAGGAGCACCAGAGCAAGGATACGCCAGCCGGAGGAAACACCAAAGACAGCGCCGCTTTCATCCAGAAGACCCAGGCGACAGCTGTCGGAACAGCAGGCGTCGGAAACGAAAACCATCAACACACGCAGACGAAACCGGGAATGATTAGCATAAGTAAAAAGTTATTTTCTATTCAAATAAATAAATATAAACTATTTGTTACAAGATAGCTGCTGCGGTAGAATACTTGTGTTCATATCCTTTTAGCAGGGGCATTAACGATGTCTTGCAGACGCCCTGGCTCCAGAAGCCTCGCTGAATTCGTTGACCGTCGTTGCCGTGGTGGAAAACACCCGTTCCTGACTTGCAGCCACCTTCAAATTGGCCTACATACCGATTTCCATTCGCTGTCCATTCAAAGTTCGGTTTGAATTAGAGATTAAGTATAAAGAAGTTTATAGAAATTAAATATTCAATTATATGAAATCAAAAAGTTAAAGAAAGGTATGTAGTTACTTCACCGCCTACCTGTAAAGAGGACACCTCTGCCGTGCATCCGGTCGAGCAGCCACTCCCCCACATAGATTCCTCCATCAGCCTGCCACAGGATACCCTGACCACTGCGCTGGTCGGCTAGCCACTGGCCAAAGTAAACGGAACCGTCGGGATAGAACTGCTTCCCCTCGCCCTTCCGCTTGTCCTGCTGCCACTCGCCCACGTAGATGCGTTGTATCCGGCCACCGGGCTCCTTCCTTCGCAGAGTTCCGTGGCCATGCCGCTGCCCCATCTCCCAGTGACCCTCGTAGACCAAACCGCTCCCAGAGCGCTTCACCCCGTACCCATGGGGCTGCATGCCCCACCACTTGCCCTGGTACCTGCCACCGGGATACCTTTGGCAGCGCACTCCGGAACCGTATCCGTTCGACGGGCACGACATGTCTCCTCCGGTGACTGAAACACTTCTGAGCGGGTCTGTCACATGCGGCGGTGCCATGTGGTGTCTTGGGTGGACGAAGCCAAGTCTTTGTGGGCGGCGTGCGTGCGGTGTCGCTTTTCTAATCAACCCCGAACAGCATGTCTTGCCACCATTTGACTTCCTCCAGCGACGGCACGCAAACTTAAGGAGGCCAAAGACATCGCCGTAATAGAAAATCGTTTGTTCCGGTTAAGTATATGTGGAAGAATCGTTTAATCAGTCGTATAAATTACAGCGCTACTTAGCTTACATTCAATAAGATCGAAAATAGACCGGCCAAAATAAACTAGTATATATATCTCTTCTGATTAAAAATGATCTATATCAAAACTTTTGACCGTAATACAGTTAAGTTGTTTCCTAATACTTGTTTATTAGATATGAATTGGCTTGTATTTAAAGCACTACAGTACGAATATTTTATATACCTCTGAATTATATGTATTATTAGTCCAGTATCATTTGTGAAATTAAACTCCGACACCATTTATAGAAAAGTCATTTAATCGTAAATTATATAGTATAAATTACAGCGCGTTCTCGCTTACATAATTGGCCTAACATTAAATTAGGGGCTAAGACAATTGAGGTGTGTCCAAAGAATTCCTAAACGATAAACGGGAAGACTGCCAAAGAATTTTCCAAAAAAATACGGCATACAGTTTAAAATACACGCAATAAATATATATAACAAATATAAGCTAATTTTTGAGGAATATTCGTCGAACGTGATCGTCCGAGTTATTGCTTTAATTAGGGTCTTTCATCACTGTCTATATCCATGCCTAGTAATTGCCGTACAAAATAATGAACTACAGCACTCCGTCCACACGCAATACAGAATACAGTTCGCGTATATACTCGTACTCGTATAGTAAAAATCTACTGCCTCCGCTTATCACAATTTGCATCCACTACAAATTTAAAATATGTGTTTCACTTAAATAGTCTGAGGCTTGCCCTGAGCCGCAATGTCTTTTTCGTTTGATCCACGCGTGGATCGCCAAAAAGCGCTACACAATATCCCCGGAGGCGCCGTAGTTCATGCCGTTGTTCCGGATGTTGTTGTGGTGCTCCAGGTGGTCCTGCTCCATCTGCTCCTTGAGCATCTCCAGCTCCCGGATGCCCGACACGGTCACCTCGTACTTGTGCGACACGAGGGAGCGGTAGAAGTGGATGGCGAAGGCCATGAAGATGATCATCACCGGGATGAGGACCACGCAGGCTGACCACGCCGCCGGCGGACTGATGTCGTAGAACTTCACCCAGCAGAGTATGGCTATCTCCAGCAGGAACAGGATCAGACCCAGCAGCGTGGAGAAGGCCCACGCCGTCTCGATGTACCAGTGGAGGCGCTCGTGCGGCGACTCGTGGACCAGGGAAATACTGTGCAGATTACACACCGTCTCGATGTTCGGCAGGATGCAGGTGCTGATCATCAGGGCCAGCATGTGCACCGCCACCAGCATCGTGGTGCAGATGGCGAAGGCGATCAGCATGCCCGGCGGCACCTTTGTGTCGCTGTCCAATTGCACCTCCACCATCGCCACCTATAAAGGGATCGGAAAAGAAGGGAAGGGAAATCAATCATTAATGATATTCTATTCACTTAGGGAAGTATCGAAACGATGCCCCGGCATTTCCTCCATTATTATTAGCCGTTTCTCGCGAGAAAATTTGGCAGCTAAGCAAAAGTGCTCTTATATTATATGGGCTGAATGGACTAAATTATCTGATCCGCCTCTAATCCCCTGGCTCCCCTGCTGCTACATTTTATGTGTACATGTGGAATGCATAACAAGCAGACTGTCCGAATAATAGACCTGTAAATACCTCTTCACTTAATTAACTGCGAGCATAAATCAAATAGTGCATACGAAATCTGCAATACTCAATTCGTGAATACTCAACTGTAGAAAGACAAGCCCATTAAGTTTGTTGAAATAATTGTTTATACTTCACATACAAATTAAAATGGATATTTGCCAACCATATATTGTAGTTGGGAAATTTCTAATATGACGAACTGAAACAATTGTGGGATTCTGGCATTAAATACTTTAATAGAGCTGGGAACAGTCATGATCTTTCTGCATGCATGTTTTCCCTTTATTTATTTCCCTATTCAGTTAATTTCATTCTCTAATTGATAAATGATTATTATTTAATTGTTTAAAGAGCCTAATATACCCCTTATTAATGGGCACCGAACACATGTGAAGAGCAAACAGCTAACAGACTTGTTTGGCCAACACAAAGGTAGTGGGAATAAAATCAAAACTATTTTGTTGGCCCTCAATTTGTCGCTGCCGGCATCGAAAATAATTATGTTGGTAAGGCATAGATGAAAGTGCAGGCTAATTAGTAATATATGCATTTGAACATGTGTGGTTATCCCTGTCGTGATTTAAATTACTTGAATGGGACACCGCGAGATGGGAAATCATTCGAACGGAACAAACAACATATTGCATTTCGATGCCAGATTTGTCAAGTGGAACATTTTATTGATACTATAAAAATACTTTATAAAGGTAGTGTATGCACTCTTCGTGGTGGCAAATTCATGTCTATGCTGATCAACACATACGCTATAGCCAAATAAAAAGATTTTGGCTTGTGGCAGAACTTTTGACCCTGTACATTAAGTTGGGTTAATGTTTGTATGCACTCCGACGGGTTTAGATATTGTACCAAAATCTAAGGCCAGAAATAAATGAAATTTTAAGCTGGGAAACGGTAATGCTCAATAAACGTCTAATACTCAGAATTCTTTATAGGTTCATTATACAATGCATTTTAAGTGCCTTTAAAAAGCTGTTGAGTCAAATCACTATTTTGGGCAAATGGAATTCCAAATACCGTTGTATTCATTTTTATATTCCAAAGATTTAGAGTACATATTGCCGTATAGACAAAGCTGATTTAAATGATTACATTTTTTTTATTTAAACAGACGCTATCAGTAAACAATGCTATTGAGATGTTATATGGGGATAGCTTTATATTGCTTCAGATAGAAAAGTTCTATAAAAACAAAGGATTTTTAAAGCGTTGTAGACAACTGATCATAAATACTAGTTCTTCAGTTTCTAAGAATTTAATAATCAATTTCAATGTAATTCTCTCAACTCTAATTTCTATATTAATATGATTTTATGATTTAGTTATTCCCCGGAGTATCTACGAGTATACATCTCTTCATCGCTATGACTTATCCTTAATTGTACAGTGATCAAACACTCACCATGGCGAATCCGGAGAGCAGGGCGGACGTCTTGCTGGAGGCCTTTAGCTTGGCCCGACTCAGCTGCAGCTTCCGCCAGGAGAGGTAGGTGGGCGAGTGGAGGTCCTCGCCGGACTGCGACATGCTGCTGCTGCCGGTGCGGTGGTGTCCTCGCGGCTGAAAGCGGTAGGATTGGTTCTGTTGGTACGTGCGCAACTGAAAGGGCGGCGGCTGGGCCGCGAATGGGGACGATGCTATGGAGGCGAAGGGTGCGAGTGGTGCTAGTGGTGCTAGTGGCGCTAGTGGGGCTACTGCCGAAGCTGCCGCCGCCGAAGCTGCTGCCGCTGAAGCCGCGAATGCTGGCGAGCCGTCTCGCTGCTGCGCAGTGAAGCGTCTCGCTTGCGGCGAATTCGAATTGAACTGGCTGTGATAGAGGTACCGCGACGAGCCGACGAAATTGCTCGCTCTCAGATTGCCCAGATTGTGAGCGGCGGGCACCTGGTGCAGCTGCTGCAGGTGGAGGGGCTGGCCGGAGGCGGGGTGGGCGTGTCCGAGGTTCCCTATATGCGGCCGCATATAGTCGCCGCCGTAGTCGCCGGTTGCCGCTGTGGCTGTGGCTGTAGCCGCCGCCGTGTAGGCATCCACACTGGCCGCCAATCTGGCAGTGGCATGCAGAGCGCTCGCCAAGGCCGAAGGTGGCTGCCGAGTCCCCAAGCGGCTGTTCGGCAGCTGATGTTGCTGTTGCTGTTGCTGCTGCTGCTGCAGGTGATGGTGCATCGCCGCCTGGCTGCGCCTCGAGCTGGGGAGAACGTCGAGGGTCTCACTGCTCGCCGTCCGCTCGGTGGACGTCTCGAAGGAGCCCTGCCGGTGGCTCAGCATCAGGCTGCTCTGACTTAAGTTGGCCCGGGCGAAGCGCAGGTTGCTCAGCCCCGCGGCCGGCAGCAGGTGCTCCTCCTCGTGCTCCTCCGCCGGTGATTGGGACTTTTCCTGCTCCTCGGCCTTCATTGTCTTCTGTCTGCGTGGCGGCCTTAGAGGTATCTGCTCCTCCGACTTGATCTCGCCCTCTTCAAAAGGTGGCATCGGCTACTGGCCAAGCTCTAAACTCTGTTTTCTGATCTGTCCGATCAGTTGGTATCAGTCTGTTAACTTTTTTTGGCTTTATAGCTTATTCTCTGCAGTTAGTGCTTAAAACTTGTCCAAGAATCCTGATCTATAAAGTTTCAGCTTGTCGTTAGCTATACAAGATCATAGAATTTCAATAGTAGTTGGCGAGGACAATCAAAGCAGCTCTAACCGCTTTCAATTTTGAATTTTGCCACACAAGATCTACAAAATATTCCTTTAACAGTCTGATCGGTTTCCTTATGTGGGTTTAAATATACAGCTTACTTTAATGTCAGTTCTTAAGCTGTTCCAAAAGGTCAAAAGTGAGACCAACAATTTAAGGGGCTCTCGGAATACCGTTCAACTTTATGTGCTCCGCAAGTTGACCGAACCGATCGGCTGATTTCCAATGTCTGGCGTATATTAATAAATAAAAATATTCCATCGGGTCATAAAGGTCTCATGTTGGTTATCGACAACGCCCTGCCTCAATTATGTGGCACTTAGAACAATTCAATTTGATGTTCGCTGCACTGGATTCGCAGTAGCTATTATTATTATTCACTTCTCAACTGTTTGGACCTAGGGTTAAGGATTTTATTGCTTTTCTCTCTGGGCTCTTGGGAATATTAAATTTATTGGCACCTTTTACAGTTTTTGGATCTTTAGAATATGAATTGTTATTACTTTCGATTGGCGACTGTTCATCGTTCTTAAATTCTCCGAAGTCGGAATATAACTTATCAACTCGTCACTGAACTCAGGGTTTAGTGCTATCGTTGGTTTTACTTAGTTTTAAACATATGTTTTATTAGCCTTCACACTTCAGAGCATGACTCAACTATGGAGCTGAATTCTTTAGCTTTCTGCAGCACCAAGTGTATCTCAATTCGCAGAACGTGGAACCAATGTACTTGGACTCCGAGTAATCTCAGTTCTAGAGTTCGTTCGCCACTTGTCACTGTAATCTCGTTGATTTTCCGCTGTTTTTCGAGGGGCTTATTTCATTAGGTTCCGTTTCACTTGGATGATTTTGCAATGCTTCCCATTGATGATGCTGAATGATTTCGCTGGCTGTTATTGTTTTTATTTTTTGCACATGACAATTGATCAACAATTACCCACATAGGCACACACACGCACGGTGAAAATTTCTCGCCTCTCTCTTCGCCGCACTCTCTTTTTTCATTCTTTTGTGTGCGTTATAATATTTACTTTTTATTTATAAACACATTTTATGGGTATGGGACTTATAAAATGTAAAATACATGTGTCAATAAAACGGTTTCAGCAGACACTTGTTGCCGACTTAAGTTCTTTTGTATTTTTTTTCGATGTGGCCAAGGCCAAGAGTCGTACTCTAAAGAGTGCTGCACCCAAAAAAAAGGTGGAAAACCAAAGCGGAAAGCAGCAAAAAATCACGGATGCTGGCGACGACACTTCCGCAAAAAAGCCACGCAAGAAATTGAATCGAAAAGTAATTCTTGCCTTCTCGCCACGAGTTTGATTCAGGTGCGCGGTGCACATTTATTTCGATTTCATTTCTGCGTCCGCGTTTCGCTTTTCGCGCTTCTTGTTCCTTCGGCGATGGCAAGTTAACAACTAACTGACTGATACGGCTCTGCCAGCAGAGCGGCCAAGCTGAGCGGTAAGCACCGGCGGTGCGGCGGCGGCACAGCGGTAGCTGAGCGGCAGCGACGACGAATATTTAAATTCGACAATCAATTCGAGCGGTGCGGCCTGCGATGACACAAAAAACAACAACAGCTACTATAATGGCAATCGAACTATTACAGTACAACTTCTACAAAACGAACTACGGATTGAAGAGAACAAATTAGAAATATATCAAGGGTTAGCTCTTCTTGTCAGAAACATGAACTTCAAATTGGTTAGCTAAGAAATAATATTTACAAGTGAATGTTGAACAAATCCTGCGTCGAATTCAAACATGCCAACAGAATATACATTTTAGTTTTTAAATTCATTCAACTAATGTTTTGGTTAGCTAAGTCGCACCGTACAGAAAAGCCATTTGAATGAAAGCGTTTAAAGAGAGAGTGAGCGAGAAATAGAAACGGAAAGAGAACTATCTACCAGACAGGTGAAGAACCAGAAGAGGCGAAATCGAAACTACAGGAAAACAAACAGTAACAGGGGAAAAGGGGGTGAAGAGAGAGTTGCGAGGACAAAGGGGGAGGAAGAGGGGGTGGCGTCTGGCGCTGCTTTTGGCAATCGATCAGTGATCATAGACCGATGAATGGGGAAGACAGTCGGGTGATTAAACACACGCACATACGACACACAGTGGCACAGCGAAGACCCTGAACTTAAACTAGTGATTCAAGATCCGATCAACAGATAGACAACCACTTAAACCACCAGGGACACAATCCTCCGCGCGTTTAAGAAAACCACATCATAGATCAATACTCTCTGGTTTAAAGATGTGTAGGAGGATTCTTTTTTTATTTCGATCATAATTGGAGTTTTCAAGCTTTTTTATATAGAGTGACTCACATTCAAAATGTGATATTTTTCAAGGAAATTGTGTCATGAAATCTTGTTACTTCAACTGCTCTAATAGCCAACCAAAACAAGCTGTCCAAAACCAGTTTAGCATAAGGGCTAAAACGATTAAATCTCGTTTTGACTTTCTTTGCGAGTGTGCCGCACTCAAAGTGCTCTCAATGAAGTCTCGGTGATGGTAAATGCTGGAGTATACCAATATGTTCTGATCTTCGCAATGGTGGGACTTGCCCGCCACACCGTAAATATAGTGACCACAATAAAGCGGGCTTCCCATGTCCATCTGGCACATGTTGCCCCTGCCTGAATAACTTCCCATGCAGATGCATTTACTGCAGTACTCCTTGCAAGCAGTCGTCGAGGACCTCTGCGATTTCAGCTGGAGAAGCTCGTTAACATAGGGTCCGTTCTGGAGGCAAGATACGAGATTATCTTGTTCGAAAAGTACTTAATCAGAACATCATTGAACATCACTCACATAATATATTCTGCCCCATCCGACAGTTTGGCAAAGCCACGTGGAGTTCATCTCGTTATGCGGCAAGTGCACGGCGAACCTGTCACCGGTAACGGCCCGATTCAGCTTCAACATGGCCAAGTTGGAGCACCCTACATCGGATTCCGTGTCCAGCACCACCTCATCCACCTTAAAGATGTTGCGAGGCGGCGGCTTCATTAATCGCCTTTGTGCAAAGACTACAACCCTCAAGTTCCTTCGGCTGGTGGCCTGATTTGGTGTGCTCTTCGGCAAGGTGCTCACACAGCAGCCGGTGGTCAGGACCCACCGGGTGGCCACGATGGAGCCGACGCAAAAGTGATTGTCGCCCCAGCTGCGGATGTGCCTGGTCGTCCTGATCGACACCACATTCTGGTGGTATCTTCTTCCTACCGTAATGGCCGTTTCATGACCCTTGACACTTGAATGAGCAACATAAGAGAGGAGCCACAGGAAGAGGAGGCACTGCATCCCCAGTGAGATGTAGCACTGTGTCTCGATGTTTTTCGATCATTAAAGTGGGCAAATTAATCAACTTAATTTCCAAAGTATACTCGATACGAAAGTAATGAGATTCAATTCATATTTGTATAGCAAATCAGGTTTTAAAAATTCTTACTAACCAAAATCGAGCAATGTATTAATGAATCAACTTTCTAATGTGGGTTACCTAAAATTGAATATATGTACTCAAATATTTGCAAAAGACAAGTTAATAAATAAGCTTGCAACAACTTCAGCAAACAGAAACAGTTCAATAAAATCAATTTCGTTCTCCTTTAAATTCAATTGTTCCACTAAAAACCACAATTTTTGAGATATGACGATATTTTCGAGAACGAAAGTGCCTCGTTTTTCTGGCTTACACAAATACAAATCTGGTTAATGTTAATATTAACTTGAGCTGTCAAATGCAACGAGTTTTCTTGGGCTCTCCAGCCGCCTGACTTCCTTCAGAATAAATACAAAGTGTAACCACTTCAAAAATGTGAATATAAATAAGCCCAGCAGATAAAGCAGAACAAAAATCGGAAGGTGTCAGCTGGCGGTTGGTGTTTAATTTCCCCTCCGAACCGAGGCGAAATACGTATGCAAACACACACCTGGATTTCAGAGGCGCCGACCAAGGAGCACCTCATTTCTTGAGTGCTCGTGGGTGGGTGCGTGTTTTTATTATCACCGGCGAAAAGAAAAGCAAATAAGGCAGACCCGATAAGCAAAGCGAACGACTCTTGGAGCCAATTAGACGCCGGTTCTACGATATTTCCATGACCATTTACAATTTCATTGTCAGTGCTGTTCGCCAAAAACACTGTTCAATAATTCAGCAGGTTCCACAGGTAACTCCGTCATACCTGGGGTGTGTATGTGTGTGCGTTGTGTGTATTTTCGAATGTCGGTGCGATCTTGTTCGACTTGAAACTTAGGCCTTGTTTGTTTGTCAGATTTAGTGGCTCGATTGAGCGGGCGCATTCAGCAGGGAATAGCGAAATTTAGATATGAAATACGTTATTTACGATGGGACTACAATGACAAGAAATGAGATTTATTTATTGGCACTTTCGGTACAAATAGTATTCGCTTTAAAATACTTTTTTATGAACACTTTTCTTTATCAGTTTTTTTCCGACAGAAAAGTTTTTATCTTTGAAAACAATTTCTTTGAATTTTAGCAATTTGCTAATTGCCAAACCATCCAGAAAATAACATTTGCTACTGGGACAGAAAATGTCACTAGAGTTGTACAACAAATTCGTTGATGTTTGCAGGTTATATCGTTTTTAGACACCTAAATATAGCTGCAGCTAAATTATGTAGAATGTACAAATTGAATTTGGCAGCCCACTCAACAAATGTCATTGTTCTTTCCTCGCTTTATTTTGATTGGGAAACTTACTAATTGTAATCACATCAAAAAAAAAAATAACAACATATACAATTTTGTAGAATTAATATATACGCCTAATGCTTTTGACTATAAGAAATCTGTAGTACCCCTAAAAACTTTTATGCCACACTATTATTTTACCTATCATAAGTTCCCTTGATAAATGGAACTTAAAAACTAAATCACGACTTGAATAGACCAAAACTGTGATTTATCTGCTGAATGCGCCCACTGCCAACGCGTAAGAGAGAGTGGGGATGAGAGAGAGGTTACGAGAGAGTGGCTTCCATAGCATCGCTTTTTAAGTGCGGGTGGGAAAGAGACGGGACGAGAGGGAAGATCGAAGAGACAGAGATCGGGAATTGATTTGTTATTGGACTTACCTTAGCCTGGTTTTGAGATGGAGGAGGCGGTGGTGGGAACTGCAGCAGCGAGTTGCTGATGCTGGAACGTTGGAATCCGGCGCTGTTGTTGCTATTGCTGCCGCTTCCAGTGGGACTGTTGCTGTGATGCGGATGGGGGTGGGGGTGCAGCGGGAATTGCTGCTGGAACTGGTGTCCGGTGGCCACGGAGGTGGCTGCTGCAACGGCGGCGGCCACAACGTGCTGGAAGTGATGCTGCTGCTGGTTTCCAGTGACGGTCACTGCTGAACTCCTTGCCAACCTCTGAACAGAGGAGGTAAGCGGCGATTTCGATGGCGTCTCTAGGCCTCCAGTGTTAGCCGTGGTCCACACAGACATTTTGGCCCAGAATGTGCGAATTCTTCTGCGTTTTTAAGTACTTCTGCCATGGTGCACGGAAATATACAAGCAAATAAAAAGAGAGCAACGGTTGAGTTAGCAACGACACAACGAAAGCAGTGAGGTGCAAATTAAGTACGATCGGCGAGGTTTGAAAGTAAACTAAACAAAAAACAAATTAATTCAACAGCATTTCGTTGCTTTACTTCTGCCCAGCGATAAAAAATTGCCTAACGCCTGACGCTAACTTATCGATCTATCGATTTCCTCAGTGGTGGGACGCCAGCCGTCAGCTGTTACGTTTATGTTTTTACGCAAAAGGCGCCAAATATGAAGATGTTTTTAACCGGGAGGGCTTTAGTCAGAAACTTTGAATTGGTTCTCTCCCAGGTCAGTAGATTTCTATTTACTATTTGCCAAAGTGCCAAGACGCCAACGTAGGCCAATTAATCAAACGCCCACCCACAGTCATTTGAATTAATCAAATTGTTTGCAGTGCTTTACGCCCTGACACACATTTTAATTTGCCAATGGCTGCCTTTTGGTCTTTTTCGAATTCATTCTGATTCAGAGAGCCCTCTTTTTGATTTGGTTTGCTAATTTTCTTTCACATTCTTCCGGCGTGGGCACAAATATTTTATTCTTGGTCAGCGTATGTAAATATATACATACAAACATACATATGGACATTGCATCTGTCGCTCTTTTGTTGTCTGCCTTGAACTTGCAAATTTCCAATGGGTGTGAGGAGTGCAGCGATTGTTTCTAGCATAACTGTGCTATTCGCCCTCCCTTTCAGTTGTCTAATATTCACACCCACACTTTCGCAAGTGTTTGGCAATGGCTTTCTTCGCTTTTCTTTCGCTGTTTTCCTTTGTCTGTGCTATTGCTTTGCTTTGTTTGGGAATTAATTTACATCCCATCGATAGATAAAGCGAGTCATGTGCCGATGAACAGACCTAGAACCGTTATCTATTGGATATGCCCAAACCCCGCGAGCACTCACGTATTTGCATAGCAACAGTCGTGATCAAAGTAATAAGTTCTTTAAGATATAACATGTAGTAAGCTCTTGCCAAAATACTTTCATAATTCAAGAATCACGACGACTCAAAAGTTAACTCGATCAATCCACAGCATACCTTTTAAACGCTCATAATATCATTATTTGATTAAAACAATCAATGACAGAAAGTATTTTTAGCTGTAAGTAAAGAGGCTACTAAATTTGTTTATAGTTGAAGATATCTATGGTCTACGATCTAATGTTCTACCCGCTGCTGTTAGTGGACGTATTAGAATTTCCTTGTGGGCCGTGCGTCGCCTTCAAGGTGTTACAAATGTGCGCAAATGCCATTATCGGTTATCAGGCGGCTATACAATATTTGTTTGGCAACCAAACAAACGGGTCGGGGGGTTAGGGCCCAATAACTATAATATTTTTGCATGCCCTGCTTCCGTGGCGAGCACGACTTGGACTTGGGTCGTGAATGTAAACAATTGCGGGCAATTGAAATCAATAAGCGATCCGAGTGCCGCAGACGTTGTAATCCCTTCTGGGTCTCTCAATTCCAAGCTCTACTCGATATGTGTTTTTTATTATTATTTTCTTTGCTTGGGGCATGCGACAAAGATGCCAAGTCACTGGCTATTAATAAAACTTCGCTCAGAAATCAACATTCGATAAGAAGAAAAAAACAAACAATGCAAACACCATGAATGTGTGTCTGTGGGCTTCGGGGAGTACATATGTACATATATGTAAATATGTACTTATATCGCAAATGAATTTGTTCAACTACAACATATGTACATAAACAATCAGCCCATTTGACAGTGACGCAGATTTCTAAAATCGGATTCAAACTGGAGAAACAGCGAATTCTTGGAAGCGACTTCAAACACTCAAAACTCTTAAATTCTTATCGAGCATTTTCTTTATCTGAAAAGTAACTCGTTTTATACACAATGCTTGAAACGCTTAAAGGTTTTAATGATTGCTAATTATATAACTCTTAAAAGCTCTTTTCGAACAAAACACTTTATAACTTTTGACCTGCTACAAAGTCCCTTTTAATTAAACTTCAGCTATTGCGTTTTACAGTTGAGATGGAAACTTCTGGTTTCTCCTAAAGATCTTAAATAAATAATTCCCGAATTTTAAGCAACTGCTTATAATTAATATAAGAAAATATATACATTTTCAGCAGAGTCACATCTTGTAAAATCGGTAAGCTAAAAATGTTGTTTTGTTTTGTAAACATCTGTTGAACCATAATATCTGCATTTTTATGCAAATTTGGGCTTTTAAACCTGCTTCTTTAGAATAAAAGCACCTCATTAGTCACCCATAAATAGCCCAAAAAAGTCAGCCAATTAACATAAAATATCATATTTAATTCATACTTAAAAAGAGTTGACAATAGTTGGCGAAAACAATATAGTAAGTAATACAGATGCACAGCTAGGAGCTAAGTACGCGGCACTTTTAAGGACTAATGGACAAGACAAGACGATCGATCACAAGGATCACAAGGCAACAACTGGCGCTACAGTGTGTCCTCTATTTGGCTGACTAACTTCAGTTCGACCCTATTGGATGGTGGGCTTGATGGAGCCCATGGAGTTCTTGCGATGATGGTTGACCTCGAACCGCTTCATGATGCTGGCCACAATGGACGAGGGCGGCATGTCCGGATTTCCGGTCAGCCCTCTGTAGCCCAGAACACTCGAGTCGGCCAGGGATCGGGCCAAAGTCAGTCTTTGCACGAAGGCATCGGTATCGATGCCGGGTACCTGGGAGGGTTTGAGGAACCGCCGCGGAATGCGGGACAGCATGTCCTCGGAGCTCAGGGGTCCGAAGCCCAGGTTGATGAGTATGGCCTCGGGATCGGGTTTCCGCGCCTCCAGCAGACTGTCCACACTGGAGTACCGACTCGAGTCGGACTGCACGGACACGGAGCTGTCTCTGAGGAGCAGGCTGCTGAACCTCTGCTGCCTCTGCGCCTGGGGACTCAATTCGGGCGCTGTGCTGCAGGACTCGAAGGACTCCTCGTGGCGCAGGCAGCGGGAACTCGTGGCGGAAATGTGACGCAGGGGCATGGCGACGACGGGCGATAACTGCTCCACATCCGGGTCGGCGTTCTCCTCCAGATCGGCGGCGTACTCCATGTCGTCGGCGTCCACGGCGGACGACTGCCGCTGGAGCTTTCTGCGCCTGCGCAGCGGCTTGCTGGGCGGAAAGTGGGCGCTGGGCAGGTGGTCGCTGCTGCCCGCCAGCTGCTCGGCGGTACAATCGACCTTGGCCCCCGTCCGGCCCTCGAAATTGCTGCAGCTGTGCGAACGCTCCATGGCGTTTTGTGTAATAGATGTTGCACAGATACTCAGATACTCAGATACTCGGATCTGTATCTAGTGTTTAGTATCTTGAATGACTTTTCTGTGGTCACGGCTGCTCGGGTTACAAGCAAACGTCGCCTCGCGATCTCGATTCAAGCTCAGCTTTTGGACATATTTGGTAATGGCCAGAATCAGGGCCTTTAAATTTCAATTTCAATTTCAAATGCGCGTGCGTGTGTGCGTGTGTGCGCGTGTGTGTTCAATAACAAAAGCGACAACAATTTGTGTTATTTGTTATTTGGTTAATTTGTTGTTGTTTTTCGCAAGCGCCTTTTCGGTGGAAACGTGTTTTTCTATATTCCGCGCGTTTCTGTTAATTTGTTGTTCGCATTTGCCGTATTTGTGTGTTTGTCTGTTTTTGTTTATTTTTTCGCTCGGTGTGGTGTGCTGGAGATGCGGAGTGTTAATCAGCCGGAGAGCTTCTGACCCCGGATTTGGATTTGGAACGATCGAGTGCGAGTGCGAGTGCGAGTGTTTTCACGATCGCTTGACATTGATATTGGTAATGGGAAGTGTAACGAACGGCTTTCTGGACCAGCTTTGTTTGCCCAATATTGTTGGTATTTATTCGCGTCTTAAGTACACAAGTGTGGTCATTCACAGAGTTCGACTCGAAGTTCAGTTCGAGTTTGGAATATATAATTGTCGTATTATTATTTATATTTTTGCCCGTGGCTTTCTCTTTGCGCTTCGCTGGGCGTCCGCTTCGCAACGAGTGATCTTCAAAACTGAAACTGAAATCACAAGCCCCAAACGAAACGCCCCAAGCACGATCGGAGCTTTTACGCCGGAGAAAAAGAGTAAAAAAAAAGAGAGAGAGAGAGAGGGAGAGGTAAAGTGAAATCAGAGCCGAGGAAATTGGGGAGCGAAAGAGTAGTATCGCGATCGGACTGAGCTGGAATTACTTTGCGACCCCACGACAATTTCCTCGGGCGCAACGCCAATCTATTAAGAAGTTGTGATTCTCCACTCCCCAGAATTCCCACATCTCCCCACGCAACACCGTCGGGGAAAAACCTTCGCTCGCCTTCGTATCTCCTCGATAAAAAGCAACACTTTAATATTATTGACACGTTCCGGGGCTCTGGGACCGATTTCATTCCGTTTATTGGGCCTTTCGCATTGCCCTTATTTGCTTAATGAAATGTGTACTTTTTACGGCTTAAACGGTCCATTGTTAAACAATTTGGGCATCATAAAGATCTATCTAACTGCAGCAGGAAGATTTCGGGCTAATTGTAAATGGGGATCAGGCTTTACGATCGCGTAAGCAATGGGAACTTTTGATCTTAGCCCTGTTTGTTTAACTTAAGGCCACTCTCGCCCAGATTCGCATGCAGATGCGGAAGAGTCACGCAGATGGAAAACACAAACAGGGGAAATTGTTTAAACCAGTTAATAAGTGGCGCGGGAAAAGCTCTCAGGTAAAAGCTTTCGGCTCAAACAGCTGTGACTGCCGGTTGCCCTAACCAATTCAGAGCGATTCGATCTCCGCCTGGAGGCGAGCATTTCTTTCAGCACTGCGAGAATCTAAAATAAGATCGGAGCTTCAAATGTCAATCTTTAAAAAGATTGCTCTGAATTTCAATAGGGTAAATAAGGGAAAGATAGAGATATTAATGTTACCTTAATCTGATTTTGACCTGATCATTTGCTTAGTTTTTAATGATTTAATAACACAAGTTGTTAGCTGTGAACGAAACGACTTTATCTTGCCTAATAAACATTTCAATCTGTGATGACTTTCTTGATTAAAATTTAATTGTTTAAGGTGCTTTAGCTTCAACCTCAGTTTCTCCCTTTGTATTCATACTTGACACGCTTAGGAGCCTATCTTATTTAAATTCATAATTACGCCTTTAAATTAAGGCATAACTTGTTTAACACAAATAAAAGGATTACTTAGTGTCTTTAAGTAGATTTTCTCCCGGTGCACCCGCCGCCTTTCCCAACCTCAACTTCAGACGCTTGTAATTCATACTTGACACGTTCTGGCCACTGACTTGCTGAGCTGCGTAATTGTATCTCGGAATCTCTGGATCACGAGAACAGTGGCAGCAACCTCAAGCCCCTCAAGCCAAAGGTTCTGTCAACAGATCTTCCCCCGACTGACAAAGGTCCAAGTGTATCGGCTGGCAAATGTACTCAGACTCATACTCATACTCATTCCATACTCGGAGCATGCAAGCACTGTATAACCAGCGCAAATTTACACAATTCTTCAAAAATTGACTCGGGCTATCAAGGCCAGACGGAATGGAGCAGCCATAAATCTGCGTTCCGCGATCGTACAACGAATATTCTAATGAAGCCAAGTAAATTTGATAAATTCAATTAAAGGTGAGCAGGGGGATGTCATAATCACGCCGAGCAATTAACTCTCGACCGACGTCGATGATGCTATAAGCAGTCATCAATTGAGCAACTGGGATCTAATGAAGGTTCCAATGCGATCGGGCGATTGGAGTGGGAGGTTTCGGACTGAAGTTCGCATCTGACTAGGAAACGGGGAAATACCAATGCCGTCTTTGTTCTTGGCTAACACGATCAGCATGATATGGCGGTTAATTCAGATAAGAGAAAGGGCAGATTTCTCGACCCTGATCCTGGGCGCTGACAATTATTTCTGGCTAAATAATGAGGCACAATAAATTACTTAATTTTCCCAGAACATCTAGATTTGTGAGTTATGCAAGCGATATTAAACACGAAAGTTAAGCGAACCCAATACGAATAACAGTAATTATAGTGACACAATGATGGCGTGTCTAGGGTTAACCTGTGACTCAACAGGGCGTACACTGAGAGAAGAATTTATGTTGGTTTATTTGCAACAAAAGAACCATTTATATTCCATTTATTCTTATTTATTATTATTATTATTATTTCAATTGACACTGAAGATAGCATGTTATTTATATACGTTTACTACTTTTTTCTGGGTTTAGAAGACTAGTTTCGTGCAGTGTAGAGGCCCTGATCCAGAATCACCCAAAACCGTTAGGTTCGATTCAATCAATGGCTCACGCGCCCTTTTCAATTGATAGTAATTGGCAGTTATTCTACGGTTGTAATGTATACAAGCGAAAGTGTAAATTGCAATTGAAATTTCAGCATTGTCAAGTAGTTTGAGTGCAACTTGGAATTGCAAATGACCGACCGACAGGAGAAGGGAAGTTCCAGTTGGAAATGGATATTGGATATGGGAATGCGAATGGGAATGGGAATCCAGAATTGGGAGCTGCTCACCTGTATTTCTTCCCGTTGAGCGCACTATCTTACTTTTTATCCGTTTTTAAAGGCGCAACGAAACAAGTTGCCGTTTTTTGCTCGTTGCCGCTTCTAGGTTTTATAAGCACGTGTTTGGGTTGGCGACTTTTCCGGCTTCCAGCTAATGCACTTTCTATGCCATCACATCATAACATTCACAGTCGAACTTCCATAAAAGGCACAAGCATTTGTCACAGCCAAACAACTTAATTTCAAGAATCAAGAATTTATGTTTTTATACATTGACAAATAAAATAAACATCATTATAAACTAATATATAAAGATTACGTTTTTTTATTTACTTTAGTCAAAAGATTGTTTGGCGCTTAGAAGACCACAACAAAAACATTTCATTTTAGAGATACAATATCTGAACATTTAAGATAAGATTATCTTTGACGTAAGATCTATGTTTTGTAGGTGGTATGGAAACAATTTATAATAAAAATTGAATTTTCATTTGTAGTAAGATTTTATATTTGACTTATATAAGCTCTTCTGTACTTTCTAAAAGGGCTTACATTCTGCAGCAGCCACCCACAACCGGAGCGAATCGTTTTGAATTTTGAACTGAGGAAGGTGAATGGTTTTCCATCCGACGAATGGTTGTCACTCTCTGGGAGCTCTTCATGCGGTTTTTCTTCGCCGCAGGCCACGTTATCTGCGGATCATCCGCGAGCTCCTTTTTTATCTTGTCACTGATTATAATTATTTTAGTGTAGTCAACTGTCGGCCAAATATTTGCACATTGTTTGTTGTGCAAATGAAATGCTTCAGACCCACGAACAAACAGTTACGATGCTTAGAAATATGCACAGAAAAAGGAACACAAAAGTCGAAACGGGGGAAAAAAGGAAAATAAAAAATGCAAGAAGCCCGCGAAGCACAACAGAAAATAAAAATACAAGATAAATACGGCGGCAGCGAGCACACACGTTCGCTTTTCTGCGAGCTCCGAATGAATGAAAAGTTTGCTGCCAACGCAAAGATAAATAAATACCGATGCCTCTGCCGGAAAGCGCAGCAGCAGCGACGTCGACGCCGGCAGCGGCGGCATTGCACATTTTGTTGCTGGCCCAGGTATTTTGCCGTTAGATTCTTGGTGTTTTCGAAAAGCTAACCAGCCGGTTTTTCAGATAGTTTTGTAAAATGTCAAATGTGTATGAATATTGTAAAGATATTTTTACACGCGCAGGTATGCTACACGCTTCTGCATGTGTATCTACATGTACATGTAGAATATAAGTAAATTGTTGGATTTTATACCCTTGCAGGGCACTTGAAAGCCTATAACTTATCTTTATAATGTCCGATTTTGGATTGGTATACCTCAAAATGCTTGTGACAAAGTCACCTAAGAAACTGCATCATTAGTTTGGTTCCGATGTTCCGATGATGTTACCCCTTGTCAAAAATCCGAAAAGTGGATTTTTCGGCAAATTTGTCCTTTCTTGTTAAAGCTGTATTTTTCATCAAGTCCCTTTGGCAAAAACAGCTTATTTACTTTTTGTTCTTTATTTAAATGTTGTGTATTCATTATAATTATATTGTACAATTTGTTTTATTTGCTTGTTTGTCTCTTTTTATAATTTCTCAAGTTGGACATGCACTTCTCACACGATGGAGTGTCACTTTTTCTCAGTTGCATTTTCACGTTTTTTTTGTGGTTTTTTCGCTTTTCTATTTTTCGCGGAATTGTTTTCCAACAGTAACAAAAAATAAATTATTGGCTTTTAAAATATATGTGTATGTTTTGTGTATACAATATATAGAAAGAGCGTAGAACTTAAGGGTTACGATAACTAAACGTAAAGAATTATAACATGCCGGCAAGATTTTCGATTCATCATCATCATTCCATATCCTCTGATATCTTATCTCTTCTCAATTCATATCATAATATTGTGTAATCTGAATAGTACATTTAGAACTAGGGCTAAAATTAAAAACAAATTGTGATGTACAACACCGGAAATGTCAAATGGAAAATGGTTTTCCCCCTCGCAAAAGCGTTAAGGGACAAAAGGCGAAGGACAAGAAGAGCATTATTAAGGGGCGAGGGGGTAGAAGTTAAGGGGGATTACAATTAATAAACAATTAATAATAATATTGAGCATTGAACTCGTACTGTTCAAAATTGTAGCAATCGATGCGGAGTATTCGTAGTTTCAAGCAAAACTCGCGGAGAAGCTTCTGCTTGAATTCAAATAACATTGTACACAAAACATTTCGTTAATTAAATTAAACTGTTAATTATGGCAAACAAAGATTGTAAACGCATTCGAGCTATGCGATGGTTATCCCTATATCATATATATCTGTGTCTATATTCATACGAATGTTGCGATCTTTTCTGGTGCTACAGTTGATTATCGATTCTTGATTTAATAATTGTTTAGTTTTGAATCAACTTTCTCGGCTGATTATTGTTCTTTAGATATTTTTTTGTTTTTCAACAAATGCACACAAATGTTTTTAAAGTTGTCTTTTTTTTTCGATTTTGTTTTTGCCTTAGCTTGGACTTAATTAAGATTTTTATCAACATGTTTTATTGCAGAGTGTTCTTATCTCTAGGTGTATATCTAGATGTAAGGATTAATTACTTCGAGAGGGTTTCTACCAATTTTCTCGTTCGTCAAGGTTTTCCTTTCATTTTTTTGTGTACAGAGATCCTAATTATACATAACAGATAGGGTTGTGTGGGTGTGTGTGTGTGTGTGTTTGGGGAAGGGTAACGAGTTAGTTTTGAAACAGAAATATAGAACAAACGATTTGTGTTTTGTGTGGGTTTTTCAAAAATAATTTTAGAATTTATATTCAACAAGTAAAACGCTTAAGCCGAACATACAAAATGATTACAATAGATAGGCTACGTCTAGATGTCGTGTAGAGCTAATGCTTCCGTTAGATACACCTAAAAGATAGATTCTGTAACTCTTACTAGCCCTGGACCTAAGGTCTTAGCATTAGCAGGGGAGCGGAGACGAGACTTATTCCTACTGGACAGACACTGTTGCACTCCGCACATATATACTCGTTCACGAAGCGATATATGGGCATAAATACACGGTACGATTACGGTTACGATTACGATTACGTTAAGGATTAGGATTAGGGCTTACGATTAGGGCCTATAGACATAGCGAGAATGTAAAATTTGATCAAGCAATTTTCGATAATCTCATTGTTGCTAAGTAACTAATCCGAATTTAAAGTACATATCATTTTACATAAGTATTGTGGTTAGCATTTACTTCCGCAGCAACTCAACTCGGGTTTGTGTGTGTTCGAATCGCCCGACTTGATTTTGGGGTCCCATTACAATTACAACTACGATATTAGACTTAGGCTCTATTGAAAATGGCTTATTGAAACAACTTGTTGTGTCCGTGTTTTGTGTATTTTGAGTGTGGGAATGGGGAGCTACCCGTGTTGCCAGTGCTACTGGTTCGGCAGCTCCGTTAGCGTCACATCGTACAGGTCGTCCTCGATCTGTTGCACCTCCAGCAGGAAGATGTCCTCGTTGCAGTAGAACGATATCATGTCATCGTCAATTTTCGCAGTAATCCTGCAATGAGAATGCGGGTAATTATCGTTAGTTTTCCGATTGTTATTTACTATCGATAAATCAGTAGTACACCCATGCAAAAAGTTAGCACACGAAGTGAGTTAAAGTTTCTATTTTAGTCTATGCCATAATGATGTGAGGGGAAGGATGCATCCTGGTGGTGTATATCTTTCTGTGTGGGTGTATCTGTGTTTCTCTAGCTCACGAATCACGAATCTGTTAAACTTGCTTAGCTCTGCTTACTTACCCCTTCTTGTTTGTGCGATAAATGTTATTTATGCTCGTTGTTGAGATTTTGTATTTGTTTTCAATCTGCAATTGAGAAACGAGAGAAATATGATGTTTTGTCTGTTTTGTTGTTTCTGTTGCGGCTAAAATATTTCTCTTATAACTCGCTGGTTTTTCTTTGTGTAATTTTGTTCATTTCTGTGGTCAGCCAATCTATATACTATATATTTTTTTTTAGATTTTTGGGTTTTTCAATGTGTTCGCTGCCTCTACTCGTATCGTAAATTTTTTTGTGCTTTTGTGTGTGCGGAGTGTGTACGGAGAACAGATTTTTAGCAGGTGGTTCAGTGTATATACACGTGTACGAGCATATATACCTTGGATGAGATTTGATTATGAAATGGTTCGTAATTAGTTCCAACTACAGGTTACAAATTATCGAATTGCTTCGGGTGAGTAACGATTTATATTTAGCGTTTGAGATGTGGCTGATTTTTTAGTTGAGTTCACTTATGCTTTAGTCTTAGTCGATTAACGAATTGATTTTAGAGATTTTAGACATTTTGGCGCTTCGATTGTTTGATTTCTTTTCAGCGGATCCAATTAGACCAAAATGAACAAAATTACAGAAAAGGTGGTTAACCATTAGAACGAGTTTGGTTTGAATTGTTTTAGATTTTGGGACTGGGATTGGGTTTTTCTCATTTGGGGTTGCCTTTTGGCTTTTGAGTTTTAAGTGGGAGTTGGGGTTGGCGTGTGCTTACCGCATTCAGCAGGCCGATCGTGGTGGGCGGCACTACGTGAAGGGGCGTGTAGACCTCCTCGTTCTCCTGCCGCACGTACAACATCACGCGCTCCGAAGTGGGCGGGGTCATCCTGCCGCGCTTCATCGGCGGACCAAAGTCGGTCAGGGGTGTGCTGCTCAGCATGTTCTGGTCCAGTATGTGGTCCTTCTTATCGCTATATAAGATAATATAGAGTTAGGGAAAAAAGGGAACAAAATAGAAAGAAAATTATAGTTAGTTTGAATGTCGTTCTGGGGTTCCTGCACTCAGAAAATGAACTATGAATTCGGATTGGAAAGGATTTCTTATTCATATTATTTCTTGTGCCATTTATCCGAGTGCAGGCTATATCTTCTTGAATGGATGGACGATTTTTACTCACGTCTGCATGTCGGGCGGAAAGTGGTTGTGGAACTTGAGCGTCGGCGTGGCCACCTTCTGGCCGTGGAGCAGGAACGGGGAGGCTCCCTTCAGGTCCGGCGAGTCAGTCTCGTGGCCGTAGAAGCTCTGCAAGGACGAGTGCGAGTTGGAGTTGGAGTTGCCGTTGCTCAGGGGGTTGAATGTCAATCCGGAGCCAGCGCCAATGCCCGGCTGACCTACCTTCTCCATGTCCTCGGCGGGCGAGAACAGCACCGGCGGCTTGGCGAAGTCCTGCATGCCGTAGAACTCGGACCGATCCGTCACCGGATGGTACAGCTCGTCCAGCTTCTTTCTGCCCGTGGCGGTCATCTTTCGCTTGGCTGCCCGCCGCTCCTCGTCGCGCGTCTTTCGCTCCGCTCCCTAAAAAAACAGTTGGGAATTATAAGGATTTCAAAAAATACAATAAGAGTGCTGTAAAATAAAAAAGGTAAGCAATGTTTTCTAAGAAACTCTTTTAGGAGTATCCAAGTTTTAAGTAAATTTTATTATAAGGAAATAAAAATGCACTTTGGTACTTTAAAAACCACTAAATAAAGGAATGTTTTTGTATGAATCTTAATGGCATTCAATTTCAAATTAAAGAAAATTGAAATGCAGCTTAAGATCATTAAAGACACTAACTAATAGTGCGGACCATTAAACCCCATCGTTTTGGGACATTTTCAGATACCGCTTTTTTCGAGGCAGAAGCTTTGGAATTTCGAGTGCGTTGAAGACGCTTCCAGGTGGATTGCGAAAGTCCCACTCCCCCTTCTTTCCCCTCCCCCTTCCCGCCACTGCCACAATTCCCACTGCGCAGGCGCACAGGTGCAGCGGGGCCAGCGTGTAATTAGCAATCAATCAAATGCACGGATGCCACCTTTTTTGATATTTCTTTACTTATTAATTAAATTCATGTATGGCTGGCAGTGCCATAAGCTGCCTCGCCGCCGCTCGTTGCAGTTGCAAAAATCGCAGCCAGAAACGAGGAAAAAACTAAAAAAAAAAAAACAACAAAATACAGAGAAGTGAAGGAAAAATCAAAATAGCGAAAGAGAGAAACGAGTTTCTCGCCTGGGGAGCTGCGATGTCGCGCAGAGACAAAGCCGCCACCGCAGTGGATTTCTCAGCTGGAGTCTGCTGCGACTGCCACTTTTGGCAAAATGGTCTACACCGTTAGGGTCAGAGCCAAAAACGAAAAAAAAAATAGACAACGGAAAAAAATTACACAAAAAAAATGGGGAAAAATTATTATAAAATACTTAGAGATGCAGCATAAATATGCATACATAATAAATAATCTGGCGGCGCCTCGAACCATGCAAGAAAAGACTTTGTCTGGGCCAGCTGCCCACCTGCTTGTTGCCTGATTGCACACACACACACACACAGGCGCACGAGGCGCAGATCACACGGATGGCCATATAATATATAGTCTGTTGGCTACTTTGTCCGCCGGTGATTGCTAGTTTGCGTGTGCAGGCAGATGCAGCATGCAGCACTGCTGTTGTTGCTGTTGTTGCTGCTGCTGTTGCACTTTGCATTTGTAATTAAAAATCAGCAATTGAGCGATGGAAGGCAGGTGACTAAAGGGGTTTTACCAGGGGAGGGGCAAGTTGAAGGGGAAGGGGATGGGAGATACAACAGCAGCAGCACAGGAAGTGATATGTTGCAGCAATCTTCTGTTGCTGCTGCTGTTGCTGCCGCTTCTTGTGGCTCCATATTATGCAAGGATATCTGCGGGAACTACCTGCTCCTTAACCCACTACTGCCCCAACCCCTTGCCTCCTTGCCACCGCCCATTAACCCGAGTTCTTGTGCTTATCACAAGCATTTTAGCCTAGAGCCATGCATTCGATGTACATCAGGCATCCCAGCAAATGCGTGTGTCTGTACCTGTATGTATGTGTGTGTGTGTGTGTGTGTGTGGCATGTAAATAACTGTATTTTATTACTTTTATTTTATCTCGGCAGAAATATCGCCAAACTGGCAACTTGCAACCAGCTAAGGCGACGGCGTCTCGAATCGCCCAATGCGGTCAATGCTCGCCGCAGTCCAATACCTCTTTTATTTTCCCCTCCCCTCCCCTCCCCTCAGCTTCTTGCCCCACCGGAGCCTTCTCCTCGCCTCGCTTCTTCTTCTTTTCTCTTTTGGGAGTCTGTTAATCGACTTCAAAGTATGACGGAGATGGAGACGGAGGACACCCGACGACCAAGTGGGCAGCCACTTTTCGAGGAGGCGGGAGCCACATTACCATTAGCATTAACGTTAGCTAAATTCTATAATGATTCTGTGCTGATGGCGCAGAGAATTTCTCAAAGACTTAATCAGGAGGAAAAGCGGAAAATTCAGTTACAGAAACATGTGCTATAAAGTTAACTCCTGATCCTGATAAAAAGTTATGGATAAGCGGTTTCACCACTTGTAAATTGTTCTGGGGAAAGAGAAGACAATTAAATTGTGAAAACTTGTAAGCATTGATTTCCATTCAACTTGCTGTACAAGATGAGAACTTTAGTAATTACGGAACAACCCATAAAAATACCAGAGTTACTTAAGTTATTTAGCCCACTAATTTTCTTCGTTTTGGGGGAAAGTACCGCTCTGCACAACTCCAAAGATCCGAAAGGAGAGAAGAAACCAAAATGACAGTTATCCCGCAAGACAAAGCCTCCCAAAAGGTTTCCTTCCTTCAACATTGTGAGCATGCGGCAGAATTTCTCGTAATTTTGTATCTTTTTGGCCCTGCCCCCGGGGCGAACTTAAAGATTCATAATTGGCGACTGTGGCCCAGAGGTGCCAAACGACGCAACTGCAACTGAAACTGCAATTGCAGTGAAATCAAAATTTCTGAAATCCCAAAACATACAGAGAAAATAAAAGGGAGACCGGGGCGAAACCAAAATAACGTGGTACGCGAAATTTAATTGATACATTTACCGATAAACACACGCTGGCCAGCAAAAAGGGCCGGCCCCAAAATGTGAAATATAAGCCCGGCGCGATAGCGATATGGCCATGGTTACAGATCGCTGGATCGCTGGATCGGTGGTTTGGTGGTTCGGTGGATCGGTGGCTTGTAAAGGGTACAGGGCCTCCGTACAATAAAAGCCATGTCCAAACGGAGGCCCAGGGACGAGGATGTGTGTAATGATATGAGAAAATTAAATTGGAAATCCACGAAATGATTTATTAATAAACCCCATCAAGCGAAAAAGTGAAGGGTTCGCATAAAGGCGAACCCACAGATACGAAAACAAGGGCATCGAAAGGATGTGCGGTGTGTGCAAGTATGTGTGTGTGTGTTTGTGTATTTGTATGTTTGTATATGCTTGTTGGCCATTTACTTTTGGACGCGTTACGCTTTCCACTAAAGGCCAAGCTGCCTGACTGACGGACAGGCACTGCCGGTGCCCCCAATTCGATAAAAGCTGCAGCCACATCCGAAGGAGAAGCGGCAGCAACAAGTGGCAGATACACAGTGCACTGGGAAACTAAGTTTTAATTTGCTATAAAATATTTTATAATAATCTTTTCATAGTTCCAATTTATATAGCATACATTTTGACAGCTTTCGAAGTGATTTTAGAATAAGAAATAAATTAATAAAAAAACCTTTTGTTGAAATAAACTATTTCAATTTCAATTTCCTAACTTGTTCATTATTGTGCTAAAGTAGTTTTGAATTTCGTTATGATTTTTATTGAAAAACCTAGTGATTATTTTGATCACGTTGTTGATCTTTTTCTGACCGTGTAATGCAAACGAAGCTGCACGTAGCCGCTTTTAGTTAGCTCATCAACCTGTTGCACGTGGCAGAGGGAGCCCCGTTTGCTCCTGTGTGCGTAATTGCCGGCATAGGGGAGCCTCTTGGGCAGCGAGAACTTGCGACTTGCAACAGTGGGGAGAACGAAATCACTTACCTTATCGCAGAAGACCTTTATCTGACAGTAGCCGCGGTGGAAGACCGCCGCATCTCTGGGGTCCTCGAATGTGTCGATTTGTACGTGCAGCGGCAGGCCCTGCAATATGGAATAAACAGAATCCGTATTAATATCACAATGCCCGTATCATTCAAATTGCCCGGAGGGGGCAGTTAAGAGTTGCTGCTGCCGCCGGACACCAATCGCAGTTGCAACAACAACAGCAACATCAACAACAACAACAGGAGAAGCTAAAGCAAAGCAAAAGCAACTTGCAACAGCTGCAATTAGCCGTTGTCATTTGGGCTGGGGGGCGTGGCCGGAGCCTGAGGGGCGTGGCTGGGGTGATGTTAAACTGCCAACATCCGTTGGGCGAGTGTGTGTGCAACATGTCGTGGCAAGTGCATAATTTGATTTGCCTATTGCCCACACTCGCTGCCACACGGGGAAAAAAAATGATTTAAAATAAGTATTAGTTAGTCCCTTTTCTGATTCTGAATCTTTAAAAAGGTTGGGGTATTCAAAAGAAAGTTAAAAAGTTTATATATTTTGTTGTATCTTCTGTTTTAATTCACAAATTAAGAGGAAGATAATATATGAACTTAATTTCTGTGGTTTAGCAGTAAATGATTAACTTGGTTTAAATTAGATTAGGAATTAGTACAATTTTAAATTGAAGTCTAAGTTCTAGTGAGATTTTTTTACTGTGCAAGCTCCACTGTACCTGCCAGAGCGCTCTTTTAATGAAAAGCAACGAGTTCTGCCTGTGTTTCTGTCAATGAAATATCAGACTTAATGTACGCATTACAACTGCGGCCAGGAGGATGTGCAATCCGCTTTGGCTTTATGGGGAAAAGGGAGGAGAAGGGGAGGGAGGGAGGGAGGGAGGGGATGAAGTGGGCGGGGGCAGGTGGAGAGGTGAGGCAGGTGGCAGAAGAAATCCCCTGCCTACGTAGCATCAGTCTGACCGTTGTCAAGACGACTGCTCTGCTCTGAATGCTGATCACATGAAAACGAGGGGCAAGGAGCTCTTCCCGCTTCGATCTGGATCGCTGGATCGCTGGATCGGTGGATCGCTTCTCTGGCCGCATTGATTCGCCATTAACAAGTTGGCATTAAATTGGTTATTACTTAACCCATCAAAGGCGATGTGGCTGACTTGAATTTCATTTATAGGAAAGTGGTCACAATTATTTTTCTCCGAGAAACTTATTTGGGTTACTTGTACACAAAGGAACGTGCTAAAACTTAATTAAATAAACTCCAAGGAGAAATAAAGAAAAAGTAGATCGATTTTAAAGAGATGTTATTTAAATAAATTTAATTTAAACTTAAATTAATAATAATAAATCAATAAGAAATAGTAAACTCACCTTGACTCCCTTTTGACTGCTGAAATCCGTGCTCAAACACTGAACCGCAATGTTGATCTGTTTCGAAATGAAAAAAAAACATACATGAGAAAAGAAAAGAGAAACAGAGCGATGTGAGAAATGCCATAAAATATACAAATGTAAACAATTATGAACATAAAAAGAAATTATATCGGATGACAAAAACTGAAATGCGTCTGCTATTAGAAGGCAATTGTTTTCTCTCTATTAAGTCGATGTCCTCTTTATGCCCACGACAGTTTAAAACATTCCAACGCACTCGGAAAGAGGAAAATAAAGACAAAAAACAGAAAAAAACAGAAAAAAAAGCAGAAAAAATAAAATCGCCGAAGGAGAGACAATAACAAGGCAATACACAGAGGACCATGGACCATGGACCGGGCCAATAAGATGGCCTGGAATTGAGGAATTGAGGAATCGCGGAGGGGCCTTTAAGCCAAGTAACGAGCCAAGTCGAGCCGCGACTTTGTATCGCATCCAATTCATTTTTAGTTCGACTTCAATTCAGTGCAAGGTGTGTGCATTCGTATGTATCTCGCTGCGTATGTATCTGTATCTCGTATGTGTGTGCTGCGGCATTTTAAGCATGCCAAGTCCGAGTTTGAGTCGAAGTCGAAGTCGAAGTCGGAGTTTGAGTTCAGTTTGCCAGACGGACGACGGACAGCAAAAAAATAAAAAGAAAATCCATCAACGCAAAAATACCAAAGGAAACAATCTTAATGGTAAAAGTGCAGCAGTCACAGTCGCAATATCCACATCCACCATCCATGCACCATCCACCGTGCACCGTGCACCGTGCAACGTGCAACATCCAGAGACCGAGATGTGGACGAGCAGTATTTAATGTGAATAATTAGCGGGCGCGTACCATATAAGCGAAAAGCGAGGGGCGAAGCACCTGCGTGTCGGTGCGTACGAAAGTTTTGCCGCTGGGAAAGGCAGTATCTCACAGATACACAAGCACACACACATACAAAAATGGAGATACAGATGCAGCTAACGGCACAAAACGAAATCGACATTATGCGAAGTCTCGAGCCAAGTCGATCCAAAAGGCGACTCTCTCTCCGCGAAGACGATGATGTCGCCGGGATTAACATCTCAGCGCGTAAACAATTTGTAAATAAAAAGCTCTATCAAATGCGAGTGGGCGGGGTGGGGGTTTTTTTTAGAGGGGGAAATGCACTTATGGTCAGCCAGTTAATAACTGCTGACCAATTTGGCAGCCTGCACACACAGAAGTCACTGAACTTGAATGAAAATCAATTCGGTTTTGGCATTTGTTTTTCACAATTTTTCCAACATTTTTCCTGCGGCATTTGAGCCGGGTTAAATGAACACTTGGCAAAACAGAGGCCACCATTTGATGGTATTTATGTTAATTATAAACGTTCAATAAAAATGTGAGAGAATGACGCAATAAGCATGGGTGTGTGGGAAAATAGGAAGTGAAATAAATTAAAATCAATATTTTAGTGTATATATTATAGATAACATTCTATTATCATTCCAAAATTAATTAGCAAAGAGTAATAGCTAATATTGATCTCAAATTATTTCAGAAATATTATTGAGAAAAGGAATTTAAATAGAAGACATGCTTTTCTCTCTCTGCAAGTGGGCGGCGCTTGGCAAAAGGATAAGGCGACAGCTGTAACCACGGCGTATACGTAATTCGAGGGCTGTCTCGCGCACTGGTCGAACTGCTGGCGCTTGTTGCAATAGAATTGCAAATATTTTCCAGCGATTAAAATGCTTGATAATTGCTAAATTAAAACGCGGTGGGAGCCCGCTCGATCTGCGGTTAGCAGCCGAAGCAAAAGGCTAAAAAGCCAGCCAGTTAACTCGACTCAGTCGCAGTCGCAGTCCGAGTCGCAGCTTTAGTTCCAAGCATTTGCGAGTAAGTGATTAAAACTAAGTGTCATAAATAAATAAATGCATAAATTATTCTTTTGAAAAAAAAATCAAACACACACACTCGCACACATCCGCTGTGAGGGGGAAAGAGAGGGGGAGAATGCCGGACGGCGGGCGACAGAAAGGGATGGCCGCAATCGACTCAATCTGAAGCTGAAGCTAAAGCTAAAGCTGAGGCAATGGCGACGCTGGCTGAATAATTTGCGTTTTACTCGCAATTGAAAATAAATCAGAAATTAATTCTTTGCTCACACACAGGCACACACACACACACACACAAAGGCTGGCGGAGATATAGAGAGGATATCTGCTATCTCCGTCTGCTTCATAAAAGTGTCGCGCTTAATTTTTGCGATTTTTTTTTTCATTTTTAATTGAGGCGGCGCTCGAAGCAAACAAAATGGTTGAGAGGGAAAAACACATAAAAGCACACAGAAGTTTTAAAGAGATAATGACTTGGAGATACCCTGTAATTGTTTAATAGTTCTAAATGAGTAGAGAATTGTCTGCATTGTATGCTTGATAATGAGGAAAGGTTTTGAAACTGATCAAATAACTTAGAGCATCGATTTCTCAAGAAATCATAACTCTCCTTTTAATTATGTTAGTACTGATTTTAGATAGGATTTGTGATTCCTTATTATTTATATTTTTATTATACAGTTTCTTTAATTTAAAGCTGTTAGATCCAATAGAAGTACAGTTTTGTTATTGTGAAAGAGAACACATTCAGTTAGGAACCCCATCTTTCTTTATAAGCAGAATGTTTCTAAATTAAAGGGTATCCGAAAATTCCATAACTGCAATGGTTCTAGAAATGAGATCTAGAATGGGCAGAACTTACCTTGGCGGAGCTCTCCAGCGGATTCCAGTAGACGGCGATGGCATTGTGCGACACTTCCTCGATGCAGCCAACGAGGCCAACCGAGTTCTTTGTATCTGGAGAAGAAGAGCAGTCGGAGCGGATAATCAGCGGGGGTTGGGGGGTTCGAGGGGGGGAAATCGGGGAGGTAGAAATGCGAAGGGGGAAGGAGAATGGGAAAGGAGGTAAACAGAGGCGAGAGCTCGGACATTGGAAAATATGTTTGTATTAACAATTAAGGAAATTTCTGCGTTGCCATCCAGTGACAAGTGCCTAATGAGTTATGTTTGATGGGCCAGGCAGCAGCAGCAGCAGCAGGAGCAGCAGGAGAAGCAGAAGCAGCCGGAGTTGCTGCTGTTGCAGTTGCCCCATGTTGCAGCCGCCACCGAGATTATCTGCAATCAAACAAACGGAGCGCAGTTGCTGCCGCCGCGCGATGCGCGTTTATCAATGTCATAACTCTCCTGGAACGTTGCGGGCCTTTCAATAAAAAGCAACAATTTACTGCTAGAAATACTAGACAATACAAATGGACAGTCCGGCATTCGACGCTGCTGGACTTCTCCTTCGATTTGGTTGGGGGGAAAGCAGGGATTGGGGGTTGGGGATTGGGGATTGTGGATTGGAAATTCGGAATGGGGAGGGGATGGGGTTTACGCACCTGCGTCCAAGATCCTCTGCTTCACGGAATGCTGACGACTGTGCCAGAATTGCCAGGCCTTGATCTCGTCTTCGGGACTCTTCTCCTCGCGGAACATTAGCATGATCACACTCTGTGTCGGCCAAATAAAACAGAACGGAACAGAGAAGAAAGCAAATATGGTTATTAAACTAAGTGCGGGCTAAGTTAAGATGCTACTAAAAATTAACTCATTTCAATTATGGTCTTCCCAAAGAGGAAGCACTAAAAGTAAAGCCTTGCAAATGGTTTTTTTGAGAACGGAAATTCTTAAAATAATATTGACTTTTAAATATTTCACTTTGAGTAAAAAACTTTCTTTCCCAATCCTATTTTTATATTGAAATTTAAATCCAAACCGGTTTATGGTAATTCTAGAATTAAATTCACTAATGAAATGTGGGTTTCGTGTAGATTTGATTTTATCTCTGTAATTGAAAAAGTAAATCTTAAAAATAAACAGCCGTAGTAAAAATCTCATTCCCAGTTTCGTTCATTATCCTTGATCGGGAAAGCGATCCGTTAGAAAATTGATCTTTATCTCCGGGGAAATGGCATGTCCTTCGCTGATATTTTCCAGACATCATCGTAATCCGTTTATACTATCCCGAGAATGGGTTCCCTAGACCTGGGTTCATTGCTCTGACATATATGCGTTGTGACACTCGACTCACAACTCGGCGGATCGCACCCTACGCCCTAAAAGTCAAAAGGATTAGGCCCTGCGAGGACAAAAGGACGAATTCGATTTAGCAGAAAAACGTCCAACACACTCAGTGTCTTCTGCTCATCGCGGTCCCATTGTTTTCCCAGCATTTGCATTTTTTCTCTATCATTTATGTGTCTATTTTTTACATTTTGAATAATTAAGGAAGCGCACAGATAGCGAAAGAGTTCCCAAAAAAAAAAAAAGGAAACTAAAAAGGAAACTGTTTCGAAATTGCAAGCAACCCCTGCGAAGATCTTCGATTTTCTTGAGGAGTCGGGGTTTAACTGATTACAGCGTAAATATTTTTGTGTGTTTTCTTCGGGTCTGTGGAGGTCTTTACATATTCATGGGCTAATCAGCTCGTAAATTATACTCTGTTTTTTCCCCCGATTCGGGTCGCATTTTCTTGGCTCCGATTTTCCCCGTTAGAGAAAATGGACACTGCTCGCGATTGGGTTATGCAAATGTTGGGAAGTTGGTGAGTCTCTCTGCTTTTTGTCGGGAAAGGAAAAGGGCGCGCAGCGCTAAACAAATAAACTCGTAAATTAATTTTGACACTTTTTTGTCGAGCCTTGCAAAATATGGCACTTTTATGGTAATCTGAGAGCCGATCGACCCAGTCGAGAACTTGAGAAGCGGAGGGAAGCCTAAGCTCGTATCTGAAGATCTACGCGTTTCATTTGGCTTCGTTTCTTCAAGTTTTTGTTGCAAGTTTCGTTCGTTATTCATGTTCTTCATTCTTTTTTTTTTTTATCGCACTCTTTGCGTATGCAAATGACAGGGAGAAGGACTCAGACTCGGATTTGGATTCGGATTTCTTCAATTTCAATTGTGTTTACTTAGCCTCCAGTTCCGCTTCCCGTTTCCTCCTCCGGCGGAATAGATTTCCTCAACCCATTTACCACTTTCAACTGTAACTTTGATGTCATTCTTGGGCTCTCAACGGTTCGGTTTTCAATTTGCATTTGCATCTCGAGACGCTCACTCATTTAAGCTTATCTGATTGATGATGTTGACGGGTCCTGCTCCTACTCCTTGAGCGATCGTCCTGAACAAACATTCGTCGTGAAAGAGCGCTGCTGCCGGCAGCAATTTGCATTGAGCGGAATATTCAAATTCCCGATCGCCCCGGGGGAAATCGCTTTCGCTTTCTCAGTATCATTTATCATTGCGCCGTGCCCTTAAGCAGGATATGGGATGGGTGTAATTGAGCAAAGGGTTGGCGATCGCCGATCGCACCTCGGGGTGGCTGCCTTCAACAGGACCAAGGATCTCAAGACAAGCCGACACAGATTCCCTGACAAATCGCCCTGGCGACGAAGGAAAGGGGTTGCCCCCGGGCTGATTTTCCCATTTTCTGTTCATCAGTTGGTGTGTTGTTCATCAGTTCGTGTGGTGTTGATGGCATAAACAAAACACACCGAAGAATGGAAAACAAGCAGCACGAACTTGATTGACAAGGGGAGCTTTCCATAACCCTATGACTATACTATATAGGTAGAGTATATAGGATTGGATCCTACCTTGACGGTGGTGTTCTTGATGGGCTTTTCCGCATCGTGCACGTACTCCAGCGTGATTCCGTAGAACTGACCCTTGTTGATGTAGGTGATGCGGTCGTCCTCCCGCCTCTGCGACGAGCTAATGGGGCTCTCCAGGTGATAGCGGAAGCCCACGTTTGTGAAGCTGTTTTTGGGATAGAATAGTTGGTAAACAGATTATAATTGCATTATTTATTAGGTAGGTATTGGTATTTATTGGGACTTAATGGTAGAGTTAGGTAATGGTTAAGATTGTTTTTATTGAATGATAATGTGTGTGATATCATAATACCTACTCTTTTTGTAGTCCAAACTCTTAAGCTTAAACTTCAAAAAGAAATCACAAACAAATAAACTGAAAAATATTCATAAGCATTCGGAATAAATTTGCTATTGAGTGGTAAAACATATTCATAATCTTCTTAAGTCTTTTCTTTAGAGTGAAATAGGATAGTAATGTTTGCAACAAGGTATAGTTAATTTGGTAAAATTAATTTGCAACCCAACCATTTTATAAAAGTATATAAAATATTTATATATTATTATATATTATTATATATTATTATATATTATTATATATTATTATATATTATTATATATTATTATATATTATATTATATATTATTGTTGTAATACTTACATTTTTGGTATTTGGATTTTGTCGGCATCGTTCTGGCGACCAAAGTCGTGCCAGGGCCGCGATCGCGTGGATCCGTTGGTGCTCGTGTCCACCAGCGAGGTGGTTGGACTGTTCTGGCTGCCATGAACCACTGTCCGCTGCTGGATGCTGTTCACACTCACCGGAATGGTGCCATTGGCATCGATCAGCGTGCCCGGCTGACACAACTCCGTGTAGTCGAAGGACTGTTGGGGATTGGAATTAAGTAAATAATAGTTAAGAAAATGTAAAATAAAATGTGAAAACATGTATGTTAATGTACGTAAATGTGCAATATACAATAAAAAGTAATAAAATATTTTTATAAATTTAAATACTAATTACTACCTTTATGTTATAGTTTTCTATTTATCAAGTTTTAATGGACACGACACGCTTCAGGCAAACACTCTACTATCTGAACTACTTGAACTCTCCTTTGTGGTTTCTGATTTGTAATTGGGAGTTCATAAGGTTAAAATAGACTACCTCTAAGTTATGGTTATATATTATATATTCTACCAAACATTAGGTTTAATGGACACGCAACGCATTACATTTTAGCTACAATTAACTTAAATTCAGGATTAATTGATAGATTGATCAGTTTTTTGGGGTTTATCTGGGGCTCTACCTGTTGTATATTGTTCTGATCCCGCGGCGTGATGGCATCTGTTCCGATGCCCGAGTCCGGACTGGGCAGATCCACCGTAAGACCCGCCGCTGTGATGGCCTTGGCGTAGAGGGGCGTGGCGCCTCCGTTGCTCTTCCCGTCCTGCGAGTGGTGCTGTTGCTGCTGCTGCTGGTGATGTTGCTGCTGCTGTTGCTGCTGCTGTTGCTGGTGGTGGTGCACGCTGGTCAGCACGGTGGTGGTGGCGGGCGGGGGAACGCTGCCGGCGAAGCGGCCCTCGTAGGTGACCACTCCGCCGGGCTGCGACACGGACACGTCCACATCGCCATATAAAGATCGAGCGGTGCTGGCCGGGACGTAGCCACCTTGGCCGTCCGGCGCAAAGTACTCGCGGTAGTAGGAGGGCTCCGCGATGAAGGTGGTGGTGCTGGTGGGCGGGGGGGCCGGGGGGCAGGCGGCTGGCCGTGTACATCCCATAGTCGTTGGCCGAGATATAGGGACCCGGACTGGGGCTCTGCGCCTGCATGGCCACGCCCCCGCCTCCGGCGGCTCCGGCGGGACCCGCACCGCCGCCCGCTCCGCTCGCCGTGCTGGGATGTGAGGTCTGCAGGTGGTTGTGGGTGGGTTCAAGGTCACACGTGGCTCTAAATCGCTCTAAATCGCCGCCCTCGCCGCCGTTTCTCACCTGTAGATAGATCTGTGTGCCGCCCGTGGTTGCATACATCTCGAGTCTGGGCGATCCTAATCCTCTCTCTGGTTCTGATACCTCTTCCTCTTCCTCCGATCCTGATCCCGATCGCAGTGGTGATCCTGATCCAGATTCTGGCTCCGATTGAGTGCGGCTGCTGGGCCTTTCAGCTTCACTTGCCTGCAGGAAACATTTGGGGTTTCGTTTGTCTTATTTTCTTGGATCACTTGAAAACCTAAGATTGTTTGGAACAGAAATCCAATGGCTGGGCAACTGATCGATTGGTCAGGAACCCAGCGAGCCACCAAAGACATTCTGTCATTGTGGCTAATAACCGAATAGTGATTGATGAATGCTTTTGGCCAGCGCAGAAGGTCGCCGAAGAAACCCCAGAAACGAGGTGACAAAATAGTGCGTACGTTCTTTGGGCCATGATTGTGTGGATTTTTCTTTCAGCCATGATTCATACAACAACAGCGATCAGCAGCCAGCAGCTTATTGAATATAACGTCAACAAGTACAGTTTATAATAAAAGGCTATAAAAAATGGTGTATACGAAGTCGAAATGAAACAGTCTCAGTCAGCAATCTCCGTTGTTGTCGTCGAGTGGAAAGAAACCAATTAAAAAATATACAGAAAAAAAGCGCGAAAAAAAATCAACATTTATATACGGCTCGTATATATGCGGACTGAAATATATATACATTTGGATATATGCATATGTTAATTATTATTGTTTTTTTTTTTTTGTTTTTTTATTGGCCGCCCGAAAATGTCAAACGTTTTTGGAGACAAACGCACGAAGCCAAATGAGGTAATACAGAGCAAAGTGTGGTCAAGTCATGTCTTTGGCTATATGTCCAGAGGTATATATAGACATCGGGCGACTGAGATCGGAATTAGCAGCGAGCTGCTGATTGCCTTTGGTCTAAAGAAAGTGAAACCCCAAAGAGTCGCAGGTCCAGCCGAAAGACGTCACTATTTGGCTGGCCTTTGATCGAAACCGGTTGCTGGCATTTGGGCCTTAACTTTTGGGGGTAATTTTTGTTACACTTTTGGCCAGAGTCTCACACACACACACACACACACACACTAAAGAACCCTTGTAATAATTTATGGTCTTTACTTTGATTATTTCGACTAAGTTTTCTTGTGAGCGCCGACCAACTGATTTAAATTTATACAGACGACAGTGGCTTGGATTTTTTTGGATTCCATTTTTTCTTTGTGGTCGGAGAGTCTTGTATATTTTAGCATCAGTAAAAGATTCTAGCTGCGAGCTAATTAAATTTGTTCATCGAAATCAATTTGCATTTTAAACTTTTAACGTGCAACGTCAGAAAAGGCCTTGACGAATCCGATCGACGATCGACGATCGATCCACCGGAGCAGAGACAAAGATACTTTGTTGCTGTTGGAATTCGATTTTCGGTGTTTCGGTCTTTCGGCTTTAACTTTTGGCTTTTGTGGTGCGTGTGTCTCTGACTCTCGGCTCAATCGCATCCGAATCTTTGGGCTTTGTTGTTGGCAGCGTATTTAGCCATATGCTATAACTGAGCTATCGGTTATGAGCCGTGCGGAGCTGGGCTTTTAGAATTATGCTAAACAGCGACCAGCGTCAAACGATTCTGGCACATATTTATGTATGAGGAAGGAATAAAAAACACACCAAAATCACCAAAAAAAACTAGCAACAATAAGTAGCGAGACAAAGGAAAAAATCACAAAATATTTAAATAAAGCCAATTAACTATTTTAATGCCTTTTGGAATGATAAAAAGTGAAACTTTTTTCTTCTTCGGCCAGCGTTTTATGAATATCGTTAATTCTCGGAAATAAAGTGAACGAAAAGCCGAGAAAAACAAAAAACATCTTCGTATATGGATGCGAATGAACAAAAAGACAAAAAAAAAAAAAAATTGTTTTGCATTCATAAAATATTTTTTAATGGTTCCTTGATGTTGTAATTGTGGTTCTCGGTAAGGAAAACCCATGACTAACAGCCCTCTAAAAGTACTCAGTTTTGTTGGAAATTTACTAGATGTCGGCGCTTAATTTCAGTTAAACTTTTAGCAAGAGCAACAAACCTTCAAGGTTGTTTTCCATTTGTTTGAGATAGCGCTTCAACATCTTCCTTATTGCTTATCAATACTGAAGAATTATGGTTGGAAAAATCTCTGTTGTTGTTTTGAAAAGCGCATTTGTTTATTCAATTAATCAATCTGCTCGTTGGATCATTGTCTTTGCAATTATCTTGTTAGATCATTTAGGCTTTCCATTAGTAATTGACTTATTATTAATAATGCTTTCCGGTTTTGAACGCTCTTCTTACGACTCGAGTTCTTGGAAGCTTATTAATATTTTGATTTTATTTATTTTCAAACAAGAAATGTTAAGCCCCTACATATTCATTGAAAAATCTCCAAAATCTTTTAATGTCTTTCACATGTTCAGTAATTGAGTAAACAAATAAATAAAATTCAGTTTATAGAAATTCTCAGATGTTGACTCACTGAAGTATCACATGATTCACTTTAGGAAACGAAAGAAATCCTCTTATCGATTTGAGAAATGGCCCATCATCACGATAGATTCCATACATTGTTTGGCGAATCAATTTAAAGTGGGAAATCCGCCGATCGGAGCGAACAACTGATAAGCCAAACGGAGATTTGGAGCAATTAGAAAGGCAGCCGATGAGGCAATTGGATGTGGCGATATATCTGCACCTCTTTATATAGAGCAGCGAGAGAGAGTTGTTTGGCTAATCCGAGATCTAAATGCCAGTGTCTAATGATTACACTTTCCGGTGCCCGGAGAGCAATAAATAAATTGCCAAGAGTACTAAATTGATATGTTTTCCGATTCTCGGCTATAAATTAAGTTGGCGAAACCTTAGACTTTAAACTATGGTGATTGCGATTGCGCGAGTGCGAGTGCGACTGTGTGTATGTAAATTAATAAGACAAATATTAAGAATAATTAACTGTCAATGCAACAAATGCACAATAAATTAGAGTGCATGCAAATTGTGCACCGACTGTGGCAATTTAATGTTTATTTGCAATATTTTTTATTTTTGTTTTTCGCTGGTAAGCAAATTAATGCCCAATAAAAACGGAGACGGCAATTAAGCCGCGCCGGATTCTGCTCAATGAATTTTATAAGCCGCACTCTCCGGCAGCCACAACAGCCACCCACTCCCCTCCTCCGATCTTCGATTCTTGGCCTTAGCAAATGCGCGCCAAACAAAAGACTTAGGCAGCGAACTTGTTCGCCGCGTGGGCGTTGAAAGGCAACGCGTTGCGCCCACACAATGTTGTTGTTGCTGCAACTGCTGTGTTGTTCTGCTGTTGTTGATGTTGCTGTTGTTGCTGTTATTGCTGTTGTTGCTGTGCTGCTGCGCGTGCGCTGTTGTTGTTTGATTCATGGTTTTGATTTGGCTCGCAGGTGGATTGGCGATATTGATATGCCACAGAATATTGCACTACTTCTGCCCACATTCCAAGCAAAAGGTATTCTGTACTCGGTATTCAGTACTCGGTATTTGGTATCGGTATCACTCACACTCACTGTCTATATAATTTGTTTGAGATCCCCTCCGGTCGATCGGTTTTCGGTTACAATAAATATGATGTTACGGATCGCGGCGATTCAAATAGCGGCGATTCGAGGCGGCTATTACGGAATCGGATTCGAAAGCGATACGATCCTACTCCGACAGCGTGATACGACTGACTAAAGGCCGCCGATCGCTGCCAGGTATGACAGCCGCTGCGCAGTCGCCAGTCGCCAGTCGGCAGACGGCAGTCCGCAGTTGCGTCGGCCAGTTGGAACACAGATACACACGCACACACGCGCACACAGCGTCAGCCGTCTCTCATATCAGTTCAAAATGGTTGGAATCCGCGCCTGTCGCAATATTCTGAGCGGCCACGAAAGAAGGGATGAGGGGAGGGGAGGGGCGGGGCGGGGAGAGAGGAGCAGGAGGGGAGGGGAGGGGCCGGACAGGGCGTTGCAGCTGCTGCAGCAGCAATATTAAAAAATAGCTGCACTTGCTGCATAAAGTCTCACTTCCCTAAGCTGAATCCAAAGCTTAAAGAAGATTTAAGTGGCAGAAGCAGTATGAGAAGAATTCATTCATAAGTTCGAATCTGAAGTTCATGAAGAGTAACATACTTTAAGTTTTTCGGCTTACTTTTAAAGATTGTAAACAAAAGGATCCAAAATACATGCAATTATAACTATCCTCGTTATGTAATTTTGGATTTATTTAAGATTTTAAATACTGGTTATTTGAAACCCAACTATTATTCATAAAATGTATTATCATTTGCATAGGATTTCAAGAGTGAATTTCAAAATTCCTGTCCTTTACTTATTTTTATTCATCATTTTGCCTCTTTTTTGGGCAGTAGCTGATTCGCTTTATGCAAGTTCGACTGTAGCTGCACTTGCTGCAGTTATTGCTGCCAAATCGAAGCCAGGTCGAAGGAAAAGGAAGGCGATCGGCCGGAAGTTCGCACTTATCGCTGGCGATTGTCGCCCAGAGTTTGCCACTGCAATTTCCCATTTAATTATGGTCGTTCCTTTTTTCTTTGCGTGTGTGTTCGACGGGAGTGTGATAAAGCGTAGAGCGCCTTTCGAACATTCCGCTTGCAACACGCAACTCGAACCTGCGAAAAGGAAGCGAGGTTCGAAGCGAGAGCGGAATGGAGCTATGGCAGAACGCCTGTGTGAGAGCGAGAGCACCATACAAATCACGTACGCACACACACGATCGTATAACAGCTTATGGGTGTATAACAGTTGGCCGTGCAGCCCAAAGCCCCGTTGTTGTTGCTGTTGCTGGAATTGCTGATGTAGCTGTTGCTGCTACTGTTGTTGTTGCTGCTGCTGTTGTTGCTGTTGTTGTTGCTGTTGTTGCTGTTTCAATAGAACCGAATGAACGACGACGACACGACAACAAAAACGACGCTGATTCGTATTGGCTGCAGCCACTAATACTCATTGCTCACTCACACCAGCAATTGACAGACCAATTGCAGGTCTGTTAGACAGCAGCAACAACTATGTACATCGGCAACAAAAACAACCCGAACGGCAGCAACATCAGCTAGCTGCAAAAGCAACAACAGCAACAACCAAAGATCGTTAATTGATGTAGCACACAGGATGCGCCGCTGATTGGGGTTGTCCACTCCGCTGATGATGATTGTGAATGGGCAGTTGGGATACGGAATATGGCAATGGGTTTGGGAATGGGTGTGGGAATGGGAGTGGGAATGGGAGTATGCGACGCGGAATGGGTTCGCATGGGCTGCCGATCTAAGCCAAAGCTTATCCGCAAGCACAAATTAATATTGCATATTGCATGCAATATACACGGAGAGAAATACAAGAGTCGCTATACGAAAAAGGTTGAAAAAAAAAGGTTTTCTGATGGCTATCATTTGAAGATTGTTATATAATATTGTTGCTTATCTTGAAATAATTGTTAAAGTCCTTTAAAGGAGGAAATATCATACTTATATCTAATATTTTAAACTCCCTAACCTTTTTGTTTGTGATATCGTATAACATTCCTAGATTGAATAAACAAATATTAATTAAATGACTGAAAATATACGGTTATCTTTTCTTTTAAAATCTAAAAAGGGGAGTAATCATTGTTATTGTATTGTATTGTATTGTAGGTTTTCCCTGTGTAGAAGTGTTTGCTGCTAAATTGAAATTTGCGTGCGTGTCCATTAATTTGTACCCTAAAAGAGCTTCCAGCTGGGAGCACTCAGCGTTTCTAAAGCTGCCTTTCCTTACACATTTAATTTTTGATTTTTTTTTTGCGATTGTTAAGAGTGTTTTGCATTGTTTTTTTGGGCCTACCTTCTGCGTTATGACCGAGCCCGGTCCGTTGGCCGTTGTTGCACCGGCGATGTTGCCATTCTTGGGATCCTTGCGCAGGTCTTCGGGCTCTCGTTTGATGCTAATTAGCTGCTGCTGCTGCTGCTGCTGTTGTTGCACCGCCGAGGAGACAATCGATCCCGCGCTCCCCACGCCAGCGGCACTAACGATATCGCCGGGATGTTGCTGCTGGTGTTGCTGCTGCTGCTGCTGTTGCTGCTGCTGCTGTTGCTGCTGCTGGTGATGCGAGATCGTTGTCGTGGAGACAACGCCGGTTGTGCTGACCGTCGCCGACGACGAGGGGTGTGATCCGAGCAGAAAGCCTTGAATCTCATTTTGCGATAGGCCGGAGACGTCGATAGGTGTGGTCTGGCCATTGAGCTTTCCACTGCTGTTCGAAAATCCATGGAAGCAGACGGGGGAGGGGGGAAAACGAGAGCAACATTAGTCGGTGTTCAATGGGTGCAATTACTACTCTAATCAGGGTATGCAAACAAGAATGCGGCTTAAAATACTAGCGAACAATTTCCACATATTGAATAAATTCAGGTTCTAACTTTATATAATAGAATTTATATTTAAACTAAAATTTTTTGCTAAAATATTATAAGTTTTATTAAACATGTATGAATACATACTTTATTAGCGATATTTAAATTATGGCTTTTGAATATCCCCGATTAATCAATGGATTAGCAAGACCATCAATTAATTTTGTTATTAAACTTAGCTAGAACATTAAAATAGTAAAAATAAAAGTACGTATAACTATTTTAAGTAGCCCCACATGACCACATCTAACCTCTAGTGTAAGCGGAATTTTTCCCAATAATAACACCCAATTGCTCAGCCAACCCGAACACCCCCACAAATGGAATAACTCCATTAGGCCGCTTATCAATCAAACCCGCGCTCGCCAATCACCTGGGCAATCAGGCAATCAAGCCGCAACTGCGGCAAGGCTAATTTCATTCACGAGAGACGAAGTCGGAGTCGGAGACACCTGTGCACAAGTCGCGAAACCTGGACGCCCGCCCAAATGGGAGCAATCGGGGCAACAACCAGCCGCCATAAACCAGAATCCAGCCTGCAGCAAGTGCAAAAATCCACAACAGAAAATAAAGAAAAAAACCAGACAGAAAAACCTGGCACAACGACAACAGCAAGAGCAACAGCAACACAACCACCAGCAACCAGCAACATCAACAGCAAGAGCAACATCAACATCAACAACAACTGCTTTTGGCCAGCATCCAACAACTCGAGTTGGCAACAAATAAAAACAAACCGGGCCGAAAGGAAAGAGACGGAGAGCTAGCGGCATCCCCCAAGACTTGCCCCTTCGATCTCTTATCGCTTTATCGCCGACAACTCTAGGAAGAGTCGTAAATTAGCCGCGATGATGCCTGTCGCCCGTCCGTGATAATCGAATATGGATAACTCTCGGAATTTTCCAGGCGGGGCAGGAGACACGGAGAGGGAGAGGGAAGACGGCTTAGAGCGAGACAGACAGACAGACAGACGGGCGGAGGGAGCCGTCCTCCAGGCACCCAAGGTCAAACAAACAAAACAAACCGAAAAGTCCTGGCAGCTGGAGAACCGGATTCGATTGTCGAATCGCTGCCACCAAGTTTCCATACACAATTAAAGCTCTTTGAGGGAAACCCCGCCCTTTGACCAAAAAAAGGGCAACCAGCGTTTTGGGTAAATTGTGCAGTAAACTGAGGAGATATTTCATAGATTTTGGGTAAACAATATTGAATGGCATATTCGCAAGGAGTATTTGAAAATGGTGGTTTAACAGTTCTCTAAGAAAGGATTCTTAAACTACTTATCCATTCCTAATCAGTATTAAAATTGGCGCAAATTTATCAGAAGATAAAGGAATCAGAACTAATCTCATTTATCCGGCTACTTTCTTATGCAAATCTTGATTCTGGTTTTGGGACTGGTTCTTAGCTGATTGATTATTCGGCTTTGTTTTGATTATTCCGTTCTCGACTCCTGATCTTGCTTTAATTTCGCTCTTTTATAGTTCTGTTTTCTAGTCCACGAATGCTATTTTGTTTTTATTTCCCTAAATTGGTATCTATTAATTGTAGGATCCGGAATCCGTGTACCTATAAAAAATAACCTATATTTCCGCAATAGAAACATCTCAGCCGAATAGATATGTCAAACTGGGAAATCTTGGTAATGCAGTTTATACGATTCCATCAGATATAACCAATTTCCAGCGAGCTTTTCGACAATTTGTCTTAATTTGTGCATAGATATTGATTGCATATATGCAAATTCCAAGCGTTGCAGAAATTGCGCCACACCTTGGCTCACACAGACACGAATTCTGCTTGAGTGTGCGTGTGTGTGTGTGTGACAGTTCTTCCGTTAGCAGCTGTTGCAAGCGTTTTCAACGCTGTCTGCTTATTTCCATTCGGTTCTTTTGCTCTTTTTTTTAGCTCAGTATCTTTTGGAGGTTTTATTTCGTTGTTTTTTTTTTTGGCATTGCTCAAGTTGACAACGCTGCGATTGTGATTGCGATCGCTTGCCCCATTTTGTGGCACTTGTCTCCCTCGTGCCCGGTGTCCCGGTTTCACCCGAAGTTGTTTTCTGGCTTCTCGGACTTTTCGGTCCGCTGTTCCCCACGAAAGAAAATAAATAAAAAAAACAACAAGCCCGAGAAACAACAAAACGGACATCGACATGGGTACAAGAAATGTTTTTGTTTTTATGTTCTGCAGAACATTTTCGCTATTAAAAATGACACTCGGATTGCCCGCGTTATAACATTTTTCGTAATGCGATATGTGACCGATGTGCCCACAGTCCGCTGTCCGCCGTTTATTCCGCTTTATATTTTTTGTTTTTAGGGTCAGGCCGTGTAAATCACGTAGCGGATATGGGGAAGCGAGAATAGCGCGGCAACACACATTTATTAGATAGCCAACTACCAACTGCCATACAGCTGCCCATATCGCCGTCTCTCGGCCTTTAATTGTGTTTCTAAGCCAAGTGCCGCGACGCGCGACCTTTTCCAGGCCCCCAAAACGAAAATGAACGAACCGGCGAGCGGACCACGGTTACGGTTTTGGTTTCATCACGGCTCCATAAAACGGAGCCGCAGCCAAGAACCCGCCTGCGATCCATCTGGCTTTCCAGTTGCCTCTCTTGGCTCGGACCTGGGTTTGGTTTTGGGCTTGGGTTTGGGTTTCATAACCTTAGGCAAGGCAACGTGCCGCGCTTTTTGCGCATTTCCACGAAGCGGATAAACGCTGCACTTAAGATACCAGCACTTTCGGAAGAACATTTGTAATTTTATAAATATTTAAAACTTAGAAAAACAAATGAATTTAAAAATATACTTATCTATCTACAAAACCCATCCAAAAGTGATCCCCCAAATTAACGGATTTTAATTCAGCAGATCTGTTTTTGTTTTACAAAACCTGTTCCAATTTTAATAAACAACAATTACTTGTACTATATTTTAAATATGGTCTTTTTTTTTTGAAGCAATTAAATGTAAAGAAATAAAATCTTTAAGCTTTTAAAATCCATTTGAAAGTGATACCCTTATTTTAATGATTATTTTAAATTAGTGTATTTGTTTCTGTCAAAACCTGAACCACTTTTAATTAACAATAATTTAATTATGAATTAACAACTTTCATATTTCTTTGGTGAACCACTTAGCTTTATAGATATTTTTGTAAATTTGATTTCTATTTTAATTTTCGATTGGGATGTTATTTTCTTTGACTTTCTCTTAGTTATAGTATAAATTTTTTCTGCAGAACATTTTGGAATTGACACTCCCAGTTTAGGTTGGAGACTTACCTCCAGGACAACTCAGCTGCAGCTGAACTGTGGTTCTCCTTCTCGCCCTCGCTGCGATAGTAGCTATAGATGGGATAGGGACTATTCTGGGAGGGATTGGGGTGCGGGGGAGCCAGTGGCTGATCCTGATCCTGACTCAGTTGGATCTCGGCGGCCACTGCCTGCATCAAGCCGGCAGCAGTGAGGTGGTGATTGTGGTGCGGCTGCTGGTGGTCCTGGTGGTGGCCCAAGGGCAGTCCCAGTCCATTATCCTTCACCAGATCACCACTCTGATGGTAGTAGTGGTGCAGCAGCTGGTGCTCCTGCTGCTGGGGATCGCTCTCCACATGCCCCGAGTGCAGCGACTCCAGGCTGAAGCCTCGCCTATTTCCATTCGGTTTCGAGGGGTTTTCAAAAATTTTAGCTGGGCGTGTCAGTAAAAAGAGACAGTCGAAGACAACGCCCATGTGCGTGCATATGGTTTTTGGCAATCCAGCATCATTAGCATTTTCATTTATATTTATTTACTATTTACATAATCAATTTCGGGCCAGGTGCGTCCGATGATATCCGAGTGTGTGTGCGTGTGTGTGTGTATTTTAATTTTTGGTTTCAGTTACGGATTTGTAAGTTTTGCGGCAACTTTTTACTGCTTTCGGCTTTGGAATTGATTCGTTTAGCGCTATTAGCGCCATCAAATGAAAACACAAAAAACAAAAAGAAACAAAGAGTATGGCCCGAAAAAAGCGTCAACTTTTTGTTAACACTTTGCCCCGCCCCTGGACGCCGGTGCCCCCCCCATCCCCCTCCCATCCCCCTCTAAGCAGCCGCCCCTGGACTCCGCAAGTGGTCCGCAGCAGTCATTCACTAATTATTTATTTCCCATGAAGCTTTTTCTCACACCCGGCACTCGCAGAATGCACGGGGTATGCTGGCTTTTTGCTTTTCGCTTTTTGCGGATTTGTGCAACAGGAAAAAGGAAGTGGTTCCGACTTTATTGGGCTGATAAATGCCACTGAGCTGAAGTCTTACGCAAATTTATGGCTCAGATTAGACACTATGTTCGGTTTTCAACCAAAAAAATATGTTGCTTTTGAAACATTTGGAGGATAAATAAGGTTACCCCCTATCCACTGAATATTTGAATGATACTATATTAAAAATGCATTCGAGGCATCACCACCCCACTAAGTATGCAATTAAACTAAATAACACTTCTTCTTTCTCCAGGGTACCTCCCATTCGAACCTCCTATCTTCCCAACTTTTTCTACATTTTTTTGGGCTAAGTGCTCGGATTGCGAACCCGTGATTAGGCCAACACCTCGGCCACTCGTCCGCCTCCTGGGCGAATCCCGGCGAGCGGTCCAATTGTGCAACAAGTAGCGAGCAGTTTGGCGAAAACAAAAACACAACAAACGGCGAGCGCAACCCTAAATGGCAACCCTGCTGGGCAATCGCCGCCACCTGAAGGCGAGATCGCAAATTGCGAAAAAATCGCAGGGAATCTAAGAGAAGTAGGACGAGAAAAAGGAGGCAGGACCGCTGTGGTCTCGCTGGCAATCGCGGGGCTTCC